CAGCTTTTTCTAGCCGGACCGCCAGTCCCTTTTATTCTACCTACAATAGATAACACGGCGATTCCGTGAGCTTTTATATCTTTTTTTTCCGGAAGGACATTGAATCAACTTATCTGTGTACTTATCTGTTGAACAATTCCAAAGCTTCGGTTTGCCCCAGTTGCCTGACTTCAGACAATCGTGCTATTTCACAATTTTGAACACTACCAAACGAAAAGAAAAATCATACGCGTTCGCTGTTCTCAAATCTCTGGTAAAAACCATTGTCGACTGCAGAATCGTCTCACAAAAGTCATTTTCACGGTTCCTCTCAAAACAGCTTGTTTCACAATAAATTCAGATTGGGAAATGTTTAAAGACGGCCTCAGGACAAGTGCACGTACAGTTTCAAGACACATATGGATGACCTCGTGAGCTCAGTCCATGACACACGCGTTTCGTTGCTTTGTTAAATATCAACGAAAGGCCTACACCCAAAAAACTGTTGATGGCCCTTTTGGTGGGCTATGGCTGGAGTCGTTTTCCTTTTTTGTCTAGAGATCTACTTCATTGAAATTGACCAAATGCATCAAACGTTTTGAAAATACGCCTATACGACAGCGCCAGACCTCATGTTTCAATGGATACTGGACTGCATCAGATTTTCAGATTGTCTGTCAGTTTCCCTTTCTTAAAATAAATTAGGACTTCATTCAAGGAAAAATAATTGAAAATGATTCAAAGGCCCGCGTTTCTTGACTTTATTTTTCCCCAAATCTATGTATTTTTTAGTTCTGAAATTTAAATAACCTGACATGAGCCTACGCGACTCTAAACCTATTCCTAAGCCTTCTCTGACCTTACCTAACCTTACCTAACCTAACCTAGCCCAACCCATACGCACTACCTGGTAACGCAGAATCAATAACGCAAAAAAGGAGACGCAAAAAGATTGTATATCGAGCCAAATAAGCAGATCCATGTTAAACACAAGCTGTATTGGTAAATAGGAAAAGTCCTAGACTTCTACACGACCAAGCTAGACTGGTATCCATCAGGTTTTTAGCCGTTTTTAGGAATTAGGACGACTTCATTAAAGGAAAATATTTTAAAATGATTTACAGGCTGAAAAAGCGTTTTGTGACTTTGTTTCTTTTCAAAACTATGTACATATTTTCATACCTAACCTAACCCTAACCATCGAAACATAGACTAACCCAACTAACGCGGCATCAATGACGCGAAAATTGTCACGCAGAAAAATTGTGTATCCAGCCCAAAAACACGTGCATATTAAAAACAAGCTGGATTCGTAAATCGGAAGGGTCCTAGGCCTACAAGACGACGTCAGACTTCATATTTCAAGTGGAAACTGGTCATCAGATTTTCATGTTTTTTTAGGACTTAAAGGAAAAATATTTTAAAACGATTCAAAGGTCCAAAATGCGTCTGACTTTAGTTCTTCTTGAAATCCCTAATTTTCACTTCTGGAATTAAAAACCTAACCTAACCCTACTAGTCTCTAAGCAATAAGCCAGCCTAACCTAATCCATCTGTAACTGTAACCCGACCTAATCCAACTCAAGCCCTATCCAGCCAACGCAAAAAAAAAAAAAAAAAATCGTATTGTAATTATTTCAGTTTGTCTTATTTTAGGATGTTTAGCCATTATCGTTGGATTTAAAGCATTGGTAAAATTCCACGCTGAGAAAAGATTTTTTTAAAAACTTCATTCTTTTCATCTTTTCGTCTATTCACCATCTTCAGCGTTGGGTCCGTACTGACCGGGAAACCCGATTGTAAGTGAAACAAAACATCGACTAAACAAGAATCACACAGACAATACTGAAGATGGTGAGAAGTCGAAACACGTCTCACATATCAAACCAACGAGGATATGCGGGTCAAAATGTCCGAAAACAACCAAACTTCAAAATATTGGCTAAGTTAATTTTAAAAATTTGAATCCTTCAAAATTATTTGGGTAAAGATTGTGTATATGACTTACGAGAATATTAAAATGGCGGTTTATTATATTGGAATGATCTGTTTCTATTAAAATAATTTCATGGGCGGCTGCTGTGTGATAAAAAGGCAAACAGGTGCTGGCATAAAAGCATAAAATAATTTTGTTTTCTATTTGTCCTCTCATTTATAAATCCGTTTAAAACCCAAATTCCACAAAGTTTCTGTTTTGATTTTATTCGGCTTCTTTATAAGCTCGATATTGAAGATTGAATTTGTCCAAGTTCGCCTGCGGATCCTTGGCCGTCTCCCACCATATCGCGAGAGTAGAATCGTCCTGCTCCCTTCTTCCTTCTTAGTTGGAGTACGTCAAGTGTCAAGGGTACAACCGTTGTCTAGGTCACGTAGGACGGTCATTGCCAAGGACTTTCTCACATCGACTCCCAATCATTAACCTCAACTCGGAACTATTCTCCATCCGCATTCGTACCAACGAGAATTTTCGAAACAAGAATTGTAAAAAAAAATATTTTGGAGGTACAGTTTCAGAAAACATTCTCGGACACTTCAACCGTGAGGAGTTCAAAGAACCAATTTTCCGAAGAGAAAAGAAAGGGCTCATAGATTTAAATGAAACTTTTTTTTTGTTGATTCTAGGTAGAAAAATACTGAACATGTGTCCGGGCGTTCTTGCCAATGGGCTCTAGGAGACGATAAAATTTATATTTTTTCTAATTTACATTCAAAATTTAATTCAAAACATTTTTGAAATATGCTTTATGCAGGTGCACAGGTCTTGTGCATGTATTTTTACTTATTTGTATATAAATCGATGGCGAGTTGTTTTTTAGGACAAGAAAATCGTACAAATAATCGTATTAAATGAGATTAGATATGTACAAAGGTGCAAAAACCAAAAGACGCATTCAGTAAAGTAGGTCCAATTAAAAAAATTCATAACGTTCCTGGATTTTATCCAAATTCAACCTTATTACAAAGTTGGAAAGCTGAATGTTTCTATTTTCAGTGTATGTCGACAATGTGTAGATTTTATGCCATCATCAGTGAGGAGAACGAGGATAGAACGAACAAAAATATCTCAAATGTTTTATTTTATATCTCAGGTTCTGATTTTTTCTTGGAAACCTGGTTTGTGCCATTACGTGTAGTTTATAGTTAGAGCTAAAAATATGAAACGTTTTCGTCCGATCCGTGGGGTCGTTTTAAAGTTATGACAATTTTTGAGGATTTTTAAAATCCCAAGCATTTTTTTTTCAGGGGAAAAACTGAATTTTTGATTTTCTCGGTTTTTCGGGGTGAGAAAAATGAATATCGAATTTGTTTCTTGCTAAAAAAATTATTTTAGCTTACTTTGCTAAGTTGCACTGCATGCGGGACACATCAGTCTTCGGTCTAAAAGTCCATGTCTCAATATTTTTAATTCAATTTTTTGCAGATACATTTTAGGTTAAAGTGCCCAGTGCAAGAGCTTCTGTGAAAATAAATATATTTTTGAACACTGTACATAGAAAATGAGCTCAAAAGGTAATTAAAAAATAGAAATTTTCCGGCTGTATCAGCCTGGAGCAATTTTTTCCTCTTACGTTCACTGACCAATTGAAAAATTCACTCATCATCAAAATTCCACTCACCTTGAATTTATCCAAATTTGATGTTAGTTCAACCATTAGAAAGCCGAATATATCTACTTTCAGCCTATATCCAAACAAGATTTGGATTTCTGTCATCATCCGTGAGAAAAACGAAGTTGAAATGAACATATAAAAGTTTAGTTTTATATCTCAGGTCATGACTTTGTCACGGAGGCCGGGTTTGTGCCATTACGTGTAGTTTTTGTAGTGCTAAAAATATGTACAGCTTCCCTCGGATCCGTGGGGTCATTTCAAAATTATGACAATTTTTATGAGTTTTCAACAAAAAAACCGGAGGTATCGGTGGGCCAAAAATCTCAGGAAAAAAATTCTAATTTTCCAAAAAATTTATATTCAATGGTTTTTCCGTGTATGAAAAACGGCTATCGACTTTGTTTCTTGCTAAAAAAAATATTTTCACCTACATTGCTAAGTCGCTCTGCATGCCGGACAGACACGGGCATCGTCGGAAAGTAAGTGCCCGTGCGTCAACCGCATATGGCCGATTTTGAGTCAATTAGAATGAGACTGTCTGGGAGCACACTATTCGTTACCATATTTTTTTATTGCTCGTTTAGCGGCAGTGGGTCTAGAGCTAGACGAGAGTATCTGTCCTTTAAAGCCTACAATGCTCAGGTGTCAGAGTACACGAGGTAGGATGATTAACTTTGACGGCATAGGCAGTTGCTGGGTTGGGTCTATATAGTATCGTCCGCTGAATACGGTATGTCGCCTTCTCCGGTACCTGAAGGCAAGGCGATTAAGCGGGATCATCTTGAACGAGAGGAACCTGGTAGGATGGTTTCCAATCTCTCGTACCGTTCCCAGTGACAAGGGTCATATGCTTCACAGTACGGGCATTGAAGGATCATGTATGGTGGCTTTTGGGGCTGACAGTATTTATTCACTACCCACTCCTCCTCCTCCTCCTCCTCCTCCTCACGGACACCCCAAAACTAAAAACTGCCTGCCTCAAGTGCCATCAATTCTACTCGTGTGGATGGCCAGGAACCTAGCCGCATAACGTAGGGTAAGCTGCTCTTTTCGAAATTCAGGTGGCAACACTCCTAGCTCTCACCAGTCACCAATCCCTTCAAATACTTTCATTAGGATCTTCCTATCCCCACGTGAAGTGACCAGTATATCCCAGCAGGCCAAGTGTTTTCCTGGAATTAACCTCGTCGGCTTCGATGTGTGACTGTCACAGTACGATACCCCACGATGGCCTATTGCATTTTTTTCTCGGCTCCGTGGGCCCATTGACAAGAATAGTCGGACTAACTAATATCTTTCCACCTTGTATAGAAGAGTTAGAACTTTACATTTCGATGACAGATGGCTACTCGTCCTCATCCTTTCGTCCAATTGATCCAATGATTAGCTCGATTCTCTCGTTTGTTCTAGCCGGAGAGGAAGCCGAGGAAGGGAGCAACAGGGAGCGGAGGCAGTGGGAAGGTTGGCCGGGCCTCATCCCGATAGGTCCATGCTACACGAGCAAAGGCCATTTCGGAAGGTGCACCAGCTTCAGGCAATGCTATCCCTATTTCAAACTACCCGAGCTCAACACCTGGGAGACGTGGGTCCTGGGCATGTACGACACATGCAGCTATTTCACCGCGACGGGAAAACAGGTATAATTTTCAATTTTATCTTATCTAGATTGTATTAATTTTTTCCCAAACTGATTCCCTTTATCACAATTAAATTTAGCCTGGAAAAAAGCGTATATTCAAATAAGATCCTAAGATGGAAGGAAATAATTTTATTTTTCTGTTTGGAGCAGACAAACATTGGGAGGAAGAAATGAAGGAAGATGTTTTCCTAGATATATAGAAGTAGCGCCTGAATAGAGAGACTGAGTTTTAAACGTTAAACGGTCAATTAGTAAAAAATGACCCATTGCACTAATTGTAATATCGAGAGTGGAAGGAAATGGTTCTTCAGTCAGTAATTGTTAATGAGAGCACCTGGTTAATTTGGTCGTTACCGACATTTTGGTCTGCCTATCCTCGCCGTGTTAGTCTGTAGACTTTTGGCATTTCGCCATCTTCAGTGAGTCTGTTTCAATCAAGAGAAGATTCCAAGATGGAGATTTTAGATTGTTATCAAACAAGTCATTTTGCCAATGTACGAGCAGGAATGACCCTGCACCAAACCTAACTCACGGGAATTCTTGCTAAACCTAAAGAAACTTGCTAAATTTGTTGTTATTCTGACCCAAAAATTGGACAAAAAAAGGTTAATTTGTATGAATTTTGACCAATTTGCTAGAAAAATATAACAATTGATACTTGATGCAATGATGATGAAGAATTGAGTTGGAGATTGAAGACCAAGTTGGAGATTTTAGATTGGCGACAAATAATTCAGTCTTGCCAGTACATGGGCAGATTCACACTGTAGGGTCAACACTGCCCCCGCCCTAAGCTTACGGGATTTCCCATTAACCTTAAACAAATTTTCTAAAATTGTCTTGCTCCAACGACAGTTTAGGACAGTAAGGGTTAATTTATAAACTGTATTTGATTTTTTTTTTAAATCTGTAAACACATATAACAATCGATACAAGATGCAGACCACAGCACCAACAGGTAAAGAACCATGTTCAAGATTCCAAGATGGAGATTTTAGGTTGGAGCCAAATTATTCAGTGTTGCCAACACATGGGCAGAAACAGAGCAGCGACCTAACGCGCTTGCCCTAAACTAACGGGACATGCCGTTAACCTTGAACAAATTTTCTAAAATTGTATTGCTCCAGCGACATCTTAGGACAGTAAGGATTAATTTATAAACTGTATTTGAATTTTTTTAAATCTGTGAACACCTATAACATTCGATACAAGATGCAGACCACTGCACCACCAGGTAGAGAACCGTGATCAAGATTCCAAGATGGAGATTTTAGGTTGGCGCCAAATTATTCAATGTTGCCAATATACTGACGGAAACACTACAGGGGCAACACTGCGTCCGCCTCAAACTCACGGGATTTTCTTTTTTGAATCTAACAAACATTTAAGAAACAAATTTCCTAAAGTTAGTGTTCTTCTGTGGTAACTATATGCCACAAAGGGCTAATTTATAAACTGTATTTGAAAACATTTTTTGTCTACAGGATATTCTTTTTTTCAAATCAAATTTATAAATCCCTCTTTGACTGAATATCTCAGATAAGGCAAAAAAAGTTTATCAATTAACCCTTTCTTGCCAAAGTTGCCTCAGAGAACACCAGTTTTAGCAAGTTTGTTGTTTTACGTCCCACTAAACTTAAACAAAATTAAAGTTTGTGTTGCTCTGAGCCAACTTGAGGCAGAAAGGGTTAAATCCCCTCTGCCACTTTAAGACCCAAGAGACCCAACACTAAAGTTCACGGCCTGACTTGAATCTCTTGGGTAACTATCGAGCATGGCCACGGTGCTGCTGGGATGTTTTTAAACATGCCAAACTGAATAGATTTAGAATTTTGATCGTTTCTCCGTAAATAATTGTGCCAGTCTCAATACCCGTACCAATGATATGGTTCCTTTTCTTTTCTTACGTGATTTTACAAAAAAAAAAGTTGTTCAAGCCTCCTCATGTTTAGCTCCATGACTGAAAGCCGGAATAGGTGCGCTAGTCAATATCTTCTCTATTTAGACGTAATCCATTTAGATTGATCATTTCACGAACTGTGTTCTAAAAGAGTATTAATTATTGATAATCCTATTCGTTGTGTATAATGGTAGTATAATAATAATAATAGTGTATAATATAAGAAAGCAGATAAAATGTTTAATACGGTAGTATGCGAAACTCCCTATAATATTTTATCAGATCCAGACCGAGTCTACAATGTTTCAGGAGGTCATCTCCACTTCTCCAAAATTGCCATTTGGCAGCCCATCCAAGAGCGTTGGAAGACTTTAAAAACACTACATGGCTCGCAAGGCCACAAAGTATTTTATTGCTAATTTACCGTTTTTGAGTCGTTAAACGGTTATAGTAAATTCGATTGGGAAGGCATAAAAGATTCCGTCCCGCAGGGTCTAGTTTTTATTGGATTTTCGTTCTACCACGCTTAATTTTAGTTTAGATAGGCGGGAATTATTTCTGATTAAATGCCCGATCCGATTCGCAAACGGCCTTGGGATACCGGATTAATGATAGTCTTTTTTCGGGTAGTTTTACCACTGAACAGGTTATTAACACCCATTTCAACCGCTCTGAATCTGATGACATAAAAGCTCGAAAACAAAATACCAGGCCGGAACATCATCTGAAGAGGTCCAAAGAGATGAGTGTAGTTCTGGAATGGAAATGTCAATACAGTCGTGATCCTAGGGGTCGTTACGTGGAAATCGACTTAGGATCTGATCCAGGCAAAACGTGCCCGGCATTACCCGGTAATGATGAATCGTGTACGGTTTCTAACGGGTTAATGTCCGGACGCACCTTCAGAATCGGACGGAATCGAACTTTTATCGCACCAAACCCCTGGATCAAAATCCACTTGTTAAGGTCAATGGCACCTTTGGAAAAAAATTCCAAAACAAGTTGAAAGAATTTAATATAAATTATAAAAAAAAGAGAGTGGGTGTCTGAGAGGTAACCAAATATTAACAAAGACTCATTTCTTTCCCATTTTTGTACAAAGACGGTTTAGAAGAAAAATTAGCATCACGAGAGGGACTCGAACCCACGAGCTTCGGCAGCCGACCGTCATTGCATAAAAATTTAAAATAATAATTAATAATAAACAGATAACTTATTTAAACAAATCATTTCCTCTAAGACATGGAAGCCGGCGAAAACAGCGTGATAGTCGTGATTCGTGATTTGCAGCTAGGTGGTAGCTAATAAATATTTATAATTTGAATATTTTGGCCTATTTTGTTCGGAGTCATTCGGGAACATTTAATGAACGAGTCATCATCATACTGCAAAAAGGTCCCCAATCCACATCCGTTCGAGCTCTCTCATCGCCGTGTGGCTTCTTTACGAGTAGCATGCAAATATTTGCATTGAGAGCGGTTCAAAAGATCGATGGAGGCGAAGTAGCCCGCTATGTAACGGACAGGTGCTAAGCCGGCCTTAACTTAAATCATATCTCAATTGTATCATCCATTCTGAATTCCGATGTGCTCTAAATCATCGATATGTTCATATTTTCCTCTCTTCCTTTACCTTTCCACTGTCTGCGATATCAAGTCCCAAAATACATACGCCAGCGGAATACTATTTAGTCGGGTCCTTCTTCTCAAGGCGCGTACGTACTAAGCAAACCTCGGCCAACGAAAGACAACCAACCGCTTCGTTGGCCGTGATTTGCTTAGGGTATGTTTACATTGGAGCTGACTTCGACCGACTTTTAACTCTGCCGAATAAGGCCGTTATCGTCCAAACAACCAAAAGTGATAGACTGGACTTCGGTAGAAGAGGATACACTAGGTCCGACATACTCGGCAGTACTCCGTCTAAGTCTACCGACTGCCGACATCAAACCAAATAATTTTGTTTTTATGGGCAGAATCCCGTTTCATCGTATCTTCATTGTGACCTGCGATTTCTATGTTATTCATTTAACCCGCACACTGCAAGTTTTTGTTTCATCGTCATGGACGTTGACTTGTTGGGTATAAAAAAAGTCACTCTGAAGTACTCCCCAAATATGGTTGCTTGTTATAACAGATGGGAGAACAATGTATAAAATTCGCCTGTTCTCTCAACCTCGCCTATCAAGAAAGTATTATTAACCCATGCTGCTGAACAGCATGTATCTCAAAAGTGATTTTCAGTCAACATTTCGACAACTCCAATTTCACCGCCAGAAGTCCGAACCTCGGCCAAGACTCACTTGATTAGCCTAGAGTACGTTTACACTGGAACCGGCTTTAGTCTGCCGACGACGGCCGATTCTGCCGAAGAAATTGGTTACACTGTCCCGAATTTTTAAGTTAAAGGAAGTTAAACCGATTTTTCGTCAGTTGTCCAGTACCCTTCGTACAATACAGGGTGTTCGGCTACTCGTGTTACAAACTTTGCCAAGTTTTTTCCCTTTCCTTTTTCAAATAAACAATGATAACTCCAAAACTAACAGGTTTTGGACAAATCCGTCGATACCATTGTAAGACGAAGGGGACGAATTGACGTCCCACTCAAATCTGGCAAACATAACTTTGAAATAATTACACCGTTGAACAGATAGATAAGAACGTCGAAGGGTGTCGCAGACCCAGACTGGAACCTGGAGAACATAAAGGTGCAATAGTTAGACAACCGATTAAATAAATAACTATCCTCTAGTAATTTAGTGCTAAAGGGTTGTCAACCGGTCAAAAATATGAAGCGATGTGGGACATCGTAAATTGGGGTCGCGTCAACCATGTGCGCGACACTCGTCTTCGCCGGTTCACCCGCGGCGTGGGAACTCTCCCGACTTTTGATTTTCCTTTCCACCCCTACTCCGGTAGAGAAACTGGTACAAAAGGGATGACTGGGAAATCAAAAGTCAGTCTAGACCAAGGGCTCAAACCAGTGAGTCAGGCTCAAGGGCTCACACGAATCAAAGATTCACCTCAAGCAGTGAACAGTCGACTCCAGGAGTCGATCCGGAAGAGAAGCAGTCACACTCCATCTGGGACTCAACAAGGGGACTTAGCCTGCCAAAGCCATCGAAGACCAGCCGTTGCGACTCATCGGATCAGGACGACGGTCGAGAAACCCGAAAGGCGCTGGATGTGGTGAGGACGCTGATCGTGGCGATCATCGTTTGGGGGTTAATTAACATCTGAACAAAACAAAAACCAGCATTTTATATATCATCTGCTTGTTCCTTTAGTGAGGGATATCAAATCCGAAGTTTGTTATAAACGTTTTAGTAGCGAGAACTTTGAAAAATAGTTTGTTTTTTCAAAGTTGAAAAACTCACTATGTTGATTCTAAACTACTATTTCGAAACCTAGAGACCAGCAAATTTCAGAAAATGTACTCTATTTCATATCCGTTTTAGTGGTGCAATTGGTTTTTTGACGTGTCTGAGGGTATGAGTGAGACCTCGTCCGGTTGACGAGTCTGAAGCCAGTGGCTTATATACGCACTGGCTCTGCTCAGATTCGCTGCGGAGTGGAGGGCGAGACCATTCTAGAACCGGTAGTGACATCTAACGGGTATCGCGGTAACCGTAGGTGTCCACCACAGTGTCTACGCGCCTTAAGTTACTAACGCAAAATCTACCACACATTGAAATGAAGAACCGATGTGCCGCTTAATTTTGCAAGTGGATATGATTTCATTATGTTACAGATGTTCGGTGTGTGCTGTACCAACCCGGTGGAGAAACCTACGACGACGTCGACGCCCCCGACGTTGCCGACGACAAAAACGCCTTCGCCGGCGATAGAAGGAGCGAGGCCGGGAAACCCGATCCCTCCCAATTGGCCTCCGCCCATCCCGACTCATCCTCCGGATCACACCATACCCCCTTTGCCGACCCACCCTCCTTCTCCAGGTTATCCCGGGATCGTGCAGCCTCAGCCTCCGACCAGGCCTCCGACCAAGCCTCCGATGACCAAACCCCCGACCAAACCCCCGACCAAGCCACCGACCAAGCCACCGACCTCCCCGAGACCTCCGCAGTGGCCGAGCTATCCCGGCTACCCGGGCTATCCTGGTTACCCGACCAACCCGCCCCCGACCAAACCGCCGACGAAGCCGCCTTCGCCCGTGGTCCCGGTCGAACACACCTGCGGGGCGAAGAACGGGTACCAAGACCAAGAAAGGATCGTCGGTGGACAGAACGCCGACTTGGGTGAATGGCCCTGGATCGTAAGTCAATTTAAATCAATACTAATATTATCGTTATGTAAAATTGTCCGTTATCCCAAACTCGGAAATGGATCACCCCGCCCTATCAGGGCAGACATCCTGTAGGAACAGGAAACACGCCTTGAAAATATACTCTGATAATGGGTGAATATCATACAACATTTAATGAGGTCACTTCGCCAGCTAAATAAATTTTGTCAGTCCGACACACTGTCTTATCATTATCTCTTGTGTAATATAGAAAATTTAGTCGATTATTTACCGACAATGTTGATTATATAAAACTTAATACTCTAATAAAAATAGTCGCTCTGTTACTGTCTCTAGATAGAGGCTATAATTCGGTGTATTATTTTAATTTTAGCAACTTCCTAATAGCAAACAGATTTTCTCTAAATCCTCGAACTGATTTCAATCTGAGCTGTCTAACAAATACAGCTTCTTAAGAGTGCCTCAAACGTTTAAAAAATACTCAAAGGTGTTAAAGGCAGTCCATTGATTTCGCGTTATCAGGGAATCCGAATGAATTGGGTAAGGTTAGGAGGGCTGGAAACGGGCTAGATTAGGTTAGGTGTGGTTAAAAATGATTAGGTTGGGTAACCTAACAAGTTAAGTTATGTAGTGTTAAGGTTTGGGGACGGATTAGGTTAGGTTAATGTAAAGTTTGGTAGGGTAAAAGACGAATTAGGTTAGGTTAGGTTAGGTAGAGCTAGAGACGGATTGTTATATTAGGTTTGCTTAACAATGGCAAGGTTACTTAGGGTATGGGTTTGGTTAGGTTGCATATCGTTGATTAATTGTATTGCCGAGCGAATATTAAGAAGGTTTTCATTGCTCTATTTTCATTTGTTACGTAGCTCTGTTTACAATCGTGATTTCACTGCATGGGGGAAAATTTAGAGGAATTGTTTGATTTATAAAATCCATGTGCGTTTCATTTTTTAATGCACGACACAGAGGATTGACAATTATAATTAGTAATTATATAGTTAATTTTTTAAATTAGTTAATAGTGTTGAAGGCGATTTAAATGAGTTGATGAACGTTAAAGTGAATGCAAATTTGAAAAATCTGTGTGGATGAAAGCGGGTTGATATGATTATCTGCCTAATTAACGCAGGCCTAATTTGTATGATGGCCATTTTATAGTGTTTATCTTTTTTTTCATTAAATCATCAAATAGACGATAATTTCGATTAGATTGAACTCATTATAAAGCAGCCTTAAATAATGCTAAATGAAATTAAAATATGAAGTTGAGGTCGTTAGTTCCGAGGTTGGACGTTCACCTCGATCCCCGGCTTTGCATAGGACAAACACCGTGACTCATTCCAGATGGAGAGAGGGACAGTGAGTAAGAACAAGAAGATGGAAGAAGGAGAACGGCTAATGAGCATGGAAATGTCGGGATTAAATCTACGCTTAATGTATGCCATAAAAATCGATCCAATCTTAATAGTTGGGATCGTGACGTAGAGTTGTTTTATTATAAGAGGGGAAACGTCCTTTTAAAAGAAATAGTAAACGTGATGAAATTTTTTAATAGTGTATTACAAAAAGATTTTCTAAAGTTAAAAATAGCAAAGGGAAGCTACTTCTCAAAATATAGGCGTTGGTTTTTCAATATTTCCGCCAGTAACACGTTCTTTTTCTGATATGAACGACTGTCTTTGCTAAGCAGTCTTCATGCTTGTTTAAAGTTTTCATTAGAAAATAATAGTCGGTACGTTTGTAGTATAAACAAGTTAATTATTAAAAACATTGAATCGTGGATATGGAACCTAATCCGTCCCCAAACCCTAAACCAAGGCGGACATTGACCTGCGTCACGCAGGAGAGCAGCGCAGCGCACAGGAAAAAAAACTTTGTCGTATGTTGGGAACAGGGGCAGTTGACGAAGACAGTGGTTCTTTGTTAATGCTGTGATATCAAACAACAGAAAACATGTTTTAATGCAGTTTTGAGTCAGATTCTGATGACGGTGTGGAAACTATATTACTTCATTGGAAGACGATGAAAGTAAAGGCGAGTACCTCAAAATAAGAAGTACTCATAAGAGAGCTTTCTCTACCAAGAGAACCATCCAACGAAAAATTTAGAAACAATTTTACATACAATTCGGAAAGAGGTTGAAGAAGTGCATGGTCAAACCTATAATCTTCCCCGAGGGTTGCAACGATCAAAAACGTCTTGAAACTAAAGAAAATATTTTTGATGTAAGTTTTTTATTTTTTATAATTTTTTTATTATAGACAATATTATTGGGAAAACAATCAATAAAGTTATGTTAATGAAAGAGAGGAGGTGGGAGCTTGTACGTTGCCTTCTTGTTTCGACCCTCGAGGAGGTGGCTTAATGAGATGGAAAAGGAAGTCACAGAAGCAGAGCTCATATTTTGTTCCCAGTTAAACCAATGTTTATCGGTACTTGAGATGGATAATGATGCTGATGCGGAGGTTTAATTATGTTCAGTAGACGTGCTTCCTCTTGAAAAACGGAAGGAAGAACGGAACTATATACTGAGATGCGGGTGGCATTTTTTTGTTAGCTGATACATTGACATAAAGTTCCAATTTTTCTCTCCCATCACTTCTCTCTTTTGACCTCAGTTCACGTTACTCGATGTTTTCGTGATAAACTATCAATGACGGATCATTTTGCAGTCTTCTTTCGTTGTAAAATCGGGGTAAAGCAATCCTGAGGAGGACCGTTTGCAACTTGGTTGTTCGATTCTTCAATCTTCTCGTCAAGTTGATGATCGGAATGTTAGCTATCAGATTCAGTCAACGCCAGCCCTGTGATGTTTGGTCAGCAAATTCTTAATCGATGTAGAAATTAATCTCACGATTTTCGTTGACCATGTACCCCAATAAAAACTCCATTTGTGATATAAACTTCCATGGTTTGATTTCTGCAGCAGCTGCACCACTTTTTGTCACGCACTTTGTCGTCGCAAAGCATCATAGATTAAATTATATAGGACCCGGTTACTTTACGACCTATGCACCACCACCAGTATTGGCCTGTTGTGCATCTCCATTTTTTATCTAGAGTTCCTGGTTAAGCTTATGGCTTTTTACCAGATCCCAAAGCTATTTCAAGGGCTTCCATGTGTAACCTTCAGGCTCTGGATTTTCCTTTCCCAGGATTAGGAATCTTAGCGTATAACCAACAGAGGACTTGTTCCGCTGTTTCTTCTTTTTCTTGCCAATATATAGCAAAGGCTTGTTACTGCCACTCCGTCTATTTACACATGACTCCGGAGTCGGAAACTGCAGTCCGTCCAACTATTATTCTAGTCCTAGCAAGTCCTAGTAGTTCTTCTGCGATGTTCCTTTGATAAATGTTTTTGAATGCCTCTGTTCTGGGCTACACTCCCATTGAACGGAGGACTTAGTTTTAATCCATTGTCTAAAGGATCCGCGGTTTTGCCACAAAAGGGTTCAGGGCCAATAGGCTTCCTCATCGAACTTGGCCAATTTGTCGGCCTCTTCGTTGCCTCTCTGCTCCTGTGCCCAAACAAGGGTAATTTTCCCTCAATGTCTAACAGGGCCCAATCACCTCTGTGGTTGTTCCTCAATTTCGTCCAAGGAGATTTAGCCTCCTCACCCAAAACAATAATAATAATAATAATAAATCAACATTTCATTAATAAGCATTGAATTACTAATGCCCTTTTGTTGTTTTAAATACAATTATGAATATATTTTTTCTTCAGTGTTAGCTACAAAAGCACTGGATACAGTTAAAGGATGGCAGATAGAACTGTAGCAAAAATTGTAAACTGTGCAGAACTCCTAGCGATCAACAAATGTCTAAACATAATAGCTTTGACAAGAAATCATCTGATCCTTTGTACTGATTCCCTTTCAGCAGTATATGCCTTAAAAGATATTTTCAGCCTGAACCCCCTCGTACATGAAATTCACTCTGCCATAAAGGACTTTTACCGCAAAAATTTACAAGTCACTGTCATGTGGATACCAGGACACTGCGGGATAACCGGAAATGTTGAGGCAGACAAAGCGGCAAGAAGTGCCCAGAGAGAAGGTCATAAAATAAGTGAGGTGCCGCAAGAAGACTTCGTTACACACGTGAAAGCCAAAACCAAAGAAAAATGGCAACTAGAATGGTTCAATACTAGGGAAAACAAACTTAGAGCCGTTAAAGCGGATATAAGACTATGGACCACCTCAGCTAGACTGTCTAGAAAAGAAGAATGTGTACTTGCGAGACTCAGGATAGGGCATACACGAATAACACACGGGTATTTAATGGCACGCGAACCTCCACCTATGTGCGTGACATGTGGAGTTTTAACCACAGTCAAGCACATACTGTTAGAATGTAAGATGTACAGAAGGGCACGCATGAGCAGTGAGTTGCCCGCCTCTCTACCCGAATTGCTAAATGACAGAGAAACAACAGTATCAAGATTATTTAAATTTTTAAGGGAAACAGAATTGTTTGGTAAAATCTGATTTGTGAAGTGAAATAAAGAGATGGGACCTGTGGCTGGTGGCGGGCGTGTGTGTGTGTGTGGGGACTTCTGGGCGACAATGCAAGCCCCAATGCAAGAGAATGCTTCCCATATGCCCCCTGTGTCCCCCCGTGCTGCCTGGCTCCTCGGTCGGGCGTCTGCTTCCCCCGCAGGCCGCACTCAGGACAGATTCAAGGCAAATATAACCCACAAAAAAAAAAAAAAAAAAAAATGTAAACGAAGTTTCATTTGCAATAAGGAAAACAATGCAGCCGATGTATTTACCACAACCAAAAAAATTATGTGACTATCAATAGCCTCAGACTTTGAATCACGCTGGGATTATCGGCATTGCGTGCGGACAATTTACGGCAGTTTTGATAAAGAAGCCAAATAAATCTGAATCCCAGACTTCAGCCATAAACCTGATTTTCGACGTCTTAATGGCAGCTGTTGACCCGAAGTACAGATTCACTTTCATCGACGTAGGCTCCATGGTAATAAAGTGATGGAGTGTTTTTTCAAGCAGTGGGTTGGGGGAAAAATGGCTACTGAAACACTTCTAATGAACTGCCGTCCTTACAACTTACGATGCCATACGTATTCGTAGAAGATGAGGCCCCAGCGATCAATTGATTATCAACTTCATGAGTCCCCCATGAGAGAGATGGGAAGCTATAAAAATAAAATGTTCAACTATAGACTTTCAAGAGCAAGATAAACTATTGAATGAGCATTTGGAATTCTTGCCCCCAGATTTCGTGTATAACAAAGGCCATTTGAAATTAAAAAAATCCAGCATGGTGAATATCGTAAAATCAGCTTGTGCTTTGCACAACTGTTTACGGAAAATGCAGATGTTAGTGGGGATAGGGGTGAAATGGCTCGAGTGAAAATTGACCTACAGGACAGCTACTTCCGAACTGAAATGATCAAAGCAGCTTTTTCAGTTAGACAAACTTTCACAGAATAGTTCAGTCGGAAGTGTGCCCTGGCAAGAAGAAAGTGTTTCGCGAGGACATTATTGAATGAGGTAGTGGCAAAAAAAATATATATTCTGAACATTGTATCACTTACTAATTTATATATTTTTTTCATATGTAAAAAAATAAATACATATTGAACTTACCGTTTCTCAATTGCAGTTGCCTAATTTCCAATTTAAATTTAGTTTTCATATAATTTGGATGGTAGATCTCTCGGTAACTCCGCACTATTTCGATCAGTTTTATTCAATTTTTCGACAAAACTGCGCCCTGCATGACACAGTTTTTGTGACATCAACACTGCTCCACGCAGCCCTGTGCCTCACTATGCTGCCCCAACTGCGTCTCCTTTGAGCCAGGGGCTTACCCCTTCATACCTTAACCTCTCCCTAACCTAACATATCCTTACTCCTTACGTCCTTACTCTACCTAACTTTACCATCCTTAACCACACTAATCTAACCTAATACCTCCCCAACCTTAGTTGACACCTTTGAGGTAGTCAGCAACAATCGAGTTAAGTTTCTTGAGTACACAACAGATGGTGATAAGACAGCGTGTCCGAATTGGGACAAAATTTATTTGATATGAAAAATGAATCATATTATAGTAATTCGAAGTATAGTCCTATGTTTCATGCATTAAAAACTGAAGGACACATGGATTTTTTTAAATTATTATTATTATTTAAAAAATTTTACCGATGCGTGAAATCACGATTATAAACAGCCAAATGAACAACAACTTAAAACAATAATGAAAATAGAACAACGAAAAAACATTAAAACTTATTCGAAAAAACATTTAATCATGGATACGTAACCTAAATTAACCCTAACCCTAATCCAACCTAACTTGTTCCTCGCCCTACATAACAATAATAATATCTTTATTAACGGCATTTACCAAAACAAGAAAATACAGATTATGTAATAGATAACAATAATTTGTTCTTAAAACTATTAAATGAATTAACAAATAAATGATGATTGGTCCATGATATAAGTAATTGGATTTACAAAATAATATAAAAAATAGATAACCTTTCTTAACCAATCTTGATCTCACCCGTCCCTAACCCTACCTAATTTAGCTGTTCCTAACCTAACCTAACCCAAATTAACCTGACTCATCCCTAACTCAACCTAACTTTACCATTCTTAACCAAGCGTAACCTAACCTCCATGTGCACTCCCTGGTAATGCAAAATTGATGACCTGCCTTTAAAACCTTTGAACATTTTCTTAAAACGTTTGAGGCAGACTTAAGATCTGTTTGTTAGGCAGAAAAGGTTGAAAGACATTCAAGGAAATAGAGAAACATAACCTTACCTAACCTAACTCAACCTACTGTACAAGAACATGACATGTAGTTTATGAAAAATTGGCTATTGCTATTAATAAAGCTATTGTCATTATTTGTAATATTGGCCTCTGTGAGCAAGTTCTTAAATAGCTGAATTCGTTTAACCTTAACTTTAACCTTAAAATTGGTCAAGATTTTTGACTCTTATGAATTGAAATATGTTACACCATATAAAGAAAATTTTGTATTTACCACAATTTCAGAAAAATTCAATACAGAATAATTAAAAAAAAATGCTCATTGTTTATTTGAAAACTTTAATTTATTGAAATAGAGAAAGACATATATATTTGTATATATGAATGCCAAAAATTTCAAATTTTTTCAGGCTGCTTTGTTCAACAGTGGAAGACAATTCTGTGGTGGATCTCTAATTGACAACAGCCATATACTGACAGCTGCTCATTGTGTCGCTCAGTAAAATCATACATGTATGATATCCTGTTGTTACATATTTAAAACTGGTTTACAATTTCAGCATGAGCGCCTGGGATGTTGCCCGATTGACAGTCCGACTGGGAGATCATAATATAAAGAGCAATTCTGAAACTAATCACATTGAAAAGAAGGTCAAGCGAGTTGTACGACACAGAGGATTCGATTCAAGAACATTGGTAAGTCAATAAACTACTGATTCTAGGAAAATCATTATGAATGACAAACAATGTTTCAGTACAATGACATCGCCATTTTGACACTGGAGTCGCCAATTCAATATAGCCACAAAGTAAGGTCCATCTGTCTCCCGTCCACTGGGCAAAATTATGCAGGAAAGATCGCAACCGTCATCGGCTGGGGGAGTCTCAGTGAAAGTATGTGAAGTGACATTACATGTTTTAATTTTTTAAAAAAATCTTTATACTGTTTATTTCTTTAATGGTGGGTAAACCAAAATTTACAACTTGCCTCCTACGATAGAAGTTTTCTCTTTTAACAGTTCTTTGTTACCCTGTGTCAGTAAGTTTATTTAACAGAAATGATCTACTTTTGGATATGAAATTAGATCATTATATGATAATTTTGGTCTGCCAAAGAAACTGCACCCACCCTAAACTCAAATGATTTTATGCTACCTTTAACAAAATTGCTAAAGTTGGTGTTGCTCTGAGGCGACTTTGGGTAAGGAAGGGTTAATTGATAAACTGGATTTGGAGATGTTTATCTGCTTGACAAACTATAACAATCGATACGAGTTGTAGTGGTTTTGAAGGGCCATATTGAAGATTCTATGATAGAGATTTTAGATTGGCGCCAAACTATTCTGTGTTCCAACATACGCGCAAAAACACTGCACATGTTCCTGTCCTAAACTCACTGGATTTCTTGCTAACTTTTAGCAAAATTAATAAAATTGATGTTGTTCTGAGGCAACACTAGGCAAGAAAGGGTTAATTGATAAACTGAATTTAGAAATGTTTATCAGCTTGACAAACTGTAACAATCGATACTGGATACAGTGGTGATGAAGTACCTTTGAACATGGAGATTTTAAATGTGATGTTGCCAATACACAGACATAAACACTGCAGGGCAATACTATAATGGCCCTAAACTCACAGGATTTCCCAACCTAACAAACTTTCTAAAGTTGGTGATGCAGTATACTGAAGATTGAAAATTTCAAGACAAGATTTTAGATTGGCGCCAAGCTCAATCAGCATGAGCATAAACACTGCAGGAAAATCACTGTGCCCATTCTTAAATCACAAGATATTTTTCTACCCTTTAATTAAATTGCTAAATTTGCTATGAGGCGACATCCAGCCAGAAATGGTTTACCTTTTTCCCTCTCAAAGATCCAACAGGCCCAACACTGAAGATTGTGAAATGCTGGAACATGTTTTACTGATCAACCCAGCAAGGATAGGCAGATCAAATGATCAATATTTTTATTTATGTCCCTGGTTTTCATCATGTCATTTCAAACAAAATTACAACAGTGAAACGTTTCTGATTTTTTAGGTGGACCGCAACCTTCTGTTCTCCAAGAAGTGAATATCCCAGTTTGGACGAACAGGGAATGCAGGGCAAAGTATGGTCCCGCGGCTCCAGGAGGAATTGTTGATCACTTCTTGTGCGCTGGGGAAGATCGCAGAGATTCATGTAGCGTAAGTAACCCGATTTTAAATTGTTACAAATAATTTTTACTTACTTTACAAATAATTTGTTTTTTCTTCAAAATAGGGTGACAGTGGTGGACCACTTATGATCAATGACGGAAAATGGACCCAAGTCGGCATAGTAAGCTGGGGAATTGGCTGTGGCAAAGGACAATATCCGGGCGTTTATACAAGGGTTACCCACTTTTTGCCCTGGATAGCAAAAAATATAAAATGACTGGACAAATTACATTTTGTAATTAAATAATACCATATTTTCCCAGCATAATTAATTTATAGAACAAAAAAAGAAAGAAAAGAAAAGGAAGTTTTCTCTTTAAACTTCAGTTGTTTTGTTGAAATTTTTAGTAAAATCTTTTTTTTTTAATATATCGTGATATATTGATTTAATTACATTTATTCTTGTTAGCTTGAATCAAGTTTTAATGTGCATATATACCTCGCAATATAAGGTTTATGCTATTTAAAACGTAATAATTGACATGTAATGGATGTTTATCAATTATTTATTTGTTCAAGTTTTGGTTCAAAGTAAAACATTTAACAATAGTATATTTTAGAAAATATTAGAAAAAAAGGTGTTTTAAATTATCAGCCCCTTATTTTTTTCTTCCTATAAAGTTTATTAGTTAAACTCAAAAATTAAATCTTTAAGGTGTTATTAATTGATGATTATTATTATTAATAATGTGCCATTTTGTGCCATAACTATGGTGAGGTTCTTGCTATGTTTTTTTTAAACTAGGAACAGCGGTTTAGCAAATTAACCGAGATAGTGTTTAAGTTCTTGATAATCCATATTTCACATTTGAATTGTCCATAAAAGAATCATTAAAAGAATAAATACAAAGAAAACAAAAACAGTTTTTTTAATTACATCAATTTAAGGCTTAAACAGACTTGAAACAAAATTATCTTAACTAAAGATTACCATTGTTAGTGATATCATATTAGTCTATAGATATTATGCATTTTTTGTAAAAATCAAAATTGTCAAGCTAACTGAATAAAATTTTTCTTTCAAAAACCATAGTTTTACAAACACTGTGTGTAATTTAGGGTTAGTGAAGGTTAAGTTTTGAAAGCATACGTCCACTGTGTGCAGATATGTTTTGCAATTTACTACATAATCATTTACTTTTAAAAAAAGTGTGATTCTTACACAGCTCAAATTTACCATGAATTATTTTTACATTTAGTTATTTATTTACACAAATTACGAATATTGAGAACGTCGAATGTAGCAAACATTCGAGCTTTCGGACAAAAAAAAATAAAAAATAAAAAAAAGGGTTCATGGTGAATGATCTGTTAAATACCAGTGTTTAGGTTTCCCAATTGTAATTTTAAAATGTCAATTACTCTGATGTCCTATGTAAATTATTTTTTGTGTAGAACCCTAGGCAAATATCTTTAGTCTTTAATATACGATGAACAAACCATTCATGACAAAATGTAATGTATGTAATAAGTGGACAATTTTGGAAAATGCGATTTTCTGTGTTATAGGTTTACTTTTATATAAAAACAAAAAATGTCAATTTAATTGAATTACAAATATTAAATATTTGTTATGGATAAGTAATGTGTAGTTTTTTATTTTTTAATTAACTGTGTACTCCTGCATAACAATTTCTAATAATTAACAAAAAAAATAAACTTTATTATTACACTTAAAGCTAATCAAGGATGACTATTTACAAAAATATACACATATTATATAAAATAAAATGTTAAAATCTTTGGTGCGAAGTTGTAAGGGGAAGAATCAAAGAGGGAATTGGTTAGAAGGCGTGGATGATGAGTGAAAGTGGTAGTTCTGCATGAGAGCTTGTTTAACGGGAGTGTACAAAGGATTTGAAATGATAGGGAAATGGGCTAAGTAATATTGCAGAAGAAAGGTTTATAAGCTGGATTTGAAAAAAAATTTCCTTCTAAACAAATATAACAATAGGTACTGTGGTGATGAAGATTGAAGAATTTAGATTCAGTATTGCACCCGGGCATAAACACATCTGCCCTAAACTCACAGGATTTTTGCTAACTTAACAAAATAGCTAAAGCTGGTGTTGTACATTGGGCAAAACAAGGTTAATAAGCTCTATTTAAAATTTTTAGCTTATTATTATTATTTTAATGGCCTTATGAGCTTGCATATAGGCCAGAAACAATGCTGGGATTTGGGGTGAATATGAGCAGAGAGTCTATCATGCTGACCAATCGGCTGTGATGAGACCAAATGGTAATAATAATCAAAATCAAAATGGTACACTCTTTATTGATAAAAAATAAAAATTTGAATTGAACGAAAAATAAACTCTTTGATGTATGTGTCCAGAATAGAACAATAAAAATTAAAATTTACTTACAAAAAAAATTCTTTTGAGAGGAATAAGAGGAAGGAAGATTCGTTTGAACACGCTCAGCCAATATCCAAACAACAACAACAACGTCTTTCCTGTCCTTCCTCAACCTTAGGGTCTCCCCTCTCGAACGTATTATCGTCACACGGCAACCGCAGTACCAAAATTTTATTTTTAAGACAAATATAACAATCAATATTGGATGCAGTTGTGATGAAGATTGAAGATTTCATAATAGAGGTTTTAGATTCAGTGTTGCCAATAGATGTGCAGAAACAATGCAGGAACACCTCTGTGCTTGCCCTAAACTCACAGGAATTCTTGCTATTTTTAACAAAATTGCCAAAGTTGATGTTGCTCTGAGGCACCATTGGGCAAGGAAGGGTTAATTTATAAACTAGATTTGGAGATTTTTACCTTTTAACAAATATAACCATTAATACTGAATGCAGTTATGATGAAGATTGAAGATTTCAAGATGGAGATTTTAGATTCAGTGTTGCCAATACAAAGGCAAAAAGACTGCACCTGTCCTAAACTCATGAGATTTCCTGCTAACCTTTAACAAAGTTGCTAAAGTTGACATTGCTATGAACTGAAATTGAGCAAAAAGGGGTTAATTTATACACTAGATTTGAAAAACTTTACCTTCTAGAAAAATTTAACAATCAAAGAACTCACATATTTACCAATGGCGTGAATATTTGCCTGCCACTTGTGGGTTAAGAGATTTTAGGTAAGTTTGGTATGGTATGGGTGATAAGGATACTAGGAAGCGGGGTTTGTGCTCCCCAGGCACTGCAGCCTTCTGGCTTATTGTACCTTCCTAGTTCCTTAGTTCAGTGCACTAGACTCAATCCTTCTGCTTAGAAGTATCAGGTCATTGACTGTCGCTGCTACAATTTCATTCCCTAAGTTTTTTTTGCATGCTAGGTTAAATCTCCATTAAGCTGTTGCTTCGCATTTGAAGATAATATGAGTGCCTGTTTCTTCCTTCTCATTGCATAATCTGCAGATAGGATCAGGCCCATGATGTGCAGATGTTTTCTCAGATGCCAGTGACTGGTTAGTAGTCCTATCACTGCTCTGAGTTTAGCCCTCTCCAGTTGCAGCAGTGATTTTGCCAGTCTTGGTGAGGGTTGTTTCATCATAAATTGACTATGTCTAACACCGCTAGAGTTTACCCACTTCTCCTTTTGTTTTGTTTGGATCCATTCTGCGATGGAGGATTCTATATTTGTTTTTGTTATTCCAAGTATAGGTTCGAGGCCTATGTATGGTCTTGAAGATCCTCCTCTGGCCAGTCTGTCTGCTTTCTCGTTACCCAAAATTCCTCTGTGCCCTGGCACCCAAGATATCATCAGGTTGTTGTGTTTCCCCAGGTTTTGGAGATTTTGGATGCATTCATTGACTTATTTTGATGTGATTCTTTTACATGCTAATGCTTTAATGGCTGTACTTCCATAATGAGTTTGATTGCTCAAATTTTGGGCTTGTACAGAAAATGCCCAATCCGGTTCCTTCATTTGTGTTGGAGCCATCTATATACCATATCATTCATTGTATCTGATGCTCTCCTGCATTCTTCCTCTCCTTTATAGTCCATTGAGACTTTAGAGGACTTTGTAAAGAATGTTTCTGGGATCATATAGTCAGTCCCCATTTCTAATAATAGGTGCCTGATTTTGTTAATTATAGTTGTATACCCGAATTGTTTAGTTCCTATCCAATTTAATTGTTTTTGGAGCGTTTTTCTTGAGCTTTTTCTAGCCTCTCCTTGTATAAATATTTCCAGTGGAGGTAGATTTAGCAGAGTTTCTAGTGCACTTGTATGGGTTGTTCTCATTGCCCCTGTGATACATAGGTTTGATAGTCTTTGTATGCTGCCTAATTTTTGAGTACCTGCCTTTTGTTGAGCTTTGGTCCACCAGTTTAATGATCCATAGGTTATTTTGGGTCTTATTACTGCTGTGTATAGCCAATAGGCCATTTCCAGTTTGAATCCCCAAGATTTGCCTAGGGTTCATCTAGTGGTCATTAGCGACATTTTACTTTTTGCTATAGTATGCTGCAGGTGAGGGTTCCAGGTTAACTTCTTATCGAAGATGATTCCTAGGTATTTAACCTCATTTTTTACCTGCAGCATTTCATTATAGAATATGTATTTCTATGTGTCTTTTCTTGGTGAAAGCAATTAAAGTAGTTTTGAGGAATTTGCTTTAAGTCCCCGTTTTGAACACCATTGTTCCACCATGTTAGAGCTCTTTGGGTGAGCACTGTTAATGTTGAGTCAAATTTTCCCCTAACTAGTATGACAATGTCATCTGCATAGCCTTGGGTATAGATTCCGCTTTCATTTAATTTGCATATGAGGTCTTCCACTACCACACTCCACAGCAGAGGCGAGAGTATTAGGCAAGTTTAATGCAACAGTAACTTAAACATTTGCATCATACTTGCTAATAAGGAAATATATCATCTCTTACAGACAAAAAGAAGCTTATTTAAAGAAAATTTTTAAAAATAACAATAATTACTCATTTCCTTGGATGTAACTAGTTTAATTTGTTTTTATTATTTAAATAATTTGATGTTGGTTACGCCTTTTATAGATCATTGTGCCACTACTGCTCTACTGGATTGATACTACTGTGCATTTGGTCCAAGCTGTAAAAATTTGTTCAGTACATTAAAAAATAAAAAATAAACAGTAGTAAATAGTATGCTTATTATTTCCAACTAAAATTGACCTTGATAACTTGCATTTATAATAAATATTGCTTGTTATTTAGGTACTTTTGTAGTTTTTTAGGAGTGGGGTTATACACATGGGGTGTTTTGTGATTTGTTTCTAGCATACTTCTTGAGTTTTGTATCTTAGTGTATGTAACGATGAAATTCTAACCTGTTTAGCTGATTGTATGAAATGTAATCCAAATGATTTCCATGTTTTCCCTTATTTCCCGCTACTACTAACAACACAGTATGTTAATCATACTCTAATTTATATTCCTTCGATTATTTCACTCACCTGAATGCTGGTGGCCACTTGCGCACTGGTGAAACATTTAAAGTAAATGTTATACTATTTTCAGCACGATTTCTACCACCAAGGGCAGTATGGTTATGCACGCTCGCCTCATATTCCTAAAAAAAAATTAAATTAAATTAAAAATGTATAAATCAGGCATTATATTGTGATTGAATGTAGAAAACACATTACCCTGCCAAACATCGTCCGGTATACAAAATTAGGCTCAACTGCTAGTTTCTGTCCAAGCCGAATATTTACCAAGTGAACACTGTCATCAATCTGCATACAAATTAATAAAACTTACATACAAAAGAACCGCCTCGGGTTGGCTACAATGCTAGTTACTATAAACTACTAAAAGTTAAATGCAGCCTACAAATCAAGTCCAATTCATTTATTATTATTATCATTATTCATTGTTATTATTAAAGAGAATAAACGTTAAATAATCTTAGAAAATAAATTGCATACAAAATGAAGTCAATTCAGGCTACACTTAACCTATAAGATTAAGGGGAGTCGTTTTACCACCTAGAGCATAATGATCAATATTGGTCTATTTTGCAATATTCATTACTGCCTAGGGTACATAATTAAGTTTAAAGCTTTTTATTACATCATAAAGCATTGTTAAGTGTTATCATGTGTATCCTTCATATTTTTCCTCTCCCAGGAACTTCCTCTCTCTCTCTCTCTCTCTCTCTCTCTCTCTCTCTCTTTGCACCAACTGAAGATATTGTTATTCTTCCTGGCAATATCTGTTTTCAAATGATCTGGATGAAGAAACAAATTGAATTGTTACCGCCAAGATGTCGATCTATTTTAAGGTCATCATCAAGGGAAAACAATCTTAAATATGTGTACATGTTGGCATAAATGGTTAGTAGATGGTTTCAAATATCTTTGAATATCGATTCAGTCCCTACATTGCCAAGGACTGTAACCTGTACTGTAGGTATAAACCCAAAAATCCTTGGCTGTCCTCCTGGATTGAGTCGGTGTTGAATGGAATTTGAAACCATCTATTAACAACTTTATTATGTCAATGTGTAGACATATTTAAGATTGTTTTGCCCTGATGATGACCTTAAAAGAATAAGAATGGTAAATACTTTTTTTTTTATTAAATAACTATTACTATTATTAAAGGGGATGCGACAGGGAAAATATGGCCTTAATAAATTAGTCCCATTCTGGAGAGAATATTCACAATGATATCGAGAAAAATAATGTTACTATTTATAGGCTGTAGCATCAGATTGTGCTATTTGGGATTATGTTATAATGCTGTAGTTTGTACAAATAGGTTGTAGAAGCATACAGAAAATATATGGCCTGGCCCATGGAATTCATATGTGCATATTTAATATAAGCTCGGCAGTAACAACTGAATTTGTTTCTTCATCCAGACCGTACCAAGATCCATTTTATTCGGTGGTTATTTAAACAGAAATGTCTGTTCTCCAAGTCTATATGCCTACGGAGTCTGCATATGTCAGCTATTAACCTTTAGTGGTGTTATAATAAACTGCATAGTTACCTGTTTGAGGTGGAAGTAAAGGTACCAACGTATATATTTTATAAGAATTAATACAAAACAATTTATTTTTAAGTTTAGTTTAAGCTATTATTACAGTATTTATAATTGTGTATATTTACATGGATTGGTTTCCCATGTTTCACTTCTCTTTCTTCTGGCTTTGCTGCTATTGCCTTCCAGAGACATGAACCAGAAGCATGTGGGGTAAAGTCAATTGAAGAGTGCCCTGATGCATTATTCATGACACCGATGACTTTATAATTGGCTTCCAAATACAATTGCTTCCAACAAACAAAAAACACAGGTATTATTTATTCCAATGGGGGAAAAATATAATAGGCAAATATGATAATTTACCTCATGATCATCATCTGGTATTGTAGAAATGTAAAACTCTTCTCCATAATTGACTGGTTCATTCTCAACTGTACCTTGATTCATTCTTTAACGAAAAAAGTTTATGAAATGGTTGTTGATGATAATCACAATGCAAAAGGTATTACTTTTTTAGAAAGTACACATTTTTATAGCACGGGAGATAGTGTGATGACCAAGATAATTGACACGACCTTCCACTGCATCTTAATACAGTCTCGTCAAAATCGGAGAGAGTGGCTGACAAGTAGACTCCATTGCTTTCGTGAGACGGTATTGGAACATGAGGAGCTTTTATTTGTATCCGTTGGAGGTACTTGACAAGACTATCTGCTTTTTCTAAATATATCTAAACAACACATGAAATGTAGAAGTGTGTTTTGACTATAAAAGTTACTTACATTACACTAATAAATTGTTTGTTGCTTTAAAAATTAAAATTGCAAACATTGAATCATGGGTAACCTAACCCTAACACTAACCCTATTTAAAGTTTAGGGTTAAAAGGAGTCAAAAGTTTCATTAAGGCTCCTGTGTGTATTCTTCAGTCCTTGGCTTTACCTCTTCCATGAGTAGGAATCTCAGCCTGCAGCCTTCACACCAACAGAGGACATGTTCCTATGTTTCTTCTTCGTCCTGGCTATATCTGCTGGTCTGAGTCTATAAACTTCACATGCTGGTAGGCCTTGAGAATCAGTAGCAGGTCCCAAGCCCGGATAAAGGAGGAGGGATCCCTGGCTACAACCTGAGATCTTAGGACGTCTAAGAAAGTAGAAGAAGAGCCAGGGGACCACGTCCAGATGCCACTGGACTCAGTCACCGATGGCTAATCACCTTGACGCCATAAACATCTCGATTACAAAACCCCAGAGGTAGCAACCCAGTAGTGCTAAGGATGATGATGAGTCTACATGCCTGTTGAGTCATGTGTTCTATTATTATTTGAGTCCTAACACATCCTGGACTTATTAATTTCACTGTTAGTTTCTGAAAAAGGTCTTTTGATAAACTTTTTGAATCCTTCCATTGAACTGCTGGAGATTTTTGGCAATTTACTTTTTGTAAATGATGGTTCTACTCACAGATTTGTTGTGTTCAAGAATCCAGATTTCAATCATTAAAGTCATCAGCAGGTTGAAGATGTTACAAACATGTCTCTTGATATGAATTGTTAGAGTGAATATGTTTATATACTATTAAATATTATATATTTGATCAAATTAATGACTAATTCAAAATTATTTTCTTACAGTATTTATTAGGATAATATGTGGTTGTGTCGTAATTCACATTTTTTGCACGTTCAACATTGAGTGGCATTAAAAATTAAAGACCTCTCATTGGAATGTCACATTGGCGAGGGATCGATGGGTTCATTTTTATAATTCATATCGAGAGACGTGTTCGTAACTCCTTCGACCTGATGATGAGCATTTAATGCTGGAAATCCGGATCCTTGAAAACAACAAATCTGTGAGTAGAACCATAATTTACAGAAATGAATCTACATACCCAACCGCCATCATTTGCTATTTTTTGCAGTTTGGTATGAAGGGTCCAGGGCTGATAAGTATCATAGTCAAACGTCTCTTCTTTGTCACTCTGCCCTGTATGCCCAGGTAGTCAAACAATATCAATATTGTTGTCCTTAATGTCCGGCTTGGTCTTGATGCAATCCAAAATTACTCTGGACTTTACTTCCAATTAAATTAGTTGCCTTTAATGCTGCCTGGCTTTCCAAGTATATGGCTATTCATTTCTTGGTAATACACAGCATTTTGATCTCCTTGGCACATAACCTTACCTAACCATTACTAATTTTTTTAGCAAGTTCAATCCAGCTAAAGGTATTACTAGGAGGTAATGACCTTATCTGAATGAGTGTTGCTATAATTTTGGATGCTGTACAAATCTGAATGTACAGAGTAGACTTCCTTGCCTCAATGATTTTCATTACTGTTTTATTTTATGGGTTCTAGTTTTTTAAGAAGCCAGAAGTAAAGTATTAAGGCAACAGTGGAAGACCACTGATAAAATGCAGGTTATGGTTGTTAAATTAAGCAGGGGAATTGGTTGTGAAAGGGCTCTTGATTAGAAAAACATCAAATAACCAGACCGTTACATAAAATAGTTATACGTTTTATCTTAGCCTTTAAATTTTAACTAATAAATTAATTAAAAGCATACTTCTTTTAACAAATAAGCAGCTCTAAGATGGGTCTGTTCCATTAGCAAGCCACCACCAGCGCGAGTCCGACAATAGCAGAAGATATCCCACTGAAATGAAAAATATTGTTCATTATTACTTTAGACATTTTAATTTGACCTAATTTGAGAGTGAGAAAAAAGGGACAAACACTTGTATGTATACGTTAAATGTTTTTGTGTTTTGAGTTATATTACTATGGCCGGGACTCCAGGAAAAGAAGGATCTAGGCCAGCTACAGGCTAAGTATTAATTAATAGAATAATATCAAACGTATGATTCTCTCAGAATGGATACACATAAAGCTCAAAAAGAAATGGACAAACTCAAGAGGTGCCAGAAATAATAGAGTAATGGTTAAAGAATCCTTGCCAAAACTGGCAAACACATTTCTACAGCAAAAAAAGTGGTACTACTCAAAGGAGTGATACACAACATGTTAACTAGAATAATGGTAGACTATTGATAGAACTCGAGAAGGGTAACGATCTGAAAGGCCAGCTAGAGACCAAGTACCTTTAATCAGGAAAACAAAATCAAACACTATATACAAAAAGAAATGGACAAACTTTAAATGTGTCAGACATAAACATAAACTCCAAATAATTGTAGACAAAAGGAGGATCAAGCCAATTGAACTGAACTATGCAACTAGGAAAAGTAAAATAAGCCGGAATCTCCCCCCCCCCTGCTTCCTAGTATCCTCATCTATACCTTATACTATTGTTAAATGGGTTTTCTGGACTGTAGTGTAAAAATAAAGATTTAGCTAAATAAAAAAAAACAAGTACGATACCTCGCGACATCGGTGCTGTTCTTCCCACTGATTAAGCAATGTCCGTGACGAATATTGATTTAATATGGCATGAGGCGACCGAACAAACATATAAATGCATTCTGGATCTAATATTTTTTTCATATTTCTTTTAACTTCTCCCATTATTAAAACTAAATCAAAACTAACTCATACACAAAATATTAAAACTGAAGATGGGTTTTGTAGTATCCAAGGAAACGAGAATTAACACAAGAAATCAGATTGTTACTAATTTTAAAACAAGTATCAACAAAAATGTTTTATTAAACAAAATTTTCGAAGAAATACAGAACAAAGACAACATGCCTGAACATGTTGCAATGTAGCAAAAAGCCGATGTTGAAATGCTATTTACTAAAAACTACAGCCAGTTTATTAAAGGCACAAACACAATTTAGTCAAATTACCAAATGATTCATTACTTCGGGTTTGAGAATTCTTATTATTAACGCGGGCAAATCATACACTTTAAAAATATATGCAAACACATAACCTCTCTGTAGTCTGCACTTAAACCGCAGCTTAACGGTTAAAATTTTTGTAAGATTTAACTTTGTGTGTACTTCATTATTCAATAATTGATTAGTAATAATGTGAAAGGTGAATTTTTTTTTTTTTTTTAAGTAGGGTGAATTAAAATTTTGTTTTTAGTCTTAATACGACAGAATATAAAAACATCTTACCCACCTCGAAATTCCTGGCCTTCTTATCCCATCCTTTGACTAAAACGCCATTGCAATACGTATGTAAAACTGCATCTGTTTTTCTTTCACGTTTAAAGGTTTTAGCAACGCGAGATAAACACTTGGCATAATGCGAAGGTGTCATTTCTGCGTTCATATGTGACGAATTGGTTGTCACAGTTCCTGTCGATGCTGTGGATGTTGAAAATGTGGAATATGGAGAATAATGGGGGAAGACTTCGGAGGCTGATCGAGCCTGGGAAACTACCGAAGGCGTTGTCGTCGTCGTGCGTGTTGAAGTCGTACTGTTCAAAGATGGTGTGGATACTATGCTTTTATGCGAATGTACACTCGCTACAGAGATGTGGCTTACTACAGAAGAGTTACTGAGCCTGTTAACCTTGTTGGCACCCGATTTGATTGGCACATTTGGTTGTGGTATTCCGGAGGTGTCACTCATCACAGAAATCTCACTTATCCCGGATAGTTCGCTCATACTGGATAATTCGCTCATACTGGATAATTCACTCATACCACTCAACCCCGATGCCACGCTCAGCTGGCTGTTTTCCTTTGTTGGCAGGTCCCCTCCTATGGGCAGCTGAGAATGTATGGACATTTCCGATTTATTCAACATGTCCTGTTTCATCGGACAAGCACATGCAGAAGAGGAGTACATGCATTTCATACAAGGAGTATACATCGGTATTGAACAAGCCATGATCTGTTTGGTATCCTTTTGTTTGTTATGTTTTTGTATGTTATGTTTTGTATTTTTTTTTTTTTTAAATTAGCCAAAACAAATTACAGAAATTTAGAATTTGCTATTTTTTTAAACATTTCTATGACTACAAAATTGATTGAATTTGTTAAACTATTATAAACATATGTTTCAATGTGATGTAAGTGAACTTTAATCACTATTTCGATACTTTTTGTATATTCTCCAGCATTTATTGCCTGTTTCTAGTCTATATGGCAGTTTCAATAAATATAAACAATTAGACAAGACTCATTTTAATTATACTACAGTCAATCTTCTTCCTTTGAAAGGTGCACTAATTAATGTGGAATTAAAATGTCAAAATTGTTTTTATAAAAACCATCTATAACTAAACAAGTCTAACAAATGACACAATAAAAAAATAAATAAATAAAAGTTGTGTGTAAGAGCACAACCCTAGGTAGTGAAAATCATCCAACACTCAATTTAATCATACTTCATAGGAGGAAGAAAAGAAGCCCTCCTAGACATTCCAACATCGTCTCTTATCGATAGAAAAATCTATTTTAGGGCGCTACAACCCTTCCCAGGTCTTGGCCTTCCCCATGGTATGGTAAGGTATTGTAATAAGGATACTATGAAGCGGGGTGGTTTGTGCTCCTTAGGCACTGCAGCTTTCTGGCTTATTGTACCTTCCTAGTTCTTTAGTTCAGTGCAATAGACTCAATCCTTCTCTTTAGAAGTATCAAGTCATTGACTGTCGCTGCTACAATTTTATTCCCTAAGTTTTTTTTGTATTTTAGGTTAAATCTCCATAGAGCTGTTGCTTCGCATTTGAAGATAATATGAGTGCCTGTTTCTTCCTTCTCATTGCATAATCTGCAGATGGGATCATCGTTGTATATGCCCATGCTGTGTTGATGTGGCCTCCCCTATAAGTTTGTCAGTTCCTGTCATTTGTGGCTGTCTTCCGATTGTGAGTCAGTCTTGCTAAATCGCTTGAGGTGTGTGCATCGTTCCGTGCCAACTTAACAAACCAAAGAGAGTTTAATCACTTTTCACCCTTTTAAGCATGAGAATTTTTCTCAGAGTAACCTTAACTGTCAAGTACTGACAATTATAAATAGGAACCCCCCCTTTGCCTTAACCCTACCCAAGAAGTGCAAGTCGGCCCTCTATGCTGACAACTTGGCATTGTTCATGGAGGCCAACAACTATAATCAAGAGGTAGAGCTCTGACATTGACAGAATTGCCCATTTCTGCAATAGTTGGAAAGTTAAATTCACTTCATCTAAAACAGGAGAAGGTTGAGGCCCTGAGGTGACTGAGCATGTTATAGCAACTGGAAATATTATCCCTTGGTCGCAGAGTATTAAATATCTTGGCTTAATAACCATGGACTGGGGTTCTGACTTTCACCAAACACATGGATGACAGAGCTGACTGTGGCACTAACTGACAAAACTGCAATGAGGCTGCTGTCCACACCACTTTCTCAGACCTCCACGATGAGCAGATGCAACAAACAGCTCCTATATATCAACAGCCATGCTCTTCTATGCTTGTCCTGCCTGGAGTTCCACTTGTCGAACAAACCTAAACAAGCTGCAGGTCTGCCAGAAGACTTTTCTGAGGTTAATAATATTTCACCCAAGATGGGCAGGCAATGAAACCCTCCATAAACTGAACAACATGAAGACTATTGCCTCATATTTAGGGTCTCTAGAGGTGCTAAAACAAAATTTTACATTAATTTCATGAAAAAAAATTATGACCTAGTTTACTTGAAAAATATTTGGTTTTTAGAAATTTCTAAGTTATTGATAAACATTGCTAACTTTTACTATATTTTTTATTGCAATCTACATAAAAAATGCTGTAAAATGATATATTCACAAAGATGATTTGAGCAAATAGAAAGGCAAAATAAAAATATTAAAAACAAATTACAATTAAAAAAAAAAAAATTTTTTGGTGAGACCTGGGCCTAATCACAAGAAGTGGTGTATACATGTCCAATAGCACTTACAAAAATAGAGAGACTGTATGCATCAGTGTAACGGGAGCAATGAGAACATGTCTGATAGCTGGTTTGGAGAAGATACTGGGACTACACTCCCTCCACCACATGATAACGAGGACAGCAAAAAAAACTATTATTAGTATTACCAAACAGAAACATCCAATAGGAATAAAACTTAAATGGAGAGATAGCAACAGTAACAAAAGACAATCCGATACTCATGGCCCCAAGAGATGACATGAAGAGAATGTTTGAGTTGAACCAAAATTTCCAAATAAACTTAGGTACCAAAAAGGAATTTGAAAGAGAGAACAACTCCTCCTTAAGAATGGCACCGTATACTGGTACACAGACAGATCTAGAACACATGAAGGTACAGGGGCAGGAGTATTTGGTCCTGGAACTGAATATTCAGAACCCATGGTAAAACACCAGTATCTTCCAAGATGGGCGGGAATTTCATTGTAGAGTCGCACAGAGTTGGTTGTTATTTGTGGAGGGTCACTCGCTATGTGGATGAAATTTTGGAACATCATGTGTTGACTATCCTCGATGAAATCAGTGACAATCCTATTCTAATACAAGATAATCCCATTCACATGTCGCTCGCAGAGCGCAAACGTACCTTCCACAGCATGACATCAGGGTCTTAGCCTGGCCAATCCGTTCTCCAGACTTGCGCCCCATCGTACATTTATGGGATAACCTCAGAGGGAGAGAACATCCCTCACTTCCTTATGCCCTCCGTGATCTTGAAAGGACTTTTTGTGAAGAATTTTTAAATTTTGAATTGAATCTCAATTTTTGGCTTCACGGAACGTAACCCTCCTTATGGCATAGGAAAACAGAAACAACATTCGCGGATTTAACATACCCGGCAATTTTCTGGAACCAAACACCAGTGAATGTCAAGGGATTCTTGTACTACACACGATGACAGTAAAGACCGCCCTCATTTTCGCAAAAGCGCGCCAATCTTTGCAAATGGTTTAATTCGATTGTTTGTCAATTTTGATTGAGATCAGTCAGATGGATCATTAATTACCAGTAATTAAGGTTTTTTAGTTGAGATGAAAAAAAGTTAATGGCACGAGAGGGATTCGAACCCACGACCTTCGGCTTGATACGCCGCTGCTCTCCCCCTGAGCTATCGTGACCTCGATCCACTCGGACATCAACTCCCCATCCCAACCCCACCTTATACCCTTTTCAGCTGGTAGAGCAGCGGCTAACTTTTTTTCATCTCAACTAAAAAACCTTAATTAATTGTAAAGTATTAATTGGTCAAGCGGACCACGAAATTAGGGAATTACTAGTAAGTTACAGTTAGTTAAATACTACACCCGATGACAGAAATGGTGGCCCACATTTTCGAAAAAAAGCGCCAACCTTTGAAAATGGTATAATTCGATTGTTTGTCAAATTTGATTGATTTTGTATGAAATCTTCAAATCCTGTTTCCGAATGTAAAAAAAGTCGATTTGGGTTTTATTTGTATTTAGATTTGCAATTGTGAAATTAGCTTTTTTTAAAAAGCATTTCTTTGAGTTAGTTGTTATTGGTGGGAAGGAAAATGTACGAAATTCGCGATGGTGTGAATATCAGCCTGTTCCAGGTCGAAATAGTAAAAAAATGATACAAAATGTGAGAAAATCCCCTCGAGGTCGTGGACAGGTGATGAAGTCGGCACTGGACTGGCAGAGTCGGCAGGGTGTCAAACAACATCATCAGGCCGAAAGAGTGGCTCGGTCGTTGTGTAGCCCCCGGATTCGTCAGCCGTCTGCCAACTGGACTGCCCGCCAGGGTCTTCGTCTCGAAGGGTTCTCGGACAAAAGCTGGGTCTCGCCAACGGGCCTTCGACGGAGTGAAACGCGAAGGGAAGCCGGACGAAACGTCGGGGTCGCGGCTCCTGTCATGTCGGCCCTGCCAGCCTTCTGAAGAAGGAAAAAGACAGTGTCGTACTTGAGGGAAACATAAGAACTCAAATCCGGATCTGAGACGAAAGAGAAAAAATCCGACTGAATTTGGTTTATTTTTATTTTCGTTTATCGTCCCGAACGATGAATCGCAGTGACGGCCTGGTCCAGAGACGAAATGTGAATCGTGACGTATCCGGTGTCCAGAAGGAGAGCCAGAATGCGGACGAGAAGGCGAAGGACCGGGAGGAAGACAGCGAAGACGGTGACTCGAAAGAGACGAGGCTCACCCTCATGGAGGAAGTCCTCCTCCTCGGGTTGAAAGATAAGGAGGTAAGTGGTGGACTATCTCGGCCAAAATGGCACTTCCTCACCGGACGATTTTTGACCAAAAAAAGATCAACAAAAATCTACCCGATAACGATTCATCCTATAAATTACCTGGGTCATCAGAAGGATTTAACCTTAATGACCCGTACCTTTCACCCGAAACTTACGTACTCTCTCTTCAGGAAATTCTTGCTCACTTTTTTCATGAAAAATCTACTAAATTCTCTATTCGCCCCTCGGAATTTTTTGCTTATAATGTAATACAATTAACTCGTTTCGAACGTTTCTTCTTTAGCTTGTCTACGTTCCTAGCTTCTCCCTCTCTCCTGTTTGCAGGTGGCACCTGTCATCCCACCAATTCGACCTGTTCTAAACTGCTCAAAAATGAACCGGGATATTGCTAATTTTGTACTATTTACTTCCCCTAGCATATTTATTATAATTCGCAGTAAAATTTACAAGAAATTATTATGTTTTTAACTGAAGAAATATTTAATTGAGGGATTTTGAAAAATAACAAAAGGTTTTCATTAATTTTGTTTATTGGACACGATAATTTTTTAAACAATTAATACCGTGTATAAAGTTCTCTGTTAGCCAAAACATCTGTTAGCCATACTTTTAATAAATGTGTGGTGATAAGTGACCGTTAGTCGATGATTATGTGGAAATCGTGAGATGTGGTCTGGTGTGATGTAAGTCGCAGAAAAACATTTTCTTTATCGTGCCAATGTTTTGATCTTTAGTGAGATCATCTTCAGGGCCTGGGATTTACAAACGTTTAAATTTAACACATACATGTAGGATGTGGAAAAAAGTGAATTGATACAATGCAAAAAAATATTTTTTATATTCAAAGTATTTCTACTTATCGCTCAAAGTGTTTTCTGCGTAATTGTGCCATTCTTGCGTGTCGTGTTGAGAGTGCCAGTGAGATATTGCTGTTTTATGTTTATACACATTGGATTTTGAAGGGGTGGGGATTTTAATTAATTTAATGAGGAATTTCACTCCATAGATGTTGCAAGGCTTCACTCAGTCGTTCCGAGTCAACTGGCTGTTGGTGGTGATCGAAATGCCTTCTCTGCAACGCATCCCACATGTGCTTAATGGGATTGAGGTCTGGAGACGATAGGGAAAGGGGCAGATGGGAAATTCCCAGGTTTTCTAAACATTGATGAACCTCTACATCTATGAGGTCTGTCATTGTCATCCATAAATCGAAAATCCCTGCCAGTGAGATCCCCGGTTGGAGAGATGTATTCTTCAATAATTTCCTGTACATAAAGGACTGCAGTGAGGTTGCCTTCAGCAATATGGAGTCCACTTCGTCCTCTAGAGCCAATCCCAGCCCAGACATTACACCACCTCCTCCAAACTGCACTGAAGGGAGCATGAACTGGGGCATTGTCTGCATCCCCTGTTCTCGGAGACTCTTCGGCACCTGCTATCCCTATACAGGCAGAAACGTAACTCATTAGTAAACATAACAGCATTCCAATTGTTCTCTTTTATGTGCTTGCTGAACCATATTCTTGAGTTGCTGGTGGCGAGCTGTTGCTGCAGGTCGTTTCAAAGGGGCTACGATGTGAAGCCAATTTTGTAATCGTTTGTGTTGTTAAAGGCCTTGTCAAAAATCTTGTACTTTGTTTAAGATCTGGCGAGCACTATGGAAAGGGTTCCATCCTGCAGCAATGACAATATTTCTGTCCTCCCTTTGCGTTGTAATGCACTCAGATCCGTTACCAGTCCTCCTGTTGGCACTTCCAGTCTCTCGGAATATGGCCAAAGCTTAGAAAAGTTAACTGCCTCTGCGATATCCACCTGCCGGTGACCTCGATGACTCATTCTCACAATTATATGGTTCATGATGTCTTTCCATGGTTAAAGAGAATACAACTGGATTAAAATTGAGAAAAGACATTTGTTTACAAAATGAGTAATCTTCATGTTTACTATTCTTATTAATAATACTTGATTTGACAATTAATATAAATAACAAAACATACCCCTTTAAAAAACATAAAGTGTTTATAGCAATGGAATATCCGTCTGCTTGGAGTCGAGATTACAGATACAATATTGATAAAAGATAATTAAATAGCCAATAAAATATAAAAATACTCTCTGTGTTTTATAGTATAATCACAAAGAAAAAGAAAACAAAATAATCTAGTGAACACAGGACAAGGTAGATTTATAAACCATTAATTAAGTAAAAATTTTTTCTTGTAAATCAAAAATTGAACTCTTGTATCAATTCCCAGCAAACTTGACGATTTTATTAACTGCAGGCTTGGCTCATTTAAAAGTTTGACTAGGCTTTCTTTCGAGAGGACAGCAATACCTAGCAACACACAACACTACTTCACACTACAGATATGAAGCATGTGTCTTGGACAGAATGGTACATTTAGCCAAAAAGTGTACGATGGTTTCCTTTTCCCTTGTATTTCACAGGGAGCACATTTCTGTACCCCTCTGGCAGCCTATCAAGGGGGTGGAGTTAAGGAACAGAAATTCACCTCGGAGTTTGAAGACCCATTGGAGATCCCTCAGTTTTAGTATTCTTCCATGTTTCTCATTCGTAAACCAGAACAAAACAAGATTTCGTTTAAACTTCTTGTTCAAAAGAAACCTTGCCAGTATTCGGCCCAAAAACCTCATGCTATCACTAGACCTTATATTGGAAAGAATACATTGGAATTCTGCCATCCATTCAGAAGTATTGTCCCAAGAGAATCGGAAAGAAGGATGGTATCCCTCAGACAAGGAACACCAGTGCCCATATCAAAAAATATTTTTGTTTATTGTCTCCTGGGCTGTAATTTTCGGGTAATGGTGACCAGGGAGTTTTAGGGTATTGTATAGTTATTTAAAATAGAGCTTTAACGTGTGGAGAAATAAGGGATCAACACGGCTTTCTATACATAGCATATAATTTGGAATTCAATAAGGCAAGGCTGATACTGCTTGATGAAGTACCTTAACGATTTTCCCAACTGATCATAAGGTTGAAAACCCCCAACTTGACATCCGTACGTGAGAACAGAACAGCAAACCGCATCGTCTCTAATCTTCCAATGTCCAATTCACGTGTTCCCGTGCGAATTGAAGCCTGGACATTTTCTGAGCCGTGGTAAGAGAAGAGGCCCATGAGCCGAGTGCCTGGCCCTAAGGCTATTTTCATTGAACCTTCTTCTTATTGTCTTGGAAGAAATCGAAACCTTTCGGACTTGTTTTCCCAAATTTCTTATCCCATTTCCTGTTATGCTGCAATTTCATAGGGCCTGATGACAGATGAATCTATCGTTTTCTCATCTGTGAACCTAGGTTGCCCCTCTCCTGACTGTGAGTGTAAACCCTGTTCCTTTGAAGCGCCGAAGAACCCATCTTATTGTATAGTGGTTTACACTCAATCCTCTGGTGACTTCTAGCTTATATCCTTCCTCTAATAATGTTATGTCCCTGACACTGCCATACTCACTCAAATGCCTGACTGAAGCCATTGAAAAAGGTTTAAGAATAGGTACAATATCAAGTGAAATTGTTGAAGGAGAAAGTTTAACTGAAAGCGAACTTAGGGCATAGTTCTACTTTTTGTGCAAATGGGATTAATCAATACAAAAGTAAATAAAGGAAGTAAAAAAGCATTATTTTTTGTTTATTTTGACTATGATAGCTCCTAATTGCCTCTAACTAATGCCGAAAGATAATGGTTTTAATTTTAAACTTAATAAATTGAGTGGTGCGTTAAATCTGTCCATCAGTGTATTGGGAAAATTATGCACCCCCTATTGAAAATAATGCACATCTGATTAGGGATGGTTAGGTTGATGAAAAAAAAAAAGAAAGTCGGTCAATGTTGGAAATGACTGAATTGTACTTCACCCAATGCACTGGTCATGTTCAAACTGGTGCCAAATTATTTCAATTTCAATTAATTCAATTCATTTATAAATTTCATTGTAATCGAAACCATAGGTGTCATTGTTGTAAATAGATGTTCATATATGTTAACCTTTTGTAAAATAGTTGTTTTCTTTTAATTAAATATGTTTTACAAACACAAAAAATCGGCAATTTTTTATAATAATAATAATGTTATAACTTATAATACAATTTTCAAATTTGCGGATGTGGCCCAAATCTGTTCCAACAAATAGAGTAAAATCAAAATCGTCACATTTTCAGTCAATATTAGCTTTTTGTATTCTAATAGTTATGTACAAATAAGGTGCTGTAAAAAAAAGACAACAGATGAATCATCGTCTGTGTCTTTATTTTACCCTGAGTCGATTGAATTTTTTCTTCTGAAAAAATTTTTGAAATGTAGGATGAAAAGGCTGACATCGATAAAAATAAATAAATAAATACCATTCAGAATGTAATATTGTACCTGTTATTATATAACTATACAACACTCCAAATTACTTAATAAATAATGCTAGTAATTTTATTTTCCAGGGTTATACGTCTTTCTGGAATGACTGCATATCCAGCGGTTTGAGAGGATGCATTATCATCGAACTCGGTTTGAGAGGAAGGATAGAATTGGAGAAAGCCGGAATGAGGAGAAAATCATTGCTTAGTAGAAAAGTCATTGTAAAAAATGATTCTCCCACTGGTGATGTTTTGCTTGACGAAGCGTTGAAACACATGAAGGACACTGATCCGCCGGAAACTGTTCAAAGTTGGATCGAATATCTTAGTGGTTGGTAAAACCCATCAAAATTGTATGTCGCTGGATTTCTTCCGCCTGTTCAGTATTAATCCGCTTATTTATTTATGCATGTGTTTATTAACAATTTATCATTGTTATTGATGCTTTTAGTTAATAAAACTGGGTGTGTCACTAAATGGTGGAGTTGTTGATTTTTTAAACTTTTATAGCGAAGATTTTTCTTGAATTTGTATTTATAAAAAGAAGTTTATGAGAATCAATAGACTTTTTTCTAATGTTTTATTGTAATTAATCTATGATGATGTTGATTTAATGTCTTATACAAAATTCAATTAAACAAGGAGCTTTGGATTGAAATAATATGAATCTCGTAAGTTGAACAAGAGAAGAAAAGTTTCTATTCAGGTTCGTATTATTCTTTTTTCTTAAAAAAATAAAAATTTTATTCAACAATTAAATAATTGTGTGATTTTATCATTGATATAGATTATCCTTTAAACAAAAAAGTATGAAATTTTGTTGTGAAAATTTTTATTTATGTGCCAGGGTTCTTTAAAGTTATAATCTTAAATAAAACCCCACCTCAACTAATTGTTTTTAATATATTTTTTTAATGAGGGTTTGCAACAGCCAGAGGTCATATCAACCCTTGGGTCGGTGTTTTTGAAAAAAGCCCAATTGTAAGCTGGATTTGAACCCAGGACCTGGGATCACCGTTCAGTGATCGGCACTGTGTCAAATCCTAAACTCTTGCGACAACCCCCCCCCCTATTAATGTATTACATACATTAATTTAATTGAACTAATAAACTTATCCTTATTAAACTTAAGCAAACAGGTTTAAAAGTTAATAGGAATCTGGAATCTCAAATTTCAGTAAATTACCAAATTTATTTTTTGAGTTGTTTACGATAGTCTACCTCTGTTGCTCAACACCTTGTGCTGCACATTTGAAATTATATTTTCTCTTTTATCTCCTCGGGAACAGAGAGAGTTTCTACAGCCACTCCTCTTAGACACTCCGTATCAAATACATGCATAACATTGAAACAATTTTCATACATGGTGCTTAGTAAATTTGGTAAATTATATTCAACTTAACACACAATACATCAGTTACAGATGCTTATCTGTTATTCACAATACACTCCATAAATCCTTTAAGAGCATGGCTAATACATAATTTGCATATTATTCACGGAAAAACATTGAATCCTAGATATGTAACCTTGCTAAAATGTAAGCTGTCCCAAACCTTAATTTATCCTAACCTTATCTAACCTATCCTGTCCCAAACCTTAATCTAATCTAACCAGAAAGCAAGCCCATAGTTAACTTAATTCATCCCCAACCTAAACCTCCCTTCCCTAACTTAATGTGACCCTAAGATCAACTTAATCCTAACCTATCCTGTCCCAAACCTTAATCTAATGTAACCAGAAAGCAAGCCCATAGCTAACTTAATTCATCCCCAACCTAAACCTCCCTTCCCTAACTTAATCTGACCCTAAGATCAACTTAATCCTAACCTCTATGTAACCTATCCTGTCCCAAACCTTAATCTAATGTAACCAGAAAGCAAGCCCATAGTTAACTTAATTCATCCCCAACCTAAACCTCCCTTCCCTAACTTAATCGGACCCTAAGATCAACTTAATCGTAACCTCTACCTAACAACCTATTCTGCCATTAATTTAATTTGTCCCTAACATTAATATAATCTTAACTCACATCCAAACTAAATTGTTCCATACCTTAATATAACCTTCCTTTCCTGTAGCCTTGTTGGTGATTGGGTGCTCGCCATCAATCTTATGAATTTTGATTACAAAATATTCAACCCAGGAACTCTGTCTAACTTGAGCTAATCCGTCTCTACCTTATCTGTCCCAAACCTTAATCTAACCTGACCCCAAACTCTTCACCTGTGTGGGTAGCCTTGCTGGTGATTGGTTGCTTGCTGTCGGTCTTATCAAGTGGTTCGATTGCAAAATATGCAAAATATCCAATGAAGGGGGCCAAAACCTAAATCCTTTCTAACTTGACCTAATCTGTCTGTCCCCTAACTTAATCTATCTCTAACCTTCTTAACCTATATTAACACTTAACCTGACCTGTCTCTAGTCCTAGATGTAGATGTAAATTCAAGGGAATTGGTTTCTTTGCTGTGCCTTTTGAAAGCTGTTGTGTTGCATCCTCTGTTTGTACTTACAGTTTACCAGTGAATGGCAAGGAATTTGATAATTAGGTCTTTTTTTTGCTACAGTTAGGCTATACCCACCAATGCATGTCCTTCTGTGGATAAGAATAGGACACTAAAGTCTGTTATAGGCGGCGGGTCTCTTATGCCACTCTGTTTTAGTATTTCTTAAGTGCTGATTCAGCATAAAAGTCCTGTTAAGAAATGGAGTCTTACTGCTTCCCTTGAATTCTGTAGTCTCTCTTTCTATTCCAAATCTCACCAAGAGGTTTTTTTTTTTTTGAGTGGTTTATGTCCAGTAAGTGAATTCCATTGTTTTCTCACTTTCCAACTTCCTTTTGGTGATTAGTACGAGGTACCACAAAAGAGATCTTCAATCCCATTTAATCCTGCATATCCAGGGATTGACCCTAACCAACTATGCTCACTAAAATGGTCACACAAAAAAATGTGCATTTACAGCCCAAAAACATCCATGTTTCATAATACTGGACACTTTTTTATTGCATCTGGAATGAGTCACAGTTTTTAGCATGAAATCTTGCATGTACGCTGATTGTAAAATAGTGCAGTATATGCTTAACTAAACAATTGAATAGGCTAAAAGTGTATTTGAACTTTATCGGCCCTTATTGGGCTTTTATGGACTTTCCCTTATATGGCAGTCTTTTATGTCGTGTTTTAGGCGAAACATGGAACCCGCTAAAGTTACGATATCAATTGAAAAACGTGAGAGAGCGACTGGCTAAAAATCTCGTCGAGAAAGGAGTGCTAACAACGGAAAAACAACATTTCCTACTGTTTGACATGACCACTCATCCTCTCACAGATAACGTAGCAAAGTCCCGCTTGATTAAAAAGGTAAACTGAAGTTTATTTTATTTGGAACATTTACATCATATAATATCGTTTGTGTTGCCTTTTAGGTCCAAGAAGGTCTTCTATCCAAATGGGTCAACGACCCTCAAAGAATGGACAAGAGGCTTCTTTCCCTCTTGGTCTTAGCCCACGCTTCAGACGTATTGGAAAATGCTTTCGCACCGCTCAACGACGACGAATATGAGATGGTTTTAAGAAGAATCAGGGAATTGGTTGACCTCGATCTTGAAGCAGAAGGAGCGAAAGGTTGTCCAACGGACGTCCATTGGGCTGTATTTGCAGCATTTACAAAGTAAGGATGCATATACATGCTTGCAAGGATATATATATTTTGTATATAATTTTGGTTGTTTTAACCGGACATTCATATTTTTATTTAAACTACATGTATTTATATTAATACATGCCTTTATATTAATATNTAAGGCAAACATGATTTCTTTTCTTTTTAAACATTTCAATTGTTATTTTAGCACTTTTTCTTTTCTAACTTCCTTCTAATATTTATGTATTTTAAACAAAACAATTATAATTTTTTATTTATTTTGTAAAAAATCTGTGTTTAACATGGATTTATTTAAGAAATTTAAAAAAGGGCATAAATAATGAAAATTAATGACATTTCACTTGGCGCCAATAAATCTAATTAAATCTTTTAACATTAATAAATCATTTTTTCTTTTTGCAATGGGAAGTTAATGTTAGACTAAAAGTTTTTTTGGGTTAAACTCTTTTGGGATCAATGAGGGAAAAAATTGACCCTTCCTGTTTGCAAGTGGTTTTTATATATTAGTTACTATATACTTAGCATTAGGGTTGTGGTCAGAAATGTTTTTGATCCTAATCCTAAGTGACTGTTAGAAAGGCTGGTCGATTGCATAGAAGATCCTATTAGTTTTTATATATTGTAAAACAAACCCCCTATTAAATGTTGTAGTAGAACAGGAAGTTATTGAGCAATTTTCAAATTATATTTTACATTTGAATGTATATAAAAAAATGTTTAAAATATTCTGTGAAATATATAACAAATACTGTGATCCAATATTGGGCACAATTTTTGAAGAGTGTTAACAGGCTTTCTTGTGGTCTGTGGTCGTTACCGACCATCCTGGTTGGCCTATCTTCGCTGGATCTGTCGATCGCCATCTTCAGTATTCAAAGATGGAAATTTTAGATTTATCTTCAAGTGTCAAGACAGTTTCAACCTTTTTTGCCTGACACCTATTTTAACGATTTTGTTTAAGATTAGTGGGAAATTCTGTGAATTTGAATCGGGCGCTGTGTGGCCTCCTGCAGTGTTTTTGTCCTGTTGGCAACACTGAATTGTTTTACATCAATCTAAAATCTCCATTTTCGATCTTCAGTCTTCAAACTCTTCACCACCATTGCATTTCATATTAGTTCTTATTTTTGTCTAGTAGATAAAATTTTCTTAAATAAAGTTTCTAAATTAAAATAACCCTTTCCGGCTGAAAGTTACCTCAGAATGACACCAACTGCAAAAAATTTCTTAAAGCTTAGTGGGAAATCCCTTGAGATTAGGCCCAGTGTTACCACCTGCAGTTTTCTGTGAATTGGCAATGTTGGCTCGCTGAAGATGGCGAAATGCCGAATGACAGACCAACACGACGAGTATAGGCAGACCAAAATGATCAGTGACAAACCAGATTCAATAAGTTTTGAAATTATTACTATTCCTTGCATTTTTTGAAATTGTTTATTTCTGTTTTCAAAATCAGGTTTTTCATTACAACGTCCATTTGAAATTTTCTGTTTCGATTTGAAATGCTGTAAATACTGTATATTGTGATACGTATATTAGTGTAAAAATGTAAATAAGTAACCACACTAAAAAAGACCATCCTTTTTTCCCTTCTATTGTAATACTTATTTTGTAATTGTTAATAAATAAATTTTGACTACAGTGAAACCCTTCTTAGTGGACACATCGCTTAATATTTATGTTTGCACAGTCCTGGGGGAAAAATAGATAGGATATATTTTAAAACTTCCAGACAGCAGCTGTCAGCCCCCATAGAATTAGGTGAATAAGTGAAGGGCCTAAAGATGCCTACTTCGGAAGTAGTATTGTGCCGAAATGTTTATTATGATACATTTATTAAATGGTGGCTTGACAAAATCATCAAACTTGGGTCCCACCCCTCAATAACAGACATAATCCCCTTGTCCATTATAGTAGGATTTCACTGTATTTCATATTTATATTGAAATTCTAAAGGCTGTAGTGCTTGTATGACATTTATAGGGTGTAAAAGTAATCTAGCTTTAACATTGCAAGCACTTTTTCTATTTTCTTTTTTATACATGGTTATGCTTGGGGAAATTTAGTTAATAATTCTGTCCCTTGTTAATATATATTGCTTAAAAATAAATCTTATGAAAGAAGTTATACTTTTTAATTTAAAAAGAAAAAAATCTAAGGTTAAGATAGAGGATTTAAAGACTAGCAAGAAAATAAGTGGAAATTAAATGCTTTGTAAGAGGATTTAAAGACTAGCAAGAAAATAAGTGGAAATTAAATGCTTTGTATACTTTTGCTTTGCTTTAAGCACTAAAAAAAAGTTATATTCTCACTTTTTATTAAGTTTTGGGTACAATCAATCTTTATTTGCTTTTAATTTCCTTGCTATATATATATATTTTTTTTAAATTTTTATGATAACTCACTTATCTTTTTACAGATAATTAAAATGGAAAATTGAGGGAAAAAATCTATTTGTTGAGCAGACCACGCAATGAAAGTAAAACAAATATTTTAATTGTTTTAATTTATCGGAAAAGCTAAAATCAAATAAAGACTTGAATTTTATCATACGGTCATGTATAATAAAAGTGTATTTAAAAAAATTCTAAATTTTGTTATCATCTTACAATGAGAAGAAAAAATAAACTGAATAATTTATAATAATGTTTTTAAATTATACTTTGCTTTCAGAAGTTAAATGTTAATTGCAGTCCGTTTGCATCAGCAGTTGGATGACTGTTTTTTCCTTTTTCTTTCTTTTATTGGCCGTTTATTATTTTATTAAATTTTACCTTTATTATACGTTAAGAAGTGCAATTTATTGTGTATTAGTAAATTGAATTTCTCTGACAAATTTGGAAAATGATGTGCATCACAATCAACATGTGTGATCTCATGGAAGGAAATTTCTGTTTGTACAGTACATTTTACACATATTATGTAATCTTTGTATATTAAATTGTATATTATGGTCAAATTTTAATAAACATTGAATGAATATATATATATAATTAACTTATAACAGTGTTTTCTTATTTTCGGCCTTATACTACCACATTAGTTAACTGATGTACTGTAAGTCCTCGAGGCTCCACTCGCCTCATCTCACAACATTCAACCAAATTGCCAAGGCTTGGTGGGTCGCCATATGCGTGTGCATCATCTTCAGGTGTAAGGGGCACAAAAACCCACCCAATTGATACGACACTATCCATGATGTATGAGAAATGTCCTATGATAAATAACTATCAGCATTTTTGTTATTTATTCCGGCTATTTGGCTAGGCCAACCTTCAAACCTCCAGGTGTTTCTAAGCGTTAAGGCAGACCGGCTTACGTCTATTAACCGAACAAAAGGATCAATGAAATATGTAGAATATTGGTAAAGAAGTATACATTTCTGGGGAAGTTAAATGCAAAGGAGAGATGCACATTTGGGTCAGGTTAAGTTAAAGAAAAGGTTAGGGATGATGTTAAAGAAAAGGTTTAAAACTACAAAAGAAAATTTTTGGGTAAGAGAAATAGCAACAACAACTGTCCTAATTTCATATAGAAGAACTGTTCGTCTAATGCTGACTTTCACAGTGAGTTGGAAATTCAATAATTTCCACATAAAGAAAAGGTAATTTCTATAAGAACTTTGGATTTAGTGACTTAAGGAGAGCGATTCAAGTTAATTATATTTTACATTAAACTATCTTTAGTAAGGTTAGGTTTTGGTTAAATTAGATAGGCTTAGGATTATGTTTAGAGATAGGTTGAGTTTAGGTTATATGTTTGTAATTCCAGACCTGAATAATTTGGAGTTTGGAAAAGAAATAAGACCTGTAAATAATTTTCAAAGAAATTTCCTTTAATGATATTGTCAAGTTTCATGAACTGATGACAGCCTGTTGGAGAATAAGATGGGTGCGCTTGCTAGCCCACACTTTTTAAGTTCACAATTCCCTTGAATTTCAAAACATGAAATTCAGCTTAAAACATGAGGTCAGATGTGTGGGAAGTATAGGATGCTTCCAATTCCATAGAATAGTTCCGCATTACCGGTAGTGCACATGGATTGAATTAGGGTTAGGTTAGATTAGGTAGGGATAGGATTATGTTTAGGAGTGAGTTGGGTTAGGTTATGTGTTTGTAATTCCAAAACTGGGTTAGGTTACACTGTATTGACTCACCGTAATGTAGGATGGACAGGTGAAAAGATCTTGTCCACTCTTCAAAGCAAAACTCATAAATTTACATCGATGGGCAAATTTAACACACAATTCAAATAGCTTAAAAATCCATTATCTTTCTACTAGTTACAAGTAACTAGTTGCTATCGTAGTCCAAATAAACAGTAAATAATGTTTTTTTTACTTACTTTGTTTACTTTTGTACTGATTTGATACCATTTGCACAAAACGTACAATTATGCCCTTCCATATTCAACCTTTCTGCTACGCCTAAAGATGATTTCAGTTCATCTTTCTCCTTCATTCATTTCACTTAATATTCTTATACTTAATCCTTTTTAAATGGCTCCGTAAATCAATCTACAATAGGAAAGGTTCTTCAGCGCTTCTGAGAAACAGGGCTTCACACTAGAATGCCAGGACTGGGTCGACCTAGGTCTACAAACGAGAGAAAGACTATAGATTCATCCATCATTAGGCTTTACAAAACTGCAGCATTATGGGTAATGAGAAGAAATATACATGTAGTGTAATTCGCCCCCCCTCTACCTCAGTGAGAGATTCTTGCTAATAGCCCCGAAGAGCACGTATTGTGGTTGACTAGCTCAAGAGGTTGGAATTGAGTGCTTGGTGTGTGCCCAGCTCGAAGTTCAGATTTGAACCCAATCTAACACATTTGGGACCAACTTAAGTGACGAGTACGACGGTGAAACCCAGGTCGTAACACCCTAAAAGAGTTAGAAACTGCTTTTCTTAATGATCAGGATTTTACCAGAAATCTTTTTCAAAGAATACAAAGGAGGTTAACTGGCATGATTCGTGTCAGAGGTAGAAATACTCAGTATTAAAGAGGACAACTTTTTTTTAAAAACATTTTTCTGTTTTTTATTTTTTGTTCTTTACTCAATTTTTTTTGTTAGGAAATAAATATTTTCTTTTTGAATGTCTTATTTTTGCATCCAATTTATTTTTGGTATGCAAAATATGAATAAACCTAAGTATGTATATCAAAATTTAAGGTTTATGTTGTCCATCAGTGTATTATAAACTGCTCAAACATGAATAGGGTTATTTGTGATTTGTTCATATTCTATTAATTTTATTTAAATTAACCGATATATTCTTGTTAGTTGGGTAAAACAAAATAGAAAAACCAAATAAATGTTAATCCTCATTTTTAATAATGGAAATACTTAAGGATAGTAAACATGAAGCTTTAAATGAAAGAAAATACTTTAAAATTGGCAATATCCCTATTCTTTTTTGAGCATTTTATTTGACGTCATAATTTCTAATATTGTAAGCAGAAGTTTATATTTGTTAAACGTTTAAATCATTAGAAATAGTAAGGTTCTGAAGAAATTGGATATATTCATCAAAAGGTTGACGATTAATCTAAGAGTTTTTCTTTCGTTCAAATTGGCCTTATACATGATCTGTTATATGTAGTTAGGGTTGGGTTAGGGTATGGACAAGTTAGGTTAATTTATAATAAATACGTTATTGTTCTTAAATTAGAATATTAAGGCTGACATCAACCACCTCAATATAGAATTAACCTATATTGAGCTTTCTTCAAGGTGTAAACTGAAGTGCATTCTTACGTTTGCACTTAAAATTAAGAGATAATCACTGAAATCTGTTGGCTTTTGTTGAACCTTATAAAATTTAAAATTTTTCTCAAATGTCAGATCTTAGCTCTTATCATTTTTAAATAACAAATATTGATAAAAATGCATTTTTTTAAACTTTCGTTCCTCTACTGTCAACAAATCGCCTGTCCTTAAAATTAACATTAAATTAAAAAATTAACATCTGAAAAAAAAAAATCACCATTCTATATATCATCTGCTTGTTCCTTTAGGGTGGGATATCAAATCGGAAGTTTGTGTCTGATAAGAGTCCCTCGACAGCATGAACATTAAATAAAAACTTTCATTTATGACCAATTTTATTTATTAATACAAAATATGTTATTAATTAGTTTAATCACAAGAAAACAAATAAATATTTACTTTTTAAGCACATTATTATTTCATGAACGAACTCCTGTGTTTCGTCACAATTGTTACACATAAATTATATACATTTATACAAATAAATTAATAATTGTTCATTTTCTTGTCTAACTTGTTTTAAAATCGATAATTTGTCTTTATACTGGATTTAATTTAAAATAATTACAAAATGACCACTTATACGGACACAAGACTGCAGTTTTATTGCCTTTTTGGTGCGACCAAATTTCCCTTTGATACTTTTTTTTTAAATTATCTGAACTCTGCACTCGTTTCTTGGACAATCCCTGAAGTTTCTTTGGAAATTTTCACCTGCTCATCACTTACTGGGATCTACCTGAAAAAAAAAATGAATCTAGCAAACAGCATCATGTACCAAAATGCATAGTAATTTTAAAAATGTATGCATAATGTACTATTAGTTCATGTAATAATTGATTATTAGATTCCTTTTACATATGCTGACAACTATTTTTAATTAAGCAGCACCAAATGAGATAAATGTCCAATGCCATATTAATAGATATACCAGAAAATAGCAATTAATTGGAGATGTTTTATTGTTATGTTTTAGGTAGGATAAACAATATTTTTGTGTTATTGACTTAGTGCTATTGAGGAGTGCACAGGGATTCAGTTAGGTAGGCCTTGGGTTAGGTTTTGCTTATATTAGGTAGGGATAGAGTAATGGTTAGGAATAGGTTGGTTTTAGGTTATGTAATTTTAGAACTAATAATTCAGAGTTTAGAGAAGAAATGTAATCCTGTGAATAATTTTCAATGATTTTCTCTTTAATGAAGTTGTTCAAATTCCTAAAAACTAATGAAGACTCGTTGGACACAAGTCTCGAGAGGTGGGTGCGAAAGAACTTGGTAACGCTGGTCTGATGTAAAAGTATGGATAGGACTTTTGATTCTGCAGAACAGGGGTTGGGTCAGGCCAAGGTTGGGGCTAGGTTAGGTTAAGTTAGGTAGGCTTTGGGTTTGGTTTTGGTTAGATTAGGAGTGCACATGGGTTGGGTTTGGCTTGGCAGAGGCAGGGTGAGATTAGATATGGTTAGACATGATTAGGTTAAGTAAGGGTTAAACTAAGGGTCAGAATGAGGGTAGAAATGTTAGGGTTAGGTTATTCTTTGGATTTTTTGCTTTCCCCATGATTTTCTCTGTTCTTTATTTCAGCCACCAAATAACTTGTAAATGTTATCACTGGTAAATTATGACTGATAAGGTAGGCAAGTTCTACCATAGAATAGAATTTTTGCCATATCCATTTTGTGTTTTGTGCTCTGTCAAGTGTCAAGGGTTCTCTTAAGGTTAAATTTATCGTTAACCTTTAGTCCAGAACTATATCCTAAGTTTACACTATTTAGTTGCAAAATTTTACTTTCAATATTTTAGAACAAAATCAATTTATAAAATATATTGTGGTCGAGGAATACCGTTTGGTCCTGTGAGAACTCGAGTAAGCTTTTCTCGTTGTCGGAGATAGTTTAATCCTGATTGCCTTGGCTGTGCTGGTTTCGACAACTTTGTATGGGATTTCTCGCAGCTGGCTTTCAGTCATCCCTGCAGTATCGACAAGACTGAACTGCAAATGCTTTTTCAGTTCCTCAGGCATGTGGGTTTTGGTTTCAGAAGGCGACCTTGACCTTTAATTAATAATTTCATTATCATTTATCAATAAAATATAGACTTGTAACATACCTGTGTTTCCTATGACGTCTACTTTTATGATGATTGAATTCATGGTCTTTCTCTACATAACCTCTTTCTGAATGAGATCTTGTCGATGTGATAACTTTGGCTTTTTGTACAAGACATCCTTCTGCTTGTTTTCTTTGAACTTCTTTCCATTGTTCCTTAGAGTCGACCAGAACATACCTAAAATGACGAATATTGAGTGGGTATTGAAAAGTTTATCGACAAGGTGAATGGTACTTTTGACTAGATGAACTTCGGCGTTTACGGTGGTCTCGTTCACTCCCGGACGAATGCTTACTCCTTGTTCGTCTTCGTCTCGATTTCCCAGAACATTTCGAAATCTCGCTCTCATTGTCTGAACCCCTCCTTTTGCTATTATGGCGTGTGTTACTTCAAAATAACACAAATTAATAAAATTTCACGAAGAAATTGAAAATGTAACATCCTGGACAAAGACGATTCACCTTTTGCAAGATTTGGAATCATTCGAAGATCGACTTTCAACTGAGACAGATCTTCTTGAAGAAGAAATCCGTAAATTAGATGAATAAAGACCTCTTGCTGGTGGTAAACTTTGGGTGCTCCTAGGGGAATCACTTCTCTTCCATCTTTCAGCAGAAAAGTAAAAAACATTATATGTATAATTGTTAACTAAGAACAAGAAAAAACTCACTGTTCTATTTGTGAAAACAAGTTTGTTTCGGTAGGTGAAGGAGACTCTTGTTCAATAACTTTTTCTTCTGATTTTGCTGTGAAAAAGAAACATAAAATATGACTTTGTACTAATGAATATTTTTTTAAACGTGTGATTTTAGTTTTGTATTAAATCATGTCTTTTAATCCAAATAGAAAAATAATTTTAAAACAAAAACCTGGCACATTTTCGATTATTCTTCGTTGAAACCTCCTACTTGGAACTCTGACGAATGGTTGGTTGGCACGGCTTCTCCCGTACTCCGTTGAGTCTTTCAGCCCACTATTATAAAAAAAAATTGTCAGACTTAGCAATTTTATTTATTTAAAAAAAAAAAAATCCATTTTGAGATTTTATTATGGCTTTTAGCATTATATATTTTTTCTAAGAGCTGGTTTGCACTTTTGTATGCCATGTTATAAATGCATTATCTCAACTTCATCCAATCCAATCCAAGGTGATGTGTCATGAGCCAAAGTTTGTAACCCAAAAGTTCAGAGTCAGGGAGTAAGGCAAAAAGTCAGAGAGCGAGTCAGAGAGAAAGGCAAAGATTCAGAGAGTAAGGCAAAAAGTCAGAGAATGAGGCAGAGAGTGAGTCTGAGAGTAAGACAGGAAGTATGAGTCAGAGTCAGAAAGTAAATCAAAGTGCAAAACAGATCCTGATCTGAGTCAAAGAATCAGAGAGTACAACTGAAATTCAGAAAATAAGTCAGTGTCAGAAAGAAAGACAGAGAGTCAAGAGTAAGACAATGATTTACAGAGTTAGAGTGAGACGGAGAAGTGTAAGGTATCAATGTGAAGGAGAATGAGTTGGTGACATGAGATGAGTCAGTAGGTTCTGAGTTCATTTATGCAATTCTGCATTTGGAGTGCTCAGTTCAGTTCAGCAGAGAGATCAATCACTTGAGCCCACAGTCTATGTTGGGATGGAATTCCATCAAGTTCATCAGTAGAACAAGGTTGTCCAGTGATCCACTGCCACCACAATCTACGACCCAGCGCAACAACATTCCTTCTCAGTGCCACATGCGGCCTATTTAGCCCTTACAATCAGTTATCAACTGCCATATATAAGAGTGGTAATAGTTGAATAGCCCCCCTCCTACTTACAAAATAGGTAAAGTTTGTGGGTAAGAATGTAAAATGTTTAAATATTAAACACCTCGGGTTAGCAGTTGATTGTGTCTGCCTGAAGAAGTTGTGATGCTCGATTGAGCATTTGTATAAATGCCTGCAGGCTCCTTTTGACGGTGTTTCAAAGCCAAAAGTGTTTTCTTCATTCTGTAAAATTATGTGTTATAGGAGTGTAACTTTACAAAAGAAAAAAAAGAAAACAAAAATAATTTACTTTTTTGTCATTGATCCTTATCATGAAATATTTCCCTTTGTGAAATATTTTTGTAATTCTTGGCCTATAAAATAGAAGCATTTGAGCAATTCAATTTATTATATGCAAGTTAATTGAAAATTACTAAATGTTGAAAACATGCTTACCAAAAATAGCTAGCTACTTTGTTCTTGTTTCTTAATACTATTACACCAGTGGGTGTAAGACCTAAAAAGTATTCTGTATTGTCTTCGCCCTGAAAATTCATTTCAATAGACATGAAACAGAATAAAGATCGATTTCTACGAGTATACCAATTACCAGAACAGGATGCAAATCTACACCATACATCTCAAGCCATTTTACTTTCTCTAGGTAATTTAGTTCTGCAAGTGCAGGCTGCTGACCTCTGCAACAAAATTAGTAAAAAATATTTTCCATAACAATCAATAAAGATAAAGGCTTCAAAAAGGAAATGACCACCGCAGATTTATTAAATTGATTCATTGTTTCCAAAATGTATTCCATTCTCTCCAGAGTTCATCAAGGTTCACTATTTTGGTTTTTTAAAACCTTTTTAAGAAACAGATTAATTTTTCTTTTTTTGCTTTGGGGAATGAACAAGGTTGGCCAGAGGAGGATTGCAGGACCATCTATACGCCCAGAACCTATAAATGGGATAACAAGGAGTGGACGAACTTCAGAGGTGGCCAGACATAGTAAACCCATGATTAAAGAACCCCCACCAAAACTGGCATACATTAAGTTAGACAGGGTAAAAAAGGATCAAGGAGTAATGGTTGATAAGCTTAAATACTGGTCACTTGCATCTGAGAAAACACCCATTTATAAGTTATGCATGCAATGAGGAGAAAGAAACTTTCACCCATATTATCTACGAATGCTCAGCAACTGTTCAATGGACACAATAAACAAGGGTACCAAGAAGACCCGAGAATAGTGCAGCAATGAAAGACAACGAATAGGGACAGGTTATGGTTAGGGATGTGTTGGGTTGGGGTATGGTTAGGTCAGGTTAATGTTATGGGTAGGGATGGGCTAGGTTAGGTTTATAGATAGTTAGGGACGGGTTGGGTTAGGTTTAGGAAGGTTGAGCTAGGCTAGGTTAGATTTATGATATAGGATATGTTGTAGCCTAGGATTATGGTTAAGTCAGGTTATATTGGGTTGTCCGGAAAATAATGCAGGATTTTGGTATTAAACAAAAAAAAAGAAACTAGTTACTTTAAAGCAATGTTCTTTAATCAAAATAATTTCCCATACTCTCAATACATTTCTCGCAACGTGTTGGTAACTTATTAATTCCGTCTGAGTAGAATTCAGAATTTTTAGAATTGATAAAGTCAATAAATGCATTTTCCAGTTCCGTTTGATTTTTGAATATTATGTGTTGTAAGTAGTGGTCCAGGTGTCTAAAAAAATGGTAGTCAGTAGGCGAGAGGTCCGGAGAGTAGGGTGGGTGAGGCAAAGTTTCATAGCCAAGCTCCAATAATTTTTGTGACGTTACACGTGACACATGTGGTCGAGCGTTGTCATGCAACAAAATGGGCCCTTTCCGATTGACCAAAGAGGGCTTCATTACTGCCAATTTCTGATGCATGGTATTAATTTGGTTACAGTATGATTCAGCATTGATGGTTTCGCCAGGATTTAAGAAGCTGTAGTGTATTAAACCAAATGAAGCCCACCATACCGTAACCATTACCTTTTTTTGATGAGTTGGGGGCTTTGGAGCTTCTCCTTTGTCGAGCCACTGTCCAGAACGTCTAGTGTTATCGTAGAGAATCCACTTTTCGTCACATGTAACAATTCTGGCCAGAAATGGGTCATTTTTGTTTCGACAAAGAAGTGATGCACAAACATCAAAGCGCTGATTTTTTGGCGATCGTTTAATGAGTGTGGAACCCAATTTTCGAGTTTTTTCACTTTTCCAATCGCCTTGAGGTGGTCAGCGACGGTCGTTTTACTGACTTTGAGTTGCTCTGCAAGTTCTCGAACAGTTGTTTTGGGGTTTTCTTCCACCACTGATCGCAGAACATCATCATTAAGAGAGGAAGGCCTTCCACGACCTTCTTCATCTTCAAGGCTGAAATCTCCCTCCCGAAATTTTTTAAACCACCTTTGCACAGTGCACTCATTAACACAACCCTCGCCCCAGACTTGGTTAATGTTTCTAGCCGTTTGGGCTCCGCTTCGGCCGAGTTTAAACTCGTAAAAGAAAATCGTACGAAATTCTCGCTTTGACATTATAAGGATGACTGAATTATTTCCAAGTAGCGGAATGCTACAGAGGTAAACAAACAATATCATTTGGAAGAGGATTAATAAGTGTTGACATTCATACAAATGAGTAATCCTGTAAACGTAAACAGAATATTTTATATAGATTTTTTTTAATGAAAACTTAAAATCCTGCATTATTTTCCGGACAACCCGATAGTTAAAATTAAGCATTTCTGTCCTTTATTTTATAGTTATAGATTATGATAAATTCCATCTTTCTTAATTACTACATAGCAGTCAAGTAACAAATTTAATTTGGTATTAATGAAATATAACTTTGATGCTCGTTACGGAGAAGTACACATGGGTTAGGTTAGGTTAAGCTAGGGTTATGTCCTGGCCAATAATAGTTAGGCCAGGTTAGGATTGGGCTAGTTGATTATGTTAGATTAGGATTGGTTAAGTAAGGTTCAAGACAGGAAATGTTACTTAGATTAGGTTAATATGTGAGTGCAAATTGTTTTAGTTTGGATTTTGGTTTCTGTAAAATCACAAATCTAATATTTGTTCTAAACTGTAGTTTTATTAAACATTTAACTTTTTAAAAAATTATTAACTTACACAAGTTCTTTGTGAAGTTCGGCGATTTTGTTTTCCATCTCGACAGTTTGATTTGAGACAAAACGAAATTCCGATACATAGCCTGCTGTATGCCTTCTAGGATCAAAATCGCCTAATTCAGCTGGAAAGTATGATGATAAAATAATTATTTTCACTTTTTAATTACTTATTTTACTCAAGTGAAAGTGACTTGAATTAATATATAAATTTGATTGTCTTATTTGTTGGAAATTCTTGCCTATAAAAGTGCAAAAAAGTGTATATCGTACATTGGACAAGATAGGCTCCTAATTCAACTGCCAACTCAAATGACACGGGAAGTCTTCCTTGAAGGATATCCTGCTTCAATTGAAGAAAGAATTGGTACCTGAGTGAAAAATAGTACAATATAGATTCAGGACAAAAGCAGATTTAATTATTTTAAACAAAGAGATAAAACATCACACCTGGTAACTTCTTCTGTCAGTTTACAAGGGTCTACTGCATAAAATTTAACCCCAAAATAAAGAGTAAACCTTGTTTTGCCTAAAAACACAAATAAAAACATAATTAGTATTTTTATTAATGAAAAAAAAAAATACAAAAATAATTTCCTGCCTTTGAGTTGTTTAAAAACTGTCTTCTTAGAATCCAACCAGTGCTAAAAGAAAAAGTTTTATGTTTAATTATTTTATACGTTACAATCAAACAACTTTGAAAGAGATTTTCCTCCTGTGGACTACGGGGTAAGGGTAATTTGTTGGTTACTGGTCATCCTGGTCAGCTGGGTTCTGTCATACTTTGTGCTGTTCACTGAGGGCAGTTGATGATCCCATCTTGGGCCCATCTTCCTCAGAGTGGAACATCTTATGTGTATAGTATTTGTTAAATCATCAGATGCGAGGTCAAAAGCCTAATTACTTGCCTAGGTGGAAATTGTTCACTCAGCTTCGATAGACCAATATGCATCTCAGGCTTGGGACTAGACCTCTTCAGTACGCTTAGGTGATTGTGTGAAGTCTATTCTTTTTTATAAGGTATTTGTAGACATTATTTTCAACGGTGCCTTTGGTGTATTAAGTCTGGGTGAATTTGGTGGGTTTTTAACTTTTTTTTTTTAGTTCCCAGTAGACTTCATTCAACAACACCCTCACTGATTAAGCTAAATGCCGATGTGTATCTGACAGGACCTGACTGAAGATAGGCATACCGGATTGATAACCACCTAAGGTTTGAGAATAGAACCAAAATTATTACATACCGTCTGATTATTGGGATCAATGTATCTCAGTCCAAAATGTGCGGTTTCTATTATATTCAGATGTTTGAAAACTCCATTCATAATTTCTGACCCTTTGGTACTTTCCTACAAGAAAAACAAAAGGAAAGGCTGAAAAGGAGAAATCACAGTTTAGGTAAAGTCCTTACAGTCATTTCTTCGATGATCTCTTGGTGGTCCAAAAGTATGATCTTGCACGGGTGAGTTCTTCTCGTTTTCCAACATTCCATTTCACACCTGCAAAAATAATTTATCATTCTACCTTACATCTCAAGGTGGTGAAAAATTTTAAACATTGGAACAAAAAGAGAATTTTCTGCTTGATTATAGAAGGTGTAGTGTTTGTCTGTGGTTGACCAAAGTTTCCAACAGGCGTCACCTCTGTTTCAGCAATGGTTCTGTACCCTATTCACCATTCCTAACCCTCAACCAAAGGCTCAAGTGGACTAGTCATATAGGCAGCATAGCATTCAGAGATTATGCATAAAAAACTGAGGGATAAACACCAATATGGTGTATTAGTTATTGACCAACAGTCACATATGGAGCACTATTGGCAAAAATATATAAGTAAACGTAAAACAGTATTGCACCTGCTTTTATCTATTAGGCACATGCTCCTGGACTTGGAGACTATTAGTTTGTTTGATATGGATGAAAGGTCATAGTGGATAAGTACAATGGCAGAGATGATCTACTGGCAAAGAAGGCTGCATGCTTATAATAAACGCTGTTAATGACATCCTAGCTCATTTTTGAGTTTGGAAGAACCGCATGGCAAAAAGAACACAACATCATCAGAGAATTGGGATATTTTTATGCTCGGTTCAACCAATTTGCAGAGTGACATGGTTTAAATGAAAAATAATATCGGGCTAAGCTTCAGTTAAGTTTATGAAAATCTCTCCAGGCCTAAATTCACACACATTTACATACAACATACATTACAAATTCACACTCAATTCATATGTTTAGAAAAGGTTAGTGTTGTGATTAGGGACGAATTAGGTCAGGTTAAGGTTATGTTAGAGATGGGTTAGGTAGGTTGGATTATGCTTAAGGAGGGCTAGGGTAAGTTAGGTTAGATTTATGGTTAGTGATAGGTTAGATTAGTGTTATGGTAGGAAGAGATATGCTGGGTTAGTGTTATGGGTTGGTTAGGTAAAGGTTATGACCGTGGTTAAGGACGAGTTTGGTCAGGTTAAGGTTATGGTTAGAGACGGGTTAAGTTAGGTTGGTCATGTTTAGAGACGGGTTAGGTTAGGTCTGAGACGGGTAGGTTAACGCAACTTTTATATTTCTTATATTAAAAATAATTGACTTTCTGATAGACTTCTAAGTATAAATTAAAAATCTTTATTATATTGGCGTTAGGGAGGGCGCACTGTTGTTCCTGCAGTGTTTTTGCTCTTGAATAATTTGGCGCCAAAATAAAATCTCCATTGTGGAATCTTTAATTTTCAGCATGGCTCTTTACCACCAATGCATCTCGTATCGATTAGCATATTTTAACCCTTCCTGGCACATTGTTGGCTCAGAGTAACACCAACGTTAACAATTTTGTTAGGTTAGGAAATCCCGTGCGTTCAAGGAGGGCGAAGTGTTGTCTCTGCATAGTTTCTCCTCTTTATTGGTAACACTGCATTTTTGGGCGCCAATGTAAAATCTCCATCTTGGAATCTTCAGCCTCCAACATGGTTCTTCATCACCACTGCATCATATATCGATTGTTATATTCGTCTAACAGAAGAAAAATGTGCAAATCTGGTTCATAAATTAACTCTGTCTTGCTCAAAGTTGCCTCAAAACAAACGCCAACTAAGGCACTTTTGTTAGGTTAGGAAATCCCGTGAAAGTAAAATCTCCATCTTGGAATCTTCAGCATGGCTCTTCACCATCACTGCATCTCGTATCGAATCTCATATTTTAATCCTTTCTGGCTGGCGTAAGGATTAATGTTTTCGATGCAATGCTGCTACAATCCCTTGCGCCCCAATCCCGCGCCATCCGATGCGTCCGTAGCTTGCTCTCGTCATGACTTGCTCTCATGAGTCCGAGAGGAACTAATGTCTTTGCTTCAGTGCTTCCGTTTTCTTGCTTCTGTACGAAAAATACGAACTGTCAGCATTCCCTACTTCAAGATTTATTTTCAGTTTAATTTTCTTTCAAATCACGGAAGTGAAATCCGCCAGCTGTCAATAGAAAAGGTTCGGACCGAATCGTAGTAATCTAAGCCATCACATTATCCAGGGCCTTGGTTATGTTGAGGGTTTAGGTGCTGTATTGCTGGGGACTGAAAAGAATATTGGTTAGGACTACACACCCTTTCACCATAGGTATTGGGGTTTTACTAAATTTTAGTTTATTTAATTATTTTCATTATTCGTTTCGCAACCACACTAGCATGCGCTTTATTTAACGGCGCCTATACTGGCCAAATCTTGATGCAGAGTAACACCAAGTTTAATAATTGAGTTAAAGGTTAGCGACGGGTTAGGTTAGTATTAGGTAGTTATTAGAATTAGGTTACAGTCAATGACCTAACACTTCTTAAGTCGATTGAACTAAGGAGCTAGGTAAAATGCAATAAACCAGAAGACTTCTGACTCATACAACCACTACGTCCTCGTCTTCGTATTAATCATCATCGTCATCATCATAAATAAAGTGTGAGTTTTGGAATTCCTAAATCACATCTAACTTCAAGGCTCCTACAAAATTGAAAATATGTATTTGGATGATGTACAGGAGGTTTCTGCCTGCTTAATAACAAGACGGGACATTTTGTCACGGTCGGTAACTTCCTCTTTTGGCAACAGGCTCTGAATGGAAATGAACTGACAAGGGCCAACAGGCCCGTGAAACTGTTTTCACATTAATTATGTGTTTGCCGATCACAGGGCTCGAAAAATTCGAACTTCATGCTGAGCATGTACAACAAATTGTAAACGAAACTTTTACATTAATTTAATTGTGTTATATTAAAAATATTTCACGTTGGAAAACTGAATTGCAAATCAAAAACATTAATTAAGCTACTTTTATTATTATTATTATTATTATTATTTATATGAAAAGTTGTTAATATTTCATTTTAAAGTCACTCTACACGGCTGATTCACTCGTTTACCAGAAAAAAGTGTAAATTTTTTTAAAATAAATTGTAAAGTGTAAAATACTCAATATATTCGACCCATTAACGAAGCAGTCGGCAGCACCCATGGTCTGAAGGGAATGAAGCGAATCAATTCAAATTGACGAAAGAGCAATAAAACTCAATTGTTGAATCTCAGTAATGAAAGATGTTGGAGCTATACCACATAATATACATCATGGTGGTGACAGAAATGGAATGAAATGCAGTTCCTTTGGGAATCTCGGAAAAGCATTGCGACTTGGATATGTAACCTAATAAGTTCATAGCCATACCTAAAAAACAGTTCATAACCCTAACTCTACCAAACTTAACGTAACGTTATCACTTCCTGACTAACTCTAACCTTAGCTATACCTAACCTAACCATTCCATAACCCTACCTAACATAGCAATTCCTGGCTCTACATAACGTAACCAATCCATAACCCAAACCTAACCATTACATAACATATCCTAACCAGTTCATAATCCCAACCTATCCATTCTTAACCAGTAATTAGCCCTAGTCTAATATCATCAAATCATTTCACAACCATACTTAAAATACCACTTCATAACCCTAACCCTAACCAGTCTATAATTCTAATATATCCATTCTTTACCAGTAATTAGCCCTAGACTATCCTCACCAAACCGTTTCAAAACCATACCTACAACAGCACGTCATAACCCTGACCCTAACCTAACCAGTCCTTAACTCTACCTAAAATATCAGTTTATAACTAACCCTAGGTTAATCATTTCCGATCTAGCATAACCTAACCAGTTCATACCCCTACTTAATATATCAGTTTATAATAAACCCTAATTTAACCATTCCTAACTAAACATAACCTTACCTTACATACCTACCTCGCTCTCCATAACGTAACCAGTCTACAAACTTACTTAACATACAAGTTCATAACTAACCATTATTAACTTAACATATTCTAATCAGTTCATAACCTTCCATAAAATAAGCGTAAATATAGCCTAACTATTTCTAACCTAAAATGACTTAGCCAGCACGTAACCCTAACTCTAATATAACTAGCCAATCCATAACTCTAGTCTATCCTAACCTAACCTAACGAACCAAACCTAAAATATCAGTTCATAACCATAACTCTACCTAACCAAATCTTACCACCCTATAGCCCTAACCTAACCATTTCTCACGTAACATAACCTAACCATTATGAACATAACAGTTTATAATCGTAATCAATCTTAGCTAGTATATAACCCTAATCAAACTAACCAGTCGTAACCCTAGTCGTACTTAATCATTCTTATCCAGTACATAACCTAGCCCGTGTGTACTCCCCGTAACACGTAAAAATAATTTTACAATTTTTTTTATTTCATTAAGATACAATTAAACTGTTATACAGTAATTTAGAATACAGTATGTACATAAATTGTAATATTGTTATACAGTAATTTGGAAAGATGTAATTTATCATAATCTATAATTATAAAAAAAGGCAGAATTGCTAAATCTTAACTATAAGCCTTTTCTTCCTTTTCTTATGGACGTACATGCTTGTACTGGGTATTTGCATATTTGAACTAAATACCCCTGAAACTCTTGCGTACCAGATCCGGAGATACATCACCTATGAAAATATGATGTTGATGTAACTTTGAACCTAGATAACAGTACTAATTCACGTGGAAAGTTAACAATAAACCACAGCCGGTCTGTTCCATGTGTAATAGGAAAGTACTTGAAAACGGAAAACACTTCATCGCAGTTTTGTACTCGGTGAATTAAGAGCAAAATATGTTGGATATCCTGGACGACCCTCCCCACACTTCTTCGAGACTTCGTCACCTCTCAAACGTTAATATTAAGTGTCATCCGGTCCTCCAAGTACAACACTAATTAACGAAAAACAAATCATATATGACACACTAGTAAAGACAACTTACCCTGTTCATATAAACTGCTTGTAAATTTCTTTCCCCTTCGATGTCAAGTCATGCTGTAATTTGTAGGACGAGGCCCAGGCGAGTTTTCGCTCAATGGAGACCTAGAACAAATAAACGATACGTTAAATTATCCACAATTCGATTAAATACAAATTAATAAGTTTGTATAATTTGAGCTCGTATATCTGTATATCTTTGTATCCTTGACATGTGAGCTGCTGAGAGGACTTTGTCGCTTGTGGCTTCTGATGGATGTTTGCTAATGGGGTGTTGTTTAGAAGGAGGAAGCGTTGACGAAGAGAATTGACTAGAAACTAGAACCAGAACCACTGATTCGATCAAATATTTGATGATGATCTGATAAAAGAACCACGAAGTTGGAATCATCCGAGTAGTTATAAAACAGTCGGGGGTACTAACAATAGAAACAAAAGAGAGTTTAATACCCTCCCGTGAGGCAGTTCATATTATCATTCTTCAGGGGAACCACTTTCAACTTTAATATCAACTGTAGACCGTCTATCCTGAAAAAATGAGCCAAACCATTTGAGTACTTGACTTCAACTAGAAAATATTGTAAGAAGATTGGTCTATGTCCAATAGTTCTTGATCAATTTTGTTATGGACGTACATGCCTGTACTGGGTATTTGCATATTTGAACTAAATACCCCTGAAACTCTTGCGTACCATAACCGGAGATACATCGCCTGATGATAATATGATGTTGATGTAAACGTGCACTTTGAACCTAGAAAACAGTACTAATTCACGTGGAAAGTTAACGATAAAAAATAATAGGTTATTTCCATTCAGTTCAACAACTTCCAAGGGGAATCAGGTCAAATTATATACGTTATTTGCCTTCTTTCCGTTCTAAAACCTGGATATCTTGAGAGAGATCGGAAAGTAAACCGCTCTGACCATAGCGCAGTTCAACAGGCGTTCCTCATACCTAAAACCGTGTTCTTGTAAACGTTCAGAGCCGCAGAATATAATTAGCGTATATGATGATGAGTTCCCAAATTACATGAAACCGTTCGAGTGAAACAAAATAATGCGCCCAAGGGTTTCTTAGAACGGTAAAAAATGTCTGTCATTTTTATATCACGAATTTTCCTCCAAGTTCATTCTAGTACACACGTATAATTTTCTAAATAGCTAGTGCGTGATTTGATTAATTAAAAGACGGTCTGTTCAGATTTGAGGTTGGAAATATTTTTTAGCACGTAATGTAAGACGTATGCTGTCTAGGAGATTAAAGTTGAAGCTCGTATCTCTTGCGCCCCATGATTCCGTATTTGTCAGGAGAGCAATCAAATTCAATCAAACATCTCTTTTCGTTGGTGAACGGTAAAATCTTTAAGAAGCAAATAGTGTAAAAAGTTGTTAAGGAACAAAAATCAACAATACTTGTAAGCAAAAGTTGTCAATACAACAAAGAACACATCAACCGTTTCTGCCCCTATGTTACCTCAGAGCAACATCAACCAAACATGAACAATCCTGTTCAACGTTAGAGGGAAATCCTCTGAGTGTGTATTGGGAACATTGAAATATTTGGCAGTAATCTAAAAATCTCCATCTCTTCAACTGGCGCTTCATCACTATTGCATCTCGTTTTTTTTTGTTTTTTTTTTTCGAGGGTTCGCAACAGCAGAGGTCATATAAACTCTCAGGGTGCCGGTGTTTTTGAAAAAAAACCCATTTGTAAGTATGTCGGGTTCGAATGCAGAGCCGCTGGATTCGAACCCGGGACCTTTACCTTACAGTGATGAGCGCCGTGTCAAAGACTAAACCTTGCGGCCACTGACGCCCCTATTGCATCTCGTATTGATTATGTAGAAGGTAAAATTTAACCCTTTCTTGCCCAAGTTGCGTAAGAACAACATCAACTTAAACAATTTTATTAGGTTAGGAAATCACGTGAGTTTAGGTTGGGCGCAATGTTGTTCGTGATTTGTTTTTATCCATGTATTGGCAACACTGAATTATTTGGCGTCAATCTAAAATTTTCAACAATGCTCTTAGATCTCCAACTAAATCTCGTAACGTTTTTTATAATTTGTCAAGCAGATAAAAATGTCCAAATCCATTTTCTAAATTATCCTTTTCTTGCCCAAGTTGCCTCAGAACCACAGCAACTTAAACAATATTTTTATTCTTGATAATTGAAAATTGAAATTCTTGATATGTTTTACCCGCGTATTGACAGCACTGAATTATTTGGCGCCAATCTAAAATTTTCATCTTGAAATCTTCAATTTCCAACATCTCTCTTCACCAACACTGCACCTCATATCGGTTGTTCTATTTGTCTAAGAGAAGGAAAATTTTCAAATCTAGTTCATAAATTAACTCTGTTTTGCCCAAAGTTACCTCAGAACAAACACCAAATAAAGCACTTTTCTTAGGTTATGAAATCCCGTTACTTTAGGGCGGGCTTAATGTTGTTTTTGCCCATGTTTGGCTACACTGAATTATTTTGCGCCAATCTAAAATTTCCATTTTGAAATCTTCAATCTCCAACATGGCGCTTCTCCACCACTCTATCTCATATCGATTGTTCTATTATTAAGAGATGTGTTGGGTTAGGGTTATGTTTTGTTTAGGTTAAGGTTATGACCGTGGTTAAGGACGGCGTAGGTCAGGTTAAGGTTATGGTTAGAGACGGGTTTGGTTAACGAAACTTTTATATTTCTTATATTTACAGAATTTGACTTCTGATAAATTTTAATTATAAATTAAAAATATTAATTATATTGGGATTATGGAGGGCGCACTGTTGTTCCTGATGTGTTTCTGCTGGCGTATTGGCAACACTGAATAATTTGGCGCCAATCTAAAATCTTCATCTTGCCATCTTCAATCTTCAGCGTGGCTTTTCAGCATCACTGCATCTCTTATCGATTGGCATATTTTAACCATTTCTGGCCCAATGTTGGCTCAGAGCAACACCAACTTTAACAATTTTGTTAGGTTAGGAAATCCCCTAACTTTAGCCGGGCGCAGTGTTGTTTTTACCCATTTGGGGTTATGTTTGGCAACATTAAATTATTTGGCGCCATTATAAAATCTTCTTCTTGGAAACTTCAATCTCCAGGACGGTTCTTCACCATCAAGTAAGTCTCCTTTTATAATTGCTGAGTTTTGTGCGTTCCTTATTTGAACACCAGTTCAGCCTTCTCACGAATTGTCATACGTCGGTTATTTGAAAATCTACTTTGGATGTTAAGTAAGATGTGGTAAACGTTCGGCCGGGTTATTTGCCCAAACCTGAAAAAGCCAAAATGGAAAATAAATCAGTTTGGTGAAATTTGCCGTTTAGGCTTTTTAATCTTTTGCCCTGAAGGAGTTTTAAAGAACCGGAGCTCTGAAATTGCACGGTCGAGCTAAAATCACTTTCACCGCATAATTGCTTTTGCTATTAGTATAATTTCTCATCCACTGATCCATCGTCTAGCGTCTGCTCCTCCGCCTCAGGATGCAATTTCAAACTGCAAGTCTACTTTTACCTTATTAACCATTGGGAATAATTCTGTGTCCGACCGAGGATTCCCACAACGTTTTTACACAATATAATTATAATAACGAGCCCGGGTTAAACGCTCTCAGATGGCCATGGGAATACCAAAAGTTCTCAGAGCGCGTTCGCCCTTCCAAACAATGAGTTTATGTTTACTAATAAAAACATTTTTTACAAGTAGACGACCAAAAGAGAGGCAATAGGAGAAAACCTTGAAAAATACAATGTCATATCTTGGACCCCGTAAAGTTGGACATATGCGCATTTTCCATCCAACATCCTGTTTTTAGAAAGACCTCGAAACTTCTCATTTGGTCAACGGTAATGTCCGATCTGATGAAGCCATGATTGTCTCAAATTGCCGTTTTTTCTATCCTGATTTGATTTTGAGTACAATGACTGGGTGAAACAAACAGAACGAACTTACAATACATTTAAATATCATCATATGAGATTAATGTTTCTAAATCTTTATTTCTACCGAATCTGAAGGTCGCTGACCGCAGTACTCAGATTGTTCATTACTCTTTACGTTCATTATATTTAGTGGTCTATTGGCCAAATTACTTATTTTCATTAATTAATCTTTTTATGTAACTTTTTCATTTCGACCAAATCCTTACATAAAAAGATTAATTAATCGAAAAAATTCTTTACATTGCTGCAGTAATCCCAAAGAATTGTATTACTAATTTAACCGTTCGGTAGTTTCTTATTTGACAAGTACACGAATTCCCGTTATTCGAGGTTTTCTCGCTTATCCTTAAAAGGCAGCCTGAAAGTCAGTGCATTCATAAAACTTGAAATAACAAGTTAGGCTTGATCTAAAATAGAGACTTCCAGTTTTGTTTTTTAAAACACAGTTTGCAGAGTGTGCTCCTGTTCTCTGTTGTAAAACATTTCCGGCAAGGTGTTCACAATGCCTGTTCCACATAACGCATTACAATCACAACTGAAGCGAGAAAAAACTACGTGTGACGGATTGCAACACTATTTATGGTTTAGATGTTAATCTAACACGTCTTTATCTAGTATTTATCCGGAGACTGGCTCTCTTGGGAATTTTTCTAATTTGGCGCCAAAAATCAGTGTTGACACGATGGCCGTGACACTAGTGTACATAATTTATGAACGAGGAAAAGTTCCAATACTTAAAAATTGTTTGATATGCCGGAACACTAGCTTAGGCTTTTAACCAAATCCAATTAATTTAATTAATCAAAATAAATTAATTATTAAATGAAATAAACTCTCTCTCTTTCTCTTTTCTTTCTTTATTTTTCTATGTATCCTCAGTCAGTCTCTTCGGTCTGCCTTTCTTCCTCTCTCTCTCTCTCTCTCTCTCTCTCTCTCTCTCTCTCTCTCTCTCTCTCTCTCTCTCTCTCTCTCTCTCCCTCCCTCTCTTTCCATTTTTTCTCTCTGTCTGCAAGTCTTCTTTTTTGTCCTGTCTGTTTTTTCTAATTTTATCTTTCTTTTTGAATCTGTACATTCTCTCTCAGTCTCTCTCTCTCTCTCTCTCTCTCTATCTATCTTTCTCTCTCTCTCTCTCTCTCTCTCTCTCTCTCTCTCTCTCTCTCTTCTTTGTTGGACGGTTCCGTTTTGAAACGATTGCCGATGGAGACCGTATGTGTTCGAATTTACGAGCTTGCAGGGTTAAGGGACATAACCGCTAGTTGGCCTAGTTAGCCTCGACACGACGGCGGACATCGGCCCAGCAAGATAATACCATTTGAGAAGGTGGTTTACATCCGCCAAAATTAGCCATTATTCTAAATTGTTCGATGGGTCCTTCACGGCGATTTATCAGGCTTGGAATCGCATTTGAATCGGTACAACAAAAAGGAAGAACTTCAAAGGAACTTAAAGCTAAGCAGTCGTCACTTTACAATTTTTTCACTATGTTTAACAATATACTAAATAAACGATTTTAACACAGCTAAACGAGAGAGAAAAAATAGTACATTTTTTATTCATTGTGTCTTCAATGTACACCGTTTCAAGTGGCAATAGCGGTTAGATCCCGTTTAAAGTGGACAATCCACACATTGAATTTCAATCTGCATGAGTTGTGAGAAACAATTTTTGGGGAGTTTTGACCTAAAACGTCTTTTTGTCCTTTTTGTCATTTCAGTTCAAGACATTTTAGTTTGATTCTTGCACGTGTGGCAACACTTGAATAATTTGGCGCCAATGTAAAATCTCCATCTTGGAATCTGCCATCTCCAACAAGGCTCTTCACCATCATTGCATCTCATATTGATTGTTATATTTTCCTAGCAAATAAAACTTTTCCAAATCCATTTTACGAATTATCCATTTTAACCTTAAGTTGCCCCAAAGCAACGCTAACATTTTGTTAAAGGTTAGTAGGAAATGCCATGAATGGCGGCCATAGTGTTGTCCCCGCAGTTTTCTGCACATGTATTGGCAACAATGAATAATTTGCCGCCAGTCTGAAATCTCCATCTTGAAATATTCAATTTTCAATGTGGCTCATCACCACCAATCCATCTCGTATCGATTGTTATATTTGTCTCAATCCTGTTTCCAAATCCAGTTTATAAATGAACCCTTTCTCGCCCAAGTAGCCTCAAAACAACACCAACTTAAGTAATTTTGATAGGTCAGGAAATCCCGTGAGCTTAGAGCAGTGTGCCCCTTCAGCGTTTCTGCACATGAATTCGCAACACTGATTTATTTGGCGCTAATGTAAAATCTCCATCTTGGAATTGCAATCTCCAGCATGGCTCTCTATTTGGTTGGTTCCTTTTATAACTGAGTTTTTATGCAGGCAAATCATAAATGTTTAACCCTTTTATGCTTAAAGTTGCCTCAAAACTACGTGAAGTTAAGCAATTTTGTTAAGGTTAGCAGGAAATCCCGTGAATTTAGAGCTGGCGCAATGTGCCCCTTTAGTATTTCTGCCCATGAATTGGCAACACTGAATACTTTGGCGCCCATCTAAAATCTCCATCTTGGAATCTTTAATCAAAACATGGCTCTCCAACTGGTTTGTTCCTTTCATAACTGTTGGGTTCTTATGCAGAAAAATCATAATGATTTAACCCTTTCATGCTTAAAGTTGCCTCAAAACGACGTGAAGTTGAGCAATTTTGTTAAGGTTAGCAGGAAATCCCGTGAGTTTTAAGCTGGCGTAGTGTGCCTCTTCAGTATTTCTGCCCACGAATTGGCAACACTGAATAATTTGACGCCAATCTAAAATCTCCATCTTGAAATCTTCAACCAAAACAGAGATTTCTTTTAATTTGGGATGACTACAAGGTGTAGTTAATACGTTGTCTGTATATAACATCGGTAAAACATTCGATTTTGTATATGTAACTTAACTTTAACCTTTCCTAACCTAACCTATGTCAACTCCCGCGCACTCCACACTAATTTAAATATGATAAGAAGCTTGGGACAGAAATTATGGCCAGAACTAGATATAAACGATTTTATTTTCTTTGATTCCTCTTTTACCAATTGACAAAAAAACCAATAAAACAACTTTTTCGCGTGTTTATAGATTAAACAATAATTACATTTTAAAAAAAGCTGTGTTTGTAAAGTAGAAGATTTAAAGGAGAAAATTGGACAACTTTTTTTTTTTTTTTAAATCGATGGTCGTTTGTCTTGTATTCTCGAAATTCGCGACAACAGGCTGACAACCGAAAAGCAGGTCACCGTCTTTCCAGGGCGTTGGTACTTGATTTACACGACCCATTCAATCAGCTGAAGTAAGTACGTGAGCTTTTCTCAAATTGGACATTCACGAATCGCGCTAATATAAAAAAATAAATATATATAAGAAATACGATAAGGGTGAAGTAAATTAGCAAGAGAAATATTGGAATTAATGGACAAGAAAATGAAATTTGAGGAATGTATATATTTTTATAAACTCCTTGTTCAATTTTATTCTGTACTGAAGGTTTTATTATAATTAAATATAACGATAATAAATACACTAAGGTTACTTCGATTAATTAATTACTTCGACTATTCGATGGAACAACAAGGTTTAGAGTAGATTTTATTTTCTCTTCGTCCCAACTTATCCAATAAAATTCTGTAGAATTTCTTAATCTTCTTCTCGCTTGATTCTTTGGCCAAAATTGAAAGACAAGGCGAGCCTTTTTTTTTCTTCTTAATTGCAAGTCATGAAAGTGGTTATACAAGAGGCAGAACATTCGTCCTGTTTTATCGAAATCTGTTTTCATTCAAGGACTGAACTTGTAACCGGAAAGTTGTCGGATAGAAACCAATTATAAATTCCATTGTTAAATAAAAGGTAGTAGCCAACATTGAACTTGGCTACTGTTTCTAACTGGAAATTTACTAATGTTTTTATGAAACGTTTGGCCATAAATATCATATAAAATATTCATTTTTGGTGTATCAATGAAGGTAGATAAAGGTTTTTATGCTGGCGCTCTTGTATTTTGTGTTTGTTATTATTCGTAATGATAACACGGCTGAAACGATGCCGTAATAGAAACATGTGTGCTATTATCACTGCACGCTCTTTTTTATATACCGAATTAATGATAATGAAATAAACAACAAATAAACTGGCTTCAAGAAATTCAAAGAAAAGTGGATAAAACGGGAGACTTGAACGCCGCAAGTTGGGACAGAGAGGAATGCTTGAACCGCGAAAAGGCACGCCCGACGAACTCTGACATCTGAAATGTCACAAGTGTCCTGCGCAGAGGATAATCAACGAGGAGAGTTTAAAATATGAAGACTTACATGAAGTTCAGGTCGGTGGAAGGTTCGCCGAGACGAGTCAGACAACTACTGGAGGATTGGTGACCGTGTGTACCGATGGATGCCGAACTCCACCCCCCCTCTTGTTCTGGCTCTCACTTTTCTTTCTGTATAACCGGCTGGACTTATTACCTTTTGTTACCTGAGGACGAGTTGTTATGAATATAAATGATTGATGATCTTCTCAGATCGGTTTTTTTTTCAGATCGCCTCCGGAAATAATTTTGTTTAATAATCATTCCGGATTATTGGGACAACCTTTTCCTGCGTTCTCAATGGGAAAAAGTAACACCCGGAACGGAACGCGGGATATAAGACTATCCTGTACTGATGACTGTGAGTCAAAAAGTCAAAGAGTGAGGAGTCATAAAGGAGGACAGAGAGTCTGCGTTGTTAGAGTTGTTAATAAGAGTAGTTAACAAACTTATTGGTGTTGGTGGGGGAGGCTAGTATGTTCTGAGATCTAAACAGCACCAGCTAACAATTGAGCTTATTTGTTAATTAATAACCAGAGCATTAAGATATAATAATTTTATTAATGTATATTAATTATAGTGAAGTAAAGCCTGCTTTAGTCTTAAATTAAGGGGAACATTTTGATATGTACATATCTCTAAGGGAGTTCTTCAAGGTGAATCCCTTTCACCGCTACTTTTTCCTTTTTTAAAGAATGTTATGTGGATCAGGCTGGACAGTGTCATGAACATCATGTGCTTGCTATTCTCTGGTGATATTGTCTTTTTCAGATTTCTGCAGTGAGACTCAATATGTACTCAATGTTTTATCTGTAACGTGTGATTTAAATAATTGAAAATCTACTTGTAGAGTCAGTCATTTTCAACTTTCTTGGGGTTCTCTTTGAATGTCAGGGAAAATTTATGATTGCCGAAAACAATGCTCTTAGTGAAGGAACTCGTGTGCTAGGAAAAATTAAGGAAATTGTAATACAAGGAAAGTACAATTCCATACAATCAAGAAAAAAAAACTTTTTGATTCAATATTAACTTCTGTGCTATACGCTTCCGGTGAGCATTCCACTACATGAGGGACCTTGCCATACCCAAGTCGGGTTGGCCTAACAAGAGAGTGTATATACAAGTTAATAGGAGTGTGAATGATTTTGTACGGCAAATTGAAAATCTAAGTGTCATAACTTTTATTTTATTATAATTTAATATCATAAAACATCATCATTTTGTGTGCATGTATATTTCTCAGCTAGTGCTACAATTTAATTAACTTAACCTTAAATTACTATATTGTAACAAATATATTTTTAAAATATTAAATGGACTGAAGTAGACAGTAAGTAGAAACATATTTTTGTAGCCAATCTAAATAGTTTAAAAGTAAAGACGATATTAGCCACCAATAATAAAACTAGCATTACATGCACAGTAATACTTAAATGGCAAAATGACATTTAGGATCAGCTGATAGTGACCGATTTTTCACACTAGGAATGGAAACGTGCGACATTACACAATTTTCGCAGGTATCTTAACACAGACAATGTTTTTATTTGCGCTATCTTTTAATTCCCACTGCACCTTTACAGAAAGCTGAAAGAAAACATTAATAGTGAAGATTTATAGTGATTGATGAAAATTGAATTACACGTTTACCCTTGGGTATTTGTTAAGGACTGGTAACGATGCACTATAAGTATACTGTTTGTTCTCTTCAAGAGGGCATTCAAGACCGCTTGTCAAACAGGCATTATCACCATCCGGTAAGTTAAACTTTACTTTAATTAGGCCGAGAATTCCATGAACAACAGTGGTAATGTTTGTTTCTGGTTTCTCTAAAAATAAAAAATACATGTACAATTAAATTGTAAACAAGCATGAAATTTGATAATCAATGTAATAGAATCTTACATAAATTTCTTCATAACGCAATGTTTTAAAGCTTAATTCAATAAACCTCTACTACTAAACAAGATGTTTAAATAAAAATATTAAAAAAATCAAAATTGATAAAGTTAGGACTGAACTGCTGTTAGGTTAAAGGCAAGCACAGCGGTCAGTAAGGCCTATTGAGCCTCTAAAATCCTTTGTTTGGACTGCATCTAAGTCACACTTTTATTTGGGGCAGGATGGCGATAGTAAGGAGTTTGATTTAGTTTTGTCATATTTCCATCTATCATTTTGTGCCTCTGTGCCTCGAGGACTAGCTAGCTAGTTAGCTGACTAAGACACTTTGATTATACTATGTACTTTGGCTCTAAATCTCTGTTTCATTCTTTGACTGAGACTTTTGAGTAGTTGGAGGAGTATGAAAATATTCAACTGCATTACATATAAATAAATCATAAAATCGATGCCACCTCGAATGCAAGCGGTGATTAATGCAAGAGGAAGAAATACTCTGTACTGAATTGAATATTTTCTTTATTCTTTCCATACCAACAATTTTGGTCAAATTGTTTTACTCAGTTTAATTTTTTATTTAGCTATATCTTATATTTTTCTTTAAAAATATCCAGTAAACAACAAAAAATAAAAATGATAATGATTGGAAGTTTAAAAAAATCCTCTCAGTGTAGATAGCCTTGGTCCTGACAAAATTTATAATCTGTGTTTTATATTGTAAAAAAAAGAATATTTTTATTCAACACACTAAGACTTAGTGCATATAAAATATATACATGTCATATAAAAGCATAAAAATAAATGTACGCATGTGCTTAAATCATTGTAATGTAAACCAGATTCCACTATGATCAATTTTAATTTCAAAGATCTTCCTATTTAACCTCCTCAAAAAAAAGGCTATATGCTCATGTCGTACATGATCCAAAATAGTATTTTATCAATGAAAGTATATAAACTCACTTGTTGTAAATTTCATCTTCATGACGACCTCACCTCCTCTTTTCAATGGGCAGGCTTTCATTGTGTCCAAATTGCAATCTGATATTTCCACAGCATCCAAGCTTCCTTCCTCTGAGCCTGAACAAATTAGATTTTTAAAAAAATCTATTTGAAATGCAGCAAAAATTTGTGGATAAAATGTTAAATTGTATCATATATCCGAACCAACCATGTTTACTATTAAAGTTTATGTGTGTTGTAAGTTTCTAATGCAACAATAATATTCTGTCTTTTTTATTAATCTGTGAAATTTTTATTAATTTCGCATATTTATAAATTTACCTTGTCAAGTAGTTAGCAATTTTCTTTACAGTACATACATTTTATATCCACTACACAGAGTGAAAAATGATCCAGCGATAAATAATAATTAATATAGAGAACATTTATTGGATGCCCAGTCACAGATGAACATAACAACTTGAAAAGGTGCAAAGAAATACTCACGGACAGCCAAGCAGCAATGAAGGCTTTACCCTATTTTTCCCAATTTTGTCTCAGAGCAACACTAAGCTAATCCCATGAGTTTAAGGCAGGTGCAGTGTTTTTTCTTCAATGGTTCATCCTGTGTATTGGCAACACTGATATTTTTGGTGCCAATCTAAACTTCTATCTTCAATGTGGCTCTTCACCCCATCACTCCATCTTGTATTGAATTATTAAATTTGCCAAAACTAAATTTTTCATATCCAGTTAAATGGATTAATTCTAAGAATTTAACACTTTCTTGCCTTCAGAACAATGCCAACTCTGGCATTGTTGTATAAGGTTAGCAGGAAAGCAAGATTTTAAAGCGGGTGCAGTGCTGTTTCTGCAAGTGTATTGGCAACACTGATTTATTTGGCGCCAATCTAAACTTCTATCTCCACTGTAATGGCAGATTTCCTTTGGAAGAAGAAAAAAAACCCTTCTATCTTCAATGTAGCTCTTCACCCCCATCATTGCATCTTGTATCGAATTATTAAATTTGCCAAATATTAATTTTTTCATATTCAGTTATAATATAACTCCATAACTCCATTATATTATAATAAATATATAATTTAACTCCATTATATTTAGTGGTCTATAGACCAAATTACTTCTTTCAATTAATGCATTTTTTGACGTAAGGTTTTGGTAGAAATGAAACGTTATAATTTAACCCTTTCTTGCTCAAAGTTGCTTCAAAATAATGGCAACACTTGCAATTTTGTTTAAGGTTAGTAGGAAAATAGAAATCTAGGGCGGGTACAGTGTTGTTCCTGCCAGTGTATTGGCAACACTGGTTTATTTGGCGCCAATCTAAATCTGTATCACTAAACTCACAGGCTTTCCCACTAAAATTTGAACAAATTTGCTAAATGTCGCCTTGCTCTAAGACAACAATAGGCCATAAAGGTACTTATCAACTGAAAACTGATTTGGAAATGCCAAACATATCGCAAACCCCTGGGGAAACGCAACCAGATTAAACTGGGATGCGAGGGATTGAAAGCAACAGGCTGACGAACTAGGAGCAGTAACAGTGCGGACAAAAAATATAGAGAGAAAGAAACACTCAAGGTATTCAAAGGTGAACGAACTTTCTCTCAGCAGGTAAAATTTGAGGAAAATTTTTAACTATGTAGAGAGCGAAGCCAAATGCAGTGTTAGCTCAGGAAGTACAGCCACTTAAGAAAGGCATCACTAACACCAAGGTAAATAAGCAAAGAGGAACCCCGGAAAGCGCTCGACTATTTTAAAGGTAGTACTCCAGGAAAAAATGCTTCATTTCCAGAAATGCATTTGATGGCCTTTCTTTGGAAATGTTAAGCTAGGTTTTTAAGATATGAAATTCTTCGTGTAGAATTCAGCTGAGTGGAAGGATAACTTGTATTCTTCTGGGTGAGGTTCGTTTTTTGTTTCACCTTTGTTATTTTATTCTCCCAAGAAGTGAACATAGCCGTAAATAATATTAGATTATTTGTTGAATTATAAGGGGGCCTTGGTGCGGTGTGACCGTATTTTTGGTGGTCCTAATGGTGTTGGAGGTGGAGCCTTTGGTTAAGTCCGTGGACTGATGTCGATGAGTATATTGATGCAGTGAGATTCGGTAGCAAGCGGAGTAACTCGGGCAGCAGGCAGCCACGTCAGCTGTGAGTGCGAGAGATGATGCTGCGAGTACTATTGTTGCTGTACCTAATGCTTGCGGCTTGCTCCAGTAATTAGAGTTGAGAACTCGTCGACGAGTCTAAAATAAGCACGTTGAGCCCTTGCTTATATATGTGATTGTATTCCAAGACAGAAGTACGCAACAAAACACCATCGCATAAACTAACGTAAGAACTACTAAAACTGGGACGTGTAAGGACTAGAATGATAGTTTGACTCCAGCGGCATATACACTCGTACCAGCCTGTGAAAATAATCAAATCTCCTAGTCTATCCCTTATAACACAAGTTGACTGGAAGAAGATCAATGCAATCCACTAAAAACCTAGGAGAAATAGACCAAGTCTGTTACCTGGGACTTTAAAACGACAAAAGACTTACTTGGAACCCTTAATTTTCTGGACTTAAAAAAACAAACAACAGAAACTTCTCGTTTATGCAGGCACTACAACCAATCTTGATGAAATTGAACTGTGGGTTTCAACCTTCCAAAAAATCCACTTCCAGTTCAAAATCCTTCGAATAAGAAGGAGAAATTTTTTATTTTGGAAATGATTTGGATTATTATTTGGAAATGATGTAAATTTATAGCAGCTAAAATGAACTGTGAGATCTAGATGGCACTGGTTAGAACAAAAAAAACAACTAAGAAGATTAGAATTTGTTAGTTAATGACCAGCAATTAAACTGTAAGAATTGTATTAATAATTAATTTTTTGCATATATATGTGTAATAAACAATCTTATAGCAATTCGAAAAAAATGCATGACCGTTGGATTATTATTAGGACATGGTAAAAATTTGTGGCATCTAGAATGCATCGTGAGATCTAGATGCCATATCGATTTGGATGACACTGGTTAAAAAATGACTTTTGGATTAGTCTTAGGATGTGGTATAAATTTCTGGCATTTGTAATGTGCCGTGAAAAAAAGGAAAGAAAGGAAGGTTAGAATATGTTAGTGACCAGTGAATTAACCTATAATAATTGAATTAATGTTTATCAATTAACAGTAATAATTAATATTAATAAATACAAGTGTAATAAACAATTTTATGGCAATTTGTCCCCAAAAAATGCTTGACCGTTGGATTATTATTAGGACATGGTAAAAATTTGTGGCATCTAGAATGCATCGTGAGATTTAGATGCCATGTCGATTTGGATGACACTGGTAAAAAAATGACCTTTGGATTATTCTTAGAACGTGGTATAAATGCTTGGCATTTGTAATGTGCCGTGAAAAAAAAGGAAAGAAAGGAAGGTTATAATATGTTAATGACCAGTGAATTAACCTGTAATAAGTGAATTAATGTATATTAATTATCTGTAATAATTAATATTAATATATATAAGTGTAATAAACAATTTTATGGCAATTTACCCCAAAAAATGCTTGACCGTTGGATTATTATTAGAATATGATAAAAATTTGTGGCGTCTAGAATGCATCGTGAGATCTAGATGCCATGTCGATTTGGATGACACTGGTAAAAAAAAATGACTCTTGGATTAGTCTTAGGATATGGTATAAATTTCTGGAATTTGTAATGTGTCGTGAAAAAAAAAGGAAAGAAAGGAGGGTTAGAATATGTTAGTGACCAGAGAATTAGCCTATAATAATTGAATTAATGTATATCAATTAGTTGTAATAATTATATGACAGTTGGATTATTATTAGGATATGGTAAAAATTTGTGGCTTCTAGAATCCATCGTGAGATCTAGATGCCATCTTGATTTGGATGACACTGGTAAAAATAGAAAGAAGAAAGATTATCCTTAGGATGTGGTATAAAGAAAGGACGGTTAGTAGAATTTGTGAGTGACCAATGAATTAGCCTATAATAGTTGAATTAATGTATATTAATTAACTGTAATAATTAATATTGTATATACAAGTTTAATGATCAATTTTATAGGAATTTACATAAAAATTGCTTGACCCTTTGATTGTTATTACAGCAAAAAAACTGAGAATACCAAAATATTCCCAGGTCACGGTACATTCCAGCGTGATCTGTACAGCATATTTATTTATTTATTGCTATTTATTATTTATTAAATATCTAGCAATTTATTTGTTTGTAAAAGGCGAGTTTTACTTCGCGTTTGACTCCGAGGAATGAAATAAGCTGGCAAATATTTATCATATTTATCAGGGATGAGGGAACCAGCAATGAGAGAAAGCTTCAGTCAGCTTAATACAAAAATAACACTGAAAGGAACATCTGATTGGAGGAAACTTATTCCACAAGTTTTCTTGCCGACGTGATAAAAATCTACAAACTCGGCAAGTAGACAGAAAAACAGGACGAAATCGCCGATTCTTCAGTTTTATTTCCCTGAGCCTGAAAAACGCTGAACTGCGGGCTTAAGACGGGGAAAAAAATTATTGAATTTCTAGGTTCTCTCAAATAGAAAAACATTCTCGAGAAATCACTTTTCTGATTATAAAAATAATAATAATAATTCAAAAATTGAATTTTTACCGCAATCCTCGACTTCTCCGAGGGCCAGATTGGCAAATGCGAGCAGAGCGAGGGCGGTGAAACGAATAACGTTCATTATCGAAGGTTGATATCAAACTGGCCTCGTCCCCTCCGTTTTCAACCTTTGGTAGTTTTTCTCTTTTCCTGTCCTCTCTCGTTTTACAATCGGTTATGGGCTTACAAACTACAATTACAATTGTCATGATCACTCACTGACATCCGGCCAATGTTGGTCGGTTTGTTCTTTTTCAAAAGAAAATTTTTCCGCATACAAATCTTTTATCTTCAACATTATCTTGTGATTATGATTATAGTCTGGATGATGACCATCGTAACATAGACTGCTACACAGATGGTTCACTTATCAAAGGTAAAGGGAGTGGTGCAGGAATCTATTTACATACCAAAATTAGGAATCAGCATCTCCTCCCCTCTTGGCAAAACCTCCGTTTTTCAGGCGGAAATCTGGGCCATTAATGTGTGTTGTAGAACACTTATGGAAAATAAAATTATGGGAAAAGATATTAAAATATTTTCTGACAGTCGAGCTAGTCTTAGGGCATTACAAAAAGATTTATCAACCTCACGACTGGTGGAGGAAACTATAGATCTTATCAATAGGATCTCTTTCAGGTTTGAGAACAAGGTGACCCTTATTTGGATACCAGCACATAAAGGACACCATGGCAATGAAAAGGCGGATGGCCTAGCCAAAGAAGGTTCTAATACTGCATTTGTCGGGCCACAACCGGTATTANATCTTATTGATCTGGTGTATAAAAAAGGCCTGTATTCGGAATTTAAAGGAATCTGGGCCACATCTTTATCCTTGGCAATAATTTAACACTCTGTAGATCTAATAGTCAGGATGTGCACTATACTGTACCATTTAAGAGCTGTTGTATTCCCCGTTCTGTGCTTATAGCACACATGAGTCCTAGTTCATCAAGTAACTTGATTAGTAGGCCCAGTTTCAGTGGTTGAATCTCTTCTACGGTTATGTTGTATGCCCCAAAACACTTCCTCCTGCGGACAAATATGGTACCACAGTTTATTAGTACGTGTGTTGGTATTTCCTCTGTTTCTTTGCAGAATCTGCACCTGCCGTGTTGGGTTATCTTCTTCAGATATCCATTTAGTTTGCAGTGTCTTGTTAATCTTAACTGTTAACATTCACAGTTTTTCCTGTTTCCTTTAATGCATTCTGTTACCTCTTTCCTTCCAAAGTTTGTTAGGAGGTTCTTGGATTGTTTGTGTCCAATAAGTGAGTTCATTCTCATTTTCTTTGTGTCCTTTTGTCTAAGGTACTCAATTAGAGTTCAACAACTGTTACAGCCAATGCCGTGGAAAGAAAGAAACAATAATAATGAAAAAAAATGGTAATGAAAAGTTCATAAAATAAATAAATTTATGAAAAAATTCTAAATTAAAATAAATGGTGGGAGAGATTTATAAGGGACCTTCTTTCAGATCACGGCTGCACGAGCATAGGGAGCTCGGGCCCAATTCCCCTGACCTCGCCGCAGAATATCAGATGATTTCGGGTGGAAGAGAACGATGTAGAAGCACACAGGGTTTTCGGAGTCGCGTGATTTTACATCTTTTAATTAATAAAGGAGAGAAAAATACAAGATTAAAGAGAGGCGTAAGGACACTTTCTATCATAGGAGTAGAGCAGGACTGGGACTGTAAGGAGCGTGGGAGTTGGATTAGGGATTACACTAATCCAAAACAAAGAATATTTCTAAAATAAGATGGCTGGCGCCAACAATAATCTATCAAAATTATAGATCTGTGAGTTCTGTGACAGCAAGTTCTTACTCATTTCGGGTTTTTAGTGTTTTCTTGACTGTTGCGTGGTCTAAGTTGTGTTGTTGTACCATCTCAGTGAAACATGCCCAGATTCTTCTTGTCTCGCTTTGGTTAAGAATTTCTAATTTTTCCTTCAACAAAAATTCTACGAATGACTCACCTCATTTGGTGTTATTGCTTCCCCAGGCTTGATGGTGTGTGTTGGCCTTGTGCAGCAAGCAGCTGTTGAGAGTGTGAAGATGGGTACCCTTGTAGCTAGTGCTTTTGCTTGGGTCTTGCTCCATTAGTGAGAGTTGAGATCTCGTCGACAAGTCTGCATTAAACACGTTGAGCCCCTGCTTATATACAGAGGTGCTGCAATCTCATTGGCAGCAACATGGAAGGTGAAACCGTTTTTAAAGAAGTGGCGACTTCCAGTGGAGGTTAAGTTAAGGATAAGTTAAGAATCGCAGTATACCAAAGTGCCAAAAACTATCATCAGACAATGGGTTAAAATCCTTGATTCAATTTGATTTTATTCCAGGACAAAGTTACACAATTCAACAAAGAACTATAGCAAAACTAACGGAAGTACTATTAAACCAAGGTCTTGCTGGGACTAGAATGATAGTTGGACTCTGAGGCATACAGACTCATACCAGTCTGTGTAGATATTGCCAGGAAGAATTGGAAACAGCGTAACATGTTCTTTGTTGGTGTGAAGGCTTATGCTGGCTGAGAGGATAAGCCAAATCCTGGAGGACATACGTCTGGTGACTGTATGTTAACAAGTTTCCACTCAGTGACACCACTGCTTCAACAGTGGTTTTGCCTTCCATCCAACAGCAAATGTATGACGAGACCTATACTAACAGCACTCATCACAGTCTCAACTGATGACATGTTTCTTCTGCACGAGACCCTTCACTCACCACCGCCTTCTGCTCATCCAGACCAGTTTTCTGGCTCCAAACAACAGCTCCTCTCAACACTGGCCCCACCAAAAATCCCAGTCACATAGTTTTGGGATCTACTAGAAAGCTCAACAAAGGGCTCCAGATAATAACGGAGATTGCACAATAGACTAATATTGGTCGAGGTAAGATCGTAAAAAGACCGACTTCTTTTAACCTTAACCCTACGATTTTGAAAGTAAGGACTCAGTACAACCATCAATGGACGTTCTTCAGTATGTTGAGGGTGTAGTGGCCACTTGTAGTTACCGCTAGATGCCACTACGACTTATGGAATGTTCTCGCCCTCCACTCTGCAGCCAATCAGAGTAGAGCTCTCCCCTAAATAAGCAGGGGCACTGCCCATCTGGATCAGACTTGTCAACCAGACAAGATCTCACCAAACACTGATGTAATCGACAACGGCAACAACGACCGGAGACTAGTCAGCCCGACGAGCTATCACTAATGGCACACCGTCCACGACAGCAAGAGTACTCGCAGCATTAGCCTGACGCTCACCTTCGAAACAGCCGACTTGGCTATAAACGCCAAACGCTGCTCTCGGCTAATTGCTGCACTCCAGTACCTTCGGCCTCTGTGGAGTCAATCGACTCACGGCCCCCCGGACCTCAGCCAACGGTTTACTCTGTCACCACAACCAACGACGCTACTCGCACACTAGAGTCTCGAGAACTTCGATGGGCGCAAGGTCTCGGCCTTATACCTTCGGCACGGCTTCTCACAAAACAACACCGGCCCTTTTCAGAACCATTAATTTAATTCAGAAATGATTAACTTTAGCAAAAAATGGTCTTACACAAACTCCAAGTTAATTTTGGTTTGGAATCAATTGGTGATAACAGATTTTACATAACTTCCTCATCTAGCCGGGAAATGACACTGATTTTGTAATTTTAAATGAGAATCCCATATTTTTGTTGTACAATTCGATTCTAGAGCTTATGAATGGAAAATTTTGATAGGATCGGCCATTTTTGAGTTATGCCCGACGTAAGACGCGAGAGGAGGGTATGCTTTTTGTAACAAGAAGGCCCATCCCCTTTATTTCGACAAATATTAGCATTAGCAAAATAGGATAGGAATCCTTGATACGCAGAGCTCTGCTGGTTTCAGGAATTCTTCATTCGTGGATTTTTCTATTACTTCTGGTCGGATTCCACAACAATCCATTGTTCCAATTCTTGGACAGTCAGTACTAGTTTTGGCATACACTCGATTCTAAAATGCCCCCTCCCCCAAAGAAAATTTTAGTGACTGGGAGCGTTGGTGGTGACGCCTGACAAGGGCCGGTGTTGTTTTGAAGTGTAGAGACGATCGATTTGGCCGGGACCATGTGTGCCGTTCGAAGTGGTACATGACCGAGAATCTGGTGCATCAGGTAGCCGAGTGCAGGAGTCGGCCAGTAGCCGTCGGCTGTGTTTAGAAGGCGAGTTTGAGGCTAATTCTGCTGTCGCTGTCGGCGCTCCATTAGTGATTGTTGAGAATTCGTCGGGCAGACAAGTTTGAAGTCAATGGGACATATACGAAATGGCTATACTCTAATTGGCTGGAGAGTGGAGGGCGAAACCATCCCAGAACTGGTAGTGATACCTAGCGGGAACCGTGATAACTGCAGGTGACCACCACAAAAATAATCCAAAGGGGTCAAATGTGGCGACCTCGGAGGCCATGAAATAGGACCTTGTGTGCCAATTCATCTCCCTGTATGGTTCAGTAGTTGCCAACGACGCGACTGTTTGAGCGGGGCAAACATCTACATCTACAAGAATGCTTCCCATTATTTAGAAGAAATAAGGATCTTCTGTTCTTATTTGTCTTTGACATCGAATGTATTTACTAGAGTGAATGCTTGATGGGAAAGAAATGGGGGATGTTCCTCCTCATCAATAACTTAATTAGTGATATTAACACCAAAAAATAATATTTTTAATCAAAATTATTTATTTTTTTCAACTTAGATAACAATATTTATACAAAAGTAGTCTAATTTTAAAATGTTTTTAAACGGATCTCATGGGTATCTTGAAGCAGACAATGTCATTTCCATCATCATCTACCAGTTCTCATTTTTTAACATGTTTTTAAACGATTCTCGTGGGTATCTTGAAGCAGACAATATCGTTTCCATCATCATCTACCAATTCCCATTGGACAGTCACAGAGACCTAGATTTACAGAAAACAATCAGTGAATACACAACAGTGTAAGAATAATTAATAAAAATATTTTTAAAAAAACATATGTCCAATAGTTACTGATCAGCACTTAATCAAAAACTGTTTTAGATTTCATTCAAACACATTACAGCTTTAGGCAATATTCAGTAAAAAACCTTGTACACAACCACAAAGTTTAGACAAAATGTTTTGTGGGCTGTGACAGTGAAAAATGCCAGTGAAGTTTTTGCAGGCTGCAATCTCTCCTTTTTAAAAAATTATTATTAACTTTTTGAAATGAGATTAAGATTATTATTAGGATATGCTATAAATTTGTAGCATCTAGTATATTGTGAGATCTAGATGGCATGTCAATATAAATTGCACTGATTGCACTGGTAAAAAAAGTTGGAATGGTGCTCTTAAAGAGGAATAATTTCATCAACTTCCTTAGAAACACTATTAAAATAATTTATGTCGTTAGCATATACAAGGAGAAGCTAAAAGCTCAGACTAAAAAGAATTGAAAAATTATGATAAATTCTACACTACAAATATATTGAAAAACAAAATGAAGTTAATACCTTTGGATATTTAGAGAGAATAGGCAGTGTGGCATTGTAAACATATTCTTTATGTAGTGTAAGAGGACATGACAAGCCACTGTCCACACATCCATCGCTTTTCGGCAGCACAAACGGGATAGGAATATTTCCCAAAATTCCGTGTACTACGGACTTCACATGTTTTGTTGAGATGACTGTAAAAGAAATAGACAAATATCTCGATCAAATTCGCACTGGTGGAAACAGTTTGATCTCTACTCTTCAAAATTATATTTATTTTGATAGATTATTAATTAAAAATCTCATGTCAACTTAAAGAACAATTTTATTCTGAATCATGATATAAATTTGCTTACGTGATTGGAATTTTAGATGTAGATCGACACTTTGACCTTTTCTCAAAGGACACCAGGACATCGTCGTTTGATTACAATGTGATATTTCAACAGATTGTAGGATGCCTGTTTTTGAACCTGAAAAAAATACAATTTAATGAAAAAATGTCCAATCCCAGTTATGGTCAATGCACATTTTCATCCAGGAAGAAGTTCAGTTGCATAAAGGCTTATCCAACAAACCCGTGATGCCAACAGGCACGATTACACTCACACAAAAATTTCCCAGTTCAGACAGAAACTTCAGTGCGAAAGGTTTCAAAAGGCTGCCCTGACAGCCAAAGCATTTGCTCAGATGTTAGATCACAGTGTGGGACTGCTCGAGTACCGTGGTAGAAGTAGGAAGGACAAGTCAAAGGACATAAGCTGACTACCCAGGATGCCTCAGAAGCACCATATAAAAAATGAGCTATTGCCAAATGGATCAAAAAATGATCTGGTGTTACTACCAGGAGTCAGGCAGACTTACGAATTAGTTACGAAATCACCTAAACTTAAAGATTCCATCAAGGCTTAAATTGATCCAGAAGCACAGAATTCCTTAACTACATGACAGATATAGAGGCTAGGGATCTTCAGTTCACTAATTAATAACCTCAGTTTTTTTACCAGTTTTCTCATGACACACTCTAGCTGCCACATTACCCTTAAATAAAGTTCTTTATACCACTTTAATAGATAATGTTAATTAATACCATTATTATAGTTTAATTTACCGGTCACTAAATAACAAATTCTAACCAGCCAAGTAATTTTTTAACCAGTGCCATTTGTATTGACATGCCATTTCTTGACCCTTCATGACACATTCTAGCTGCCACACGAGCCTCAAATAAAGTACTTTATTTCACTTTAATAGTTAATGTTTATTAATACAATTATTATAGTTTAATTCACCGGTCACTTACTATCAAATTACAACAGTTGGTTTTTTACCAGGCCATCTAGATCTCATGACACATTCTAGACGTCACACAATCCCAAGCATTTCAGATTCGTTTTAAACATCATTTAAAACCAAAAGACATGAATTTTTGTTACAATCAAAAAATAGACATTTTCAGTCTTGATTAACCTAGGTGACGTTTTGCTTTCAATGTCCAGTGTTCAATTTAAAAAATTCATAACATCTCTGGATGTTATCCAAATTCAACTTTATTATGACCAATGGAAAGCTGGATTGTACCTCTTTCAGTCTAAGGAATATTTGATGGCTGTATAAGTAAGAAAATACGGTTGAATTAAACAAAAACACCCCAAACTTTTTTTAAAAATCTCTTTATCTAATTTATTTACAAAAATAATGTTTGTGTAGTTTACAACTTTTATAACGTTCTAATCCCATATAATATTTCTGGTAGATTGGTGGACTTGTTTCAAATTTATCACTATTTTGGTGTTTTCAAAAGGAAATTCAACATGACAAAAAAATTTCAGAAAAAGTATTATTGTTTGTTTTCCCCCAGAATTTGTATTCAGGGTTTCTTCTGGTGTAAAAAATGAATATAGACTGTTTTTTGTTTAAAAAAATAAATAAATAAATAAAATATTTCAACCTTCTTTGCTAAGTTGTGCATGAGTAGATTATTGATATACATTTTTTCTTTTTTTTTATCATGGCCTTAAAATTTGTTTATTGGCCATAGGTTATTTTTAAATACATACATATAGATGCACATACACATACATATACCCAGCGACTTAGCGAAGTAGACTGAAACATTTTTTAACAAGAAACAAATTCAATTTTCCTTTTCTGCACCCTGAAAAACCCCTGAATATAAATTTTGGTGCCAATAAAAAATTTTTTTCCCCTTTGAAATGTTTCGCCTTGAAGTACATACATGGACGTGTTGCCTCAGCAACTAAGGAAAGTAGGTTTTTTTTTAAACAACAAACAAAATCAATATTTGTTTTTCGCACCAAAAAATCCTAAATAGCAATTTTGGGTTAAATAAAAAATAAGATTTTTTCTGAAATTATTCACCTTACAATTTGCCTCTGATGTTTTTTATAAATATCACAAAAATTGTCAAAATTTTGAAACAACTCCACCGATCCAAGGGATAGCTATGTTTTTTGAAAGCTTTTGCACTCCATAAACTATTCGTAAGGGCACAAACCTGCCCTCCATAAATAAATTAAAACTTGAGATATAAAATAAAATATTGGAGACGTTCCTTTTCACATCATCTTTATTTTTTGCACAAATATAATAAAATATTAACCTTGTTAATACAGGCTTAAAGTAAAACATTCAGCTTTCCAATGGTTGTATAGGGTGTCCCTTTTCTTTTGGGCCCAACTCTGAATTCGGAGAACCGAAAACGAGGTCCCAAAGGTTTTTATGATCAGACCTGACTACATTAATTTAATCTATCGATCAGGCACCTTTTTTTATATAAATTAATTTCCTATATTCAATACAAACCAAAATAAATACAAGACCAATATATTAGGAAAATTTAAATCTTTTATTACAATTTATTTCAAATTAAACTTACAATTTCTTTTAATAATTATTATTTTTAATTTAAAGAATCTTTTTATTTTATAATAAAACCTATTTCAAGATCTACAAACATCAATATTAAAATCAAATTTAATTCTCGTTTTATAAAGAAAATTAAAGGAAATTATTATTATTGTTATTATTAATTTTTGACCACTAATTCGAAAATACAATTAAAATTTTAACACAACTTTTAAAATCAAATGTTATTTCTTTTATTTTTCTTTATAAAAATATATTTTTTATTACAACCCTTTTTAAATTAAAGTACAATTATTATTTTTTGTTTTGACAAAAAATATAAAATATTACATAAAAAACAAAACAAAAAAAACAGCTCTTTAACCGACGGAGGACAAAAAGGGAATAGTCCTAGGGAGTAGGGACTGAAAAAAATAGCCCTTTCCTAGCCCCTACTGTTAGACGTGTATGGAGGGGCATGGCGATACATTTAAATCTAAACGTGACAGTTGTAATAAATTCACTAATTTCGTGGTCCGCTTGACCAATTAATACTTTACAATTAATTAAGGTTTTTAGTTGAGATGAAAAAGTTAATGGCACGAGAGGGATTCGAACCCACGACCTTCGGCTTGATACGCCGCTGCTCTACCACCTGTGAGCTATCGTGACCTCGATCCACTCGGACATCAACTCCCCATCTCAACCCCACCTTATGAGTTTTCCCTCCTTTTTGCCATTTTTCAATATCGAGGTCACGATAGCTCAGGTGGTAGAGCAGCGGCGTATCAAGCCGAAGGTCGTGGGTTCGAATCCCTCTCGTGCCATTAACTTTTTCATCTCAACTAAAAACCTTAATTAATTGTAAAGTTGTAATAAAGTTTGAATTCGGACAATCCAAACTTAAATCCAGAAGTGTTATGAATATTTTAACTGGATCACCGTAGATAATAAAAATTACCCCCCCCTCAAAAATTTCTATTTTTTCTTTGCGATGAAAATAGTATTGATTACTTTTCTAGGGTGCTAAAAAGATCCCGAATTGTTTTTTTTTTTTCAAAAATAATTTTTTTTCGACATACTTTACTGATCGTCTTTCGGGTTTTGCGAATTTTTATGTTTCACCTCATTTTAATGGGGACGTCGGTGACCGCAGCGTGGCCCTCATCACTGTAAGGTAAAGGTCCCGGGTTCGAATCCAGCGACCTTTCATTCGAACCCGACATTATTTACAAATGGACCGACACCCTGAGGTTTATGTTCATATATATACATCAACGACAATAAATTTTATTTTCAACGGTATTTGCGATAAATATTTTTATACAATTTTTTATTGTAATTTTCAAGTTGTATTTACAATTTCAGCTTTACAAAGTTGCATAGATACAATAACAAGAATAAATTTTATTATTTGTAATTGGTGAAGTAGTGATAGAAATTTTAGGCCAGCTGCCAACTCAGAAGCAAATTAATTAGGTGGATGACTAATAATTTGAAATCTGTGTCTCCATCACGAAAAGTGGCATATCTTGGTTCTTTGTCGAGCTTTAAGGCATATCGGTGTGAGTGTCTCTCAGGAAAAGTGGCATAGTTGATATAACAACCGGCCAATATTTTCAATAAACTATTCCTACGTCTCAAGGGATAAATAATCGCAAATTGGAACATTGACACATTCACGATTTAGAGTTTATTTGCATAATATACAAATATTTTAAATATTTATAAAAATTATTTTAACATCACGTGGACAAACTGATTCTAAATTTGTTGATAACCAACAACAACGAAACTGCCGTCAATAATGATAGTGGAGTCTGTAAGTTCCCGGAAGTGGAGATTCAAATAACGTCTCACTTGGAAAGAATTGTCTGCGGGGCATCCATCAAGCTTAAGAGAGCTGAAGAGAGTCATTCTTTGTCGTTGATGCTGAGGAACAACGACAATAAATTTTATTTTCAACGGTATTTGCGATAAATATTTTTATACAATTTTTTATTGTAATTTTCAAATTGTATTTACAATTTCAGCTTTACAAAGTTGCATAGATACAATAACAAGAATAAATTTTATTATTTGTAATTGGTGAAGTAGTGATAGAAATTTTAGGCCAGCTGCCAACTCAGAAGCAAATTAATTAGGTGGATGACTAATAATTTGAAATCTGTGTCTCCATCCAAATAATGTTTGTAAAACCTCCATCAAAAAATTGAAGAACTGAGCACCATTTAAATTATTTCCGTAGAAATAAGGCCCAATTAATTTATTTCCGAGAAGTCCACACCAAATGTTGATACTGTGAACCACCTCATGATAACAAGAATACGAATTTTTCGGATTATCCTCTGCCCACGTTCGAAACTTCCAACTGCTTTTTATGCCTTTAGAGGTGAATTTGGATTCATCATTCCATAGGATGTATGGAAGAAAGTTTTCTTCAGCCTCCCAAATCGACATTTGTGCGAGGAACGTTAGACGCCTGTATACTTAGAGTCCCGAAGTCCCTGGACAAGATGAGAGCGATACGGCTTAAAATTGTAAGCCAGGAGTACATCTCTAATATTACTTATTTGAAAAACCCAAAACCCTTCCAACATTTCGAAGAGAGGCTTTCGATTTTCGCGAACATACAGTAAAATAATTCAGCTACAAATTACACTGCCGGTTTCTTTTAGCCATAACTTTGCCATTTTTTGACCGATTTAAAATCCGATTGCACCATTGTTTTCAGCGAAGAGAACCCTTTAAAATGATGTGTCAGGATGTATTTGAAATTTTGAAGTGGGACTGGGCCTCAGGGACCTTGTATCTTTCAACAAAAAAAGGTAAAAATTTGCAACTAGACTAAAAAATATCATCATTGGTTCAAAAGAAATCGGGCCATCTACAAAGGACGCTGTATATAATATACATATATTAAATATTTGCAAAAATTACTTTCACATCACATGGACAATCTTATTCTAAATTTGTTGACTCAGACAAAAACGAAACTGCTGTCAATAATGATAATGGAGTCCGTCAGTTTTCAAATTTCACCTCTTTGGCAAAAACTTTAGGACAAAGTCAAGTGACACGGCGCTCATCGCTGTAAGGTAAAGTTCCCGGGTTCGAATCCAGCGGCCCTGCATTCGAACCCGACATATTTACAATTTTTTTTCAAAAACACCGTCACCCTGAGGGTTGATATGACCTCTGCTGTTGCGAACCCTCGTTTAAAAAAAACTATTTAAATAATTAATTTTGTATTTTAAATAACTAATTAGCCCCGATTACATGAGGAAAACACATTAATTTGGGTCAAAAATAATCTTAGTAAAACTTAGTACATGGATAATTATGCTTGTTTGTTAGGTTTGTTTGTCTGTTACTATTACAAAGAAATTAATACCCTACAGTCATTCATTGACCGCCATTATCGTTAGAGAAAACAAATTAACTTAAATTACTGAGAGCCAATGTATGCAAGAAAGGTGTCACAACTCAAAAAGGGGTAGTTCAGCTGGAGTTTTAAAGTTTTGTGTTTTCGTTTAAGTCTTAGACAAACAAAAGAGAATATTGTTGAATCATGACAGTTTTTATTGGTAATAACCGTAATTGCGTGTACTTAACATATAAGTAGAAATTACATCTTTCAACCGGAAAATTTTCTTTTTTTTTTAGTTGTGTCACTTTATTGTGGGTGTGCGATACGTGTGAAAAGACAGAGGAATTTGCACAAAATTGAAGGAAAAAAATCGATAAAAATCGAACGGATCATTCTCCAATGCAGTGAAAACCCGATAGAAATGATATTGAAAAAATATAAAAAATTGAAATAACAACTGATAAACGCCTTACGAGTTGATAAATCTTGTTTTTCTTCCTTGCAAGGGATAGTGAATCATTTTTCCTATGAAAAGCTGAAAACCGTCCGACTAAAGACGAATATAAACATCATTTCAGATAAGGGTTGCGATAAAGAAAAAATATTAGAAGGAAATATTAAATCATCCAAGAAAAACCAAAACAGGACATGACTGATTGATTGATTATACCTCTCTCTACTTCCAAGGCTAGAACGGCCAATTCAAAATTTCTAGTATATTTTTGACAAAGGAAACCTTGGGCAAAAATGATACGTTTTTAATTTGAAAAAATCTCGATCAAAGCTGAGGTCTTCAAGCTATCAGATCGTTTATCTAAGGTTCTAAGCACAATAAAAACTGGATTTATTTAAAGCTAGTTTATTTTACCGATTAATCGTGAGTATTCGAACGTCCGTAGTAAATAATTTTCCTCCAGACATGTTAAAACACGATTAAAATTTTTAGTTGAATACAAAAAGTGAAAATGTATAAAAACTACATATCGTAAGACGGTTTTACATAAAATCTAAGCTAAGAAGCTTGGTATGAAAAATAGTTAAAATTGAAGCTTAAACTAGGAGATATCAACCAAAAAAACACCCTTTCTCGGTGGCGAGAGTCGGTCCAATATAACTTTATTTTTGTCTTACCGCAATCCCTGTAGATTTTAGCGTGGATCAACGCGAAAGATACAGCTATTAACAAAAAGATACTAGTTTTCATCGTTCCGGCTCGGCTGTTTCACTTGCGACTGCAATGAACTGCTGCATCTGACTCATCGAAGATTTGAGAACCCTGGCTCCCCCACCAGAATTTATAATCCTAATTCAACGCGTATTACAGAAATATAAGAAAATTTCAAAACAAGTCCGTATGAATCACTGTATAAGGAATCTGCTTAGTTGGGACTCGCGTTCTTCTTTGATATCGGCATGGCGGTATTTCATTTCACTGGCGATTTAACTTAAATTAAACCATTTTTAACACCATTTATCACTATGGTGTTGTTAAATGAAATTACCTTAAACCTTACTGCTTTAAAACCAACAAATTTAACAGACGCGGTGTATGATAACACAATACCGAGACAAGAGTTCATGTTTAATTTTTTTTAATGAAAGACGTTCGACGCGTCTAATGCTGAAGCTCTCTCAACAATCCTCTTCGGAAGAAACTTTACGCAACAAAGGATTTATTTATAAAATGTATACGAAGATTTTTATTTTCTAGCAAATATAACGTTCAATTACTAGATGGTTCAATGGCGATGGAGATTTTTGATTCAGTGTTAGCAATAAACGGGCATACGAACACTGCGCCCGCCCTAAACTTATGGGATTTCTTAACTTAACTAAATTGCTAAAGTTGGTGCTTCTCTCAGGCAACATTTGGCAAGATAGAATTAAAATTGTATAAACTGTATTTGAAAAATTTTATCTTCTAGCAAATACCTCAATCAATACTAAATGTAGCGGTGATGAAGATTGAAGACTCCAAGATGGAGATTCGAGATACAGTGTTACCAATACGCAAGTAGAAACACTGCAGGAAACCACAATGCGCCGGCCCTAACTCGCGGGAATTCCTAACCTAACAAAATAGCTAAAGTTGCTGTTTCTCTGAGGCAACATTTGACAAGATAAGAGTGTGTTATAAACTGTATTTGAAAATTTTTATAATCTAGACAAATATAACAAACGATATTAGATGCAGTAGTTATGAAGATTGAAGATTCCAAGATGGAAATTCTAGATTCAGTGTTGCCAATACACAGGTAGAAACACTGCAGGAGACAATAATACACCCCCCATAAACTTATGGGATTTCTTAACCTAACTTGCTGTTTCTGTGAACAATATTTATAAAATGAATTTGAAAATTTTATATTCTAGACAAATATAACAAACGATATTAGATGCAGTAGTTATGAAGATTGAAGGTTCCAAGATGGAAATTCTAGATTCAGTGTTGCCAATACACAGGTAGAAACACTGCAGGAAATAACAATACGCCCACCATAAACTTATGGGATTTCCTAACCCAACTTGTTGTTTCTGTGAGCAATATTTATAAAATGAATTTGAAAATTTTTTATTCTAGACAAATATAACAAACGATATTAGATGCAGTAGTTTGAAGATTGAAGATTCCAAGATGGAAATTCTAGACTCAGTGTTGCCAATACACAGGTAGAAACACTGCAGGAAATAACAATATGCCCACCATAAACTTATGGGATTTCTTAACCTAACTTCCTGTTTCTGTGAACAATATTTATAAAATGAATATGAAAATTTTATATTCTAGACAAATATAACAAACGATATTAGATGAAGTAGTTTGAAGATTGAAGATTCCAAGATGGAAATTCTAGATTCAGTGTTGCCAATACACAGGTAGAAACACTGCAGGAAATAATACGCCCACCATAAACTTATGGGATTTCTTAACCTAACTTGCTGTTTCTGTGAGCAATATTTATAAAATGAATTTGAAAATTTTATATCTAGACAAATATAACAAACGATATTAGATGCAGTAGTTATGAAGATTGAAGATTCCAAGATGGAAATTCTAGATTCAGTGTTGCCAATACACAGGTAGAAACACTGCAGGAAATAACAATACACCCACCATAAACTTATGGGATTTCTTAACCTAACTTGCTGTTTCTGTGAGCAACATTTATAAACTGAATTTGAAAATTTTTATCTTCTAGACAAATATAAAAATGAATACTAGATAAGTGACGATGAGGATAGAAGATTCCAAGATAGAGATTCTAGATTCAATGTTGCCAAAACACAGATAGACCAATTGCAGGAAACAACACTACACACCCTAAAATCCTACTGATCCAGTTGTCCTCAAGGGGCATCCTTTGTCCGTCAGCATGTACATAGATGTCCCTCAACACTAAACCTCACAGGATCATCCTACTTTACTCGCAATCAGCCATATTCGGATGACAAACACACTTTTGGCAGCACTTAATGTGTCCCACTCAATTTAAACGTCCTCTATTAATAGAGTGAGCAAGAATGCCACCCAATACATAAATATTTGGAAGGACAGATAGAATTTTATTATTGCACTTACAAAAAGTTTGGTGATAGATGTATTCTATGTTAACTGTTACTCGATTAGAGCAGTTACTTGATCATCCTGGTCGGCCTTTCTTTGCGGTGTTGGTTTATTAAACATGTTTCGGCATTTCGCATCTTCAGTGTAGGATCTGATCTCTTGGGTTTTAAAGAGACTTTTCTTGTGCAAAGTTGCATCAGAGCAACCTTAGCGATTTTGTTTGTGTTAACAAGAAATCCCATGAGTTTAAAGCGTTCCTGCAGTGTTTATGCTCATGTGGTGGCAATTCCAAATCTACAATCTTCATCTTGGAATCTTCAATCTTCATCATCACTCCATCTAGTTTCAATTGATACTTTTCTAGAAGAAAAAATCTTACGAATCCAGTTTACAAATTTAACCTTTCTTGCGAGAACAACTAAGTTAGGTTAGGAAGAGTGCAGTGCTGTTCCTACAGTGTTTCTTCCTGTGTATTGGCAACACTTTTTTTTTGGCGCCAATCTCCATCTTGCAAATTTCATCATCAATTCATCTCGTATCCATTGTTATATTTGTCTTTCTTATAATAATTTCCAAATCCAGTTTATAAATTAACCATTTTTTGCCCAAGTTGCCCCAGAATAGCAATTTTTTTGTTTGTGAAGAAATCGCATGAGGTTTGGCCACTGATTTGAAACTGCTATTCAATTAAAATTTGCTGAAATATTTTCTATCCTTCTATATTGACATATTAATTCACTTATAGAATTGATGAATAGTGGAGTAAGTGCAGTGTTCAATCCTTTTAAAAAGATAGTTCNTATTCACTTATTCCGATTGAGCAAATCAAAAATGTTGTCTGTGAATTCAGGGCAAAGCAAGTATGAAAAATAATACTTCTTTTTGTTTAAAAACATATGTTCTTTATTGATTTTGTATTTATTTATTTTATTTTTAAAGAATTATCGATTTGTTGTAAGTTTGAGCCAACTCTGATACTTGTAATACTATAAATTCAATTAGTTATAAATGCGTTCGTACAATTATAGTAAATTAATTGCAATGTGTCGGCAGAGAGAGCTTGTACGAATTGTTCATAAAAATGATGAAAGAATAAATGTTATTTATTTATAAACACAAATATACAATTAACAAAAATATAAAATTAAAATAAAATCTCCATCATAATAACAAGCTTTCAACCTCATTCAAAATAATTTAAACAAATTTTGAAGGTGTTTTTTAATTATAAATTCTCTCTCAGTCTGAAACACACATTTTACATTTGCAGTGCCATAAGCCAATTTTTAAAATCACTAATACATTAATTATGACACATTCTGTTTTTTTTTCTCTCTTTCTACACTCACTTTCATTCAACACAAAAATTAAATAATTTTGTCATAACATTTAATAATTATGTTGTTTGTTGTATTTAAACAAGAACAAAACAAACGTGATGTTATTTTTTATGATATATTCTCAAACGGCTGAACAAGTTCCTCGTCATCAGAATTTTGTGGTTGGGAGTTTTGTGCTCTTAGTATAAACTGATGAACCTGAGCTTGCTGTAGTATTAAAGGTAGTTCATAGTGATGGAAGAAGTAAACCATGGAATGCTGCAACAAAAATTTGAATGAGCAAGTAAAAAAGTTTTAAAAAAAATTGATTAAGGATTCAAATCTCAAAATTGTTAAAAATTTTTTGAAAAATTTTCAATATAATATAGTTGCTTAGTACATCTAGCAAATCTTAGTAGCTTGCATAATATTTTACAATACATTTCTCAGTTTAATTTTACAATTAATTGAAAAATATACTTTATTCTGGGACTAAAAAAGTGTGAAATAAGTCGAGTAGCATTCAAAGAGACGGGACTTAAAAGTGGAGTCGGTTGAGCTTGAGGGGCTCCAGAAATGTCAGATCGGAGGCTTATTTGGGATGAAGTTCAAGTCAAGCTCGTTTTCATCAGCGAGTTCAATTCCTTCTGCAATCCTACAAATGCACCTTCCAAGCCAGAATGTGAGAAGGAAAGGTAAATTTCGAAATCATCTGCATAAAGGTCATGGATTTTATGGATTTAGGGAAATCACTATGAGTAAAAAGAAAGAGAAGCGCAGTTGCTTGAGCCTTGAGGGGCTCCAGAAGTGTCAGAATGGGGGCCTTGTTTGAGACGGAAACTACTTGAGAATAGTCGAAAAATATTGGAACCAACGCACTGTGGGAGAAAGATTAGGTCTTAAGTTTAGCAAATAAATAGCCTGGGACTTTTTTAAGTTCAAGTCAAGCCTGTTTTCATCGGCCCAGGAGTTTAAGTCCTCCTGAAATCATAAATTGCAAGTCAGGAGCTTGTAGTGGGTTACCCGTAGTAACAACCATACAATAAAATTGTAAAATTATTTAATAGTTGAGAGTAGTTTTTGTTTCAATAGAAATAACACTAAAAAAATTAAAAAATTGCTTATTTCTCTGTTCATGGAAAAAAAATGTTTAACCTAACTGTAACCTTACCTATCCTAAACCATGCCTACCTGGTAATCAAAAAAGAATAATAATAGATCACAGATAACATACCTCAATAAACAGCCATGATGTAATCAAAGCTAATTTGCTATATTGTCCATTAAAACGATAGTGGTATGCATAAAAAGAAAAATGATATAAATAAAAAAACCTGGAAAAAAAAAGTCGGTTAAATTAATAAAATTTGCAAGTATAAAGAGTTCAAAAAAGAAGCTTACCTTAACCAGTATTTCTTAGAAATATGGGTATGACAACAAACAGCATCGTATTGGTCAGCCACCCATACAATGAGAATGATGTAGAAAGCGGTGGTGGCATCGTTGAAAAATTCCGACATAACGGCCTCCATGCCTAAAAAATATTTAAAACTATAATAATGTTGGGAATCCTTGGAATGAAAAAATGAACATATCAATTTTAAATTTAAAAATTGTCTAGCCAAATCCGTACCGCTTACCTATGAGTGCAAGGATCACCATGAGCAGAGGAGGTGTAGCAGGAAATATAATATTGACATTGAATTCTAACATTTGAAGGATATCAACTGGAACAAACAAACATCTTGCAGTCAAATCACTCTTTAAAATAATCTTAAAGAAAAAAAATTATACCGATTAGGACAAATATTTGATGATGAGAATATCTCAGCAAAACTGAAATTGACACTGTCTGTAAGAAAAGAAAAAAGAAAGATTAATTTCCATCAATTCCCCTTTTAGCTGAATTAAAATGGTAAGAATACTTACAAAGAGTAACATAATGAAGAATGCAGCTATATATGCAGTCCTGGCCATCCACATACTGACAAAACGATAATGTTCTCCAGTAACGACATTTCTAAACATAAATACAAATTATAAATTTTAAAAAAATAAATAAATTAGAAGATAACTAAAATTCACCTCAAAAACCCTTTATTATCTTCATCCTCGGCGAGAGATTTTATACTCGACATTAAAAGATCATCATATCCAATCAGATCTTTGAGGATAAAACGTGAAAATCTGTCTCCAAAACATTTATCTTTAGTAGGATCAAGAAAGACAACCATAACAGGAATATTCAACTTGGCTCGTGTTAATGGTGAAAGTCTTAACAAGCCGTATTCCAGTGAATATTCGACTATGTACTCATCATCAGTGGGTTCTGAAAAAATAAATTAATAAATAAAATCAATACAAAATCATATACGCTTCGAACAAATTTACATTACTTAAATTAGTCAATATGTGGGATTTTTCTCTTGTCCCTTGATATATCTGGCTCTAAAGAGGTCTTATTCAGGAAAAACAGTTTAATTACATAAGTTCGTTTAAAAGGTAGTACCCCTGGCTTTCAGTTGGAATTATTGTTCAGCGTAGTCTTGTTGTTGCACTGGGTCTTAGATAAAGGTGGCAGTGGATTTAAGCAAACTCATTCTTCTGATCACAAAGATAAACACTGAATCTAAAATCTGGAATCTTCAATGTTCAACTGCCGTCTTCATCACCACTTCATCTTATATCATATGTTATCTTTGTCTAGATGATAAAAATTTTCAAATCCAATTTATAAAATTTAACTCTTTCTTTTCTAAACCATCTTTAACAAGTTATGTTAGGAAATCCCATGAGTTTATGGTGGGTGCAGTGTTGTTCATGCAGTATTGCTGCTCATGTATTGGGAACACTAAATCTATAATTTCTTATCTTGAAACCTTCTATCTTCATCATTACTACATCTAATGTTGATTGTTTTATTCTACATAACACTCTAGTTTAAAGGGTGGAGCTCCTGGCTTACAATCAGAATTATTGCTCAGCATGGAGTCCTTACACGACGAAGGAATGTTGTTGCATTGGGTCATAGAAGATGTAGGTGGCAGTGGACTGATGGAGGCTCGCTCATTCTTCTAATGAAACTACTTGACATGGTTTCTTTTTGTGTACTGAGAACACTGAATCAAAAAATAATCTCCATCATGGAATCTTTGATCTTCAAACTGCATTCTTCATCACCACTGCATCTAATATCATATGTTATCTTTGTCTAGATGACAAAATTTTTCCAAGCCAATTTAATCAATTTCTCAATTTAAACTTTCTTGCCTTAAGTTGCCTCAGAGAACACAATTTTTAGCAAGTTAGGTTAGGAAATCCCATGAGTTTAGGGTGGGCGCAGTGTTGTTCATGCAGTATTGCTGCTCATGTATTAGTAACACTGCACCTACAATCTCTCTCCATCTTGGAATCTTCAACCTCAACTGCGTTCTTCATCATTACTGCATCTAATATCATGTGTTATCTTTGTCTAGATAAAAATTTTCAAATCCAATTTATAAAATTTAACCCTTTCTTGCATAAAGTTGCCTCAGAGAACACCATCTTTACAAGTTAGGTTAGGAAATCCCATGAGCTTGGGAGGGGCAGTGTTGTTCATGCAGTGTTGCTGCTCATTTGTAGGTAACACTGAACCTACAATCTCCATCTTGGAATCTTTAATCTTAATCACTACTGCATCTAATATTGTTTTATTTGTAAACAAAGCTCTAGTTTTAAGGGTTGGATTTATTGCTCAGCATAGTCTTTTATGAGGGAGGAATGTTGTATTGGGTCAAAAATCTAGGTGGCAGGAGATAAGAGGCCCATTCTTCAGATGATACTTTCACCCCTACAAGGTGACTGATCTTATTTTGAATCTCAGACTCTGACGGTACCATTTTATAGCCTGGGGCTAAGCGCAGAAGCGGTTGTCATAGCAAGATCTGAGAATGTGTGGACATAGCCCTGTCGGCCTTGGTTGAAGTGGCTGTTTACAAACTGCAGACAAGGGTGTAGGGGGCACAGCAGGATAGGCTTTGGGTGTGGTTTAGATTAAAAAGTGGCCAACAACGAAAGAAATTATGCTGTGGGCTAGGAATGGTTTGGGCAAATTACAACAAACTAACATTAACCAAAGTAAAATAAATTTTTAAAAAATATAACAAACCTGTATTCTTCATATTGGCAAAAGTTCGAACATAATTTTCCATTATCTGTACATCATCGGTAAACGTTGAATTGTACGACTGCATCTTTTTTAAGAATTAAAACAAAAAGGATTCAAATTTTTTCAGTTTTTAATGTATATCAAGTATTACTTAAAGAAACAATTTAAAACACCTTTGTATTCCTTTCGGTGATTATTTTAATCGAATCCATCGAATACTGCGCAGACTTCAGTGGCCCTGTAAAGTTCCTGATTATTACACTTGATTTTCAACAAATATTACAAAAACTTTAATATGTTAATGACTGATTGATGGTATTCATTTTTTTTCTTTGAAAAAGGAGCAGGTTATTATTATAAAATTATATAACTAAATGTGTTGTTCTTGTATTAGTTAATTATTTTAGGCAAGGTCTTAGAAATTTGTGCTCCCAGGGAGACTCCATGTAGGGCTCCCCATAATTTCATTCATGTGGTATTGGGAAAGGTTAAAACATCAGAGATAAGGCCAATTATGAGTCCGATCGTCCATTCATAAATGTTAACCTTGTCAATTATTAATAATAGTTCCAAAGCCTTGATGAAGGAGATTACATTACATGAAACAAATTCAATGGAATTGTTCTATTCTTTCGAATTAGCCTTATCTGTGATTTTTTCTTAATACAAAATTTTACTATTATTTGTTTCTCAATTATATTTTATCTAACACTCACCAAATATTCCCGACTTGTGATATCCCTGGGTTTTCATCAAAGGGTACTGATTTACTGTTAAATTTAAAAACTATTAGCATTAAAGTATCATATAAAGTGGTAATCTGAAGTTAAAAAGGGTTAATTGAAATAGGTTGATTTGCAATTAAAAACAAGATAATTTGCAATTTGAAAAGGAATGATTTGAAGTTAAAAAAAGAGTTAATTTGACGCTAAAAAGAGTTCATTTGGAATAGGTTAAATTGCAATTAAAAAAGGTTAATTGGTAATAAAAAATGACATCTGAAATTTTAAAAAAGGAGCATTTGAAATTAAAAAGAGTTAATTTGAAGTTAAAAAGGTTAAATAATTATTAGGTTAAATAATAATAAGAAAATAAAAAGGGTTAAATTGAAATTTAAAAAAAAGGTTAATATGAAGTTCGAAAAGGTTAAAAGGTTAATTTTTTGAATTTTAAAAATAATTAGAAATTAAAAAGAATGAAATTGCAATTAAAAAAAGGTTAATAGGCAATAAAAAAATGACAATCCGGAATTTAAAAAAAAAATGAAATTAAAAAGTGTTAATTTGAAGTTAAATAGGGTTAATTTGAATTTTAAAAATTAATTAATAATTAAAAAGGGTTAATTTGACATTTGAAAAGGTTAATTTGAATTTTAAAAAGTAATTAGAAATTAAAAAGGGTTAAACTGAAATTTAAACCAAGGTGAATTTGAATTTTAAAAATTCAATTAATTAGAAATTAAAAAGGGTTCAATTACACTTAAAAAAGGTTGTGTTTTCACCCTATTTCAAATAAAAAGCGTTAATTTTAAGTCAAAAAAGGGTTAATTTGAAAAGGTTAATTGAATGTTAAAAAGTAATTAGAAATTAAAGAGTTAAATTGCAATTAATATGTGAATTCAAAATTAAAAAGCGTTAATTTTAAGTCAAAATTTCAAAAATTAAAAAGTTGTTTTATTTATTTATTTATTTTTTTTTTATGAGAGTATTTCATCAACTACGAGGTTATATGAATACTGGGGGGGGGGGCGTTTAAAAAAAAAAAAGCACATTTGTAAGTATGTTGGGTTTGAATGCAGGGACACTGGATTCGAATCTGAGACCTTTACTTTAGTGATGTGCACCCGTGTCAACGCCTAAAACCATTGTGGCCACCGATGCCACAACTTTAAAGAGGGTTAAAGTGCAATTTAAAAAAGAGGTTTATTTGAAATACAAAAAGGATAATTTGCAATTAAAATAGGATAATTTGAAATTAAAAAAGGGAGAATTTGTAGTTAAAAACAGGTTAAGTTGACTTAAAAAGGGTTAATTGGAAATATATTTAAAAAAATTAATTTGAAATAAAAAGAAATAATTTGAAATTAAGAAAGGGTTAATATAAAGTTAAAAAGGGTTAATAAGAAGGAAACAATTTAATTAAAAAAGGTTCATTTGAATTTTAAAAAGTAATTTGAAATTAAAAAGGGTCACATTGTGATTAATAAAAGTTAATTTGAAATTTTAAAAAAACATTAATTTCAAGTTAAAAGGCTTAATATTAAATAAAAAAGGATAATTAAATAAAAAAGGGTAATTTAAAATTAAATTAAAAAGGCTTAATTTGAAATTTAAAAAAAGGATAATATGCAATAAAAAAAAGGAAAGACGTTGAGCGGAGAGCTATCCAATGATAACACCTAAATCAAAAACCATCACTCAATCAATGGCCCTTTGTGAGAGCAGGTCTCGGGGCCACTGTCTTTTTAGACCTCAAGGAGGATTGTTGGGAAGAGGGCCATTTACCATCCATAGTATGGAATCAATGGACGGTTGTTGGCGGATCTTAAGATTTGTCATTGTAGGGTCAGGATTCTGCAGAGATTGGAAGGCATGATTGAACCCCATAGTTCCAAGGGTTCCCATTACAAATGTCCATATTGGTTTCAGTATTGAGTTGTATATGTGTATTGTATATTGTGTGTATGGGGATTCCAGGCATGTTATTTGTCTCGATACAGTCCTATATAATTATTCAATAAGATTAATGAACATGTGACAATATTATATTACTTAATTTAAATTGAAATCGCTTAATAAAAATTAAATAATTTGTCATTCATACCAGCAGTTGAATTGATAGCGACAGGGGAAACATCATTTGGTCCAGTGGTCGATATCGCAGGTTTAATATCTTTTCCTTCTTTTGTGTAATACTCTCCTGCTGACGATTGCAAGTCAACCACTCTAAAATGTTATAATCCGAAATCGTTAATTAGTCTTACATCGATAATAATTATTAAAGATGCACTAATCAGATGTAAATCGCTTACCCATCTTTCGCTGTCACCCTAAATAAATAATCCATTTTAAGCAATTCATTTACAGTCATTTCTTCTAGTTTGTCAGCAATGTCTACGACGTTTTCAGAACGGGGTGGGATTTTATACCTTCCTGTCGCAATTTCAACCCTCAGGATTCCTTCACGGGGCCAGATGGATCTAACATGTTCCAGGCAGGTGGCGGGTGTTCTCGAAAATATCACATGAATATAAGCCAGGATGAAAAATGCACAAAGGGCCTGTAAAAAAATATATATTTAAAACAGAAGTTTAAAAATGCGAAAAACTACACATATAAAATTAATTTACTTTTAAAAGGATAGTGAACTCGATACATCGTCGTGCACATTTGGGAAAGTTTCGCGCATAAGAAAGTGCTAATTTAACAAATATTGCATAGTATAAACGATCTCGGACATTCAATAGCGGATTTGGCACTCCATTATTTCTTCCTTGATTTATGTTTGGGTTACCAATTACGTCCATAACCTCTTTAGCCTGATCTTTTATTCATCTACCACAAACATACCACGATGCTCCATTCTCTGGAAAAAAAGAAAGAAAAAATATTGAGAATTAGCATTGAATACATTGTTTAAATTTATTATTTGGGTAGTGGTCAGAGCGTCTAACTCGTATTCATGGTTTTGGCTTCCCTTGATAATCCCTTATGGTTCGAACCCTTCATCCGCGACACCCAAGTTGGGACATTAAGACCACCTATATAACAGGAATTAGTTTTTCACTTTCTACACTCAAAAAAACAGACACTCGTATTTTGTTATTTATTTCAAACAATATGTACTTTTCATTTTTCATTTGATTAAAACATACTTATCGACTTCATAATGTAAACCAAATTAAGTGAAAGCAAAAATTCATGAATTCTGGCCTCATCGAGGGCCTTGAATCTCCTGAGCATCAAGTATGGATTTCATCTACTGAAACAGAATTCCATTCTTTAACAAGAGCGGTTTGAAGCTCTTACACAGAACACTAATTGGAGATGGCTAACGATGTCTAACCCGTATCTTTATCATGTCCCATAAGTGTTCTATGGGATTCATGTCAGGAGAATGTGCTGGCCAATTCATTGTGGTTATCCATATATCCTCCAGGTAATGGGTGACAACTCGAGCTACATGCAGTCGAGCATTACACAATTAACACAATAAATGGAGCGAATGGGACCACAGATTCCAGAAGCACTACTCAATGTACCTTAGTGCTGTCATAATTCTGTATGCTAATAAGGTTTAGCAGGTGTCTCCTGTGTGTGATTGGAAAGCTGATCAAGTGTCTCCTGGTTTAATTGATTAGAAAGAGAAAGAAACAATATAAATTATGTATGATAACAGTTCAGTACAGGTATGTACACTGATCCCATCCCATACCTCAACTGACTGTCTTTGAAAAGGCTGACTGATGCATGGCACAAGAAGCGTTCTCCAGCCTAAGAAAACTCTCCAGTAGTAAAGAACCTCATGCGGAACATCTAAAGACTAGACTATTGTCAAGAAGCCTTCTGATGACTGCTTTAGAGCTCACCCTTACACGACGGCCATTTGGAGTTGACTACCTATCAAGGAAGCCATTAAATGAAGGTTCTATAGTGCAGTAAGAGCAAGCCGTCATACATCTCGGTCTACCTTCCCTTTGATCGGTGAACCTAAACCACTGTAGACCATAGTGGATGGTAGAGCGCAGCACACCCAGGACATGGGCTATATAATGGATGCTATATCCAACGTTTGCTAAAGCACCTGACCGAGTGAGATCACTCGTCTCGATTTAAAACCACACTCTTAAGAAGAAAAAAAAATTTTTTATTCAAATTATTAATGTTGTGTTTACGTTTTAAGTCAACTAAAATCTTTATACCTTGTTATAATGTAAAATAAATACAGATGACAGGTTTTGTTTGTCTTTACTTTTTTCATTGTTGAGTGTATTTTATTTATTGACCTACAATATTAACACAAAACAAAAATTGTTGACAAATTAAGTTTTCTACATTCTCGGCTTATTGGTAGTTGAAAAAAGCTGAAAAATATTAAGTTGTCTGGAAAATAATGCAGGTTTTCATGTTTTCTTTCAATTACCCCTCTATATAATAAACTGTTCATGATGGATTATTATGTACAAATATGAACACTTTTAATCCACTTCCAAAAAAAAAAAAATGTTTGTTAACCTTAGTACCATTTTGTCACTTGGTATGTTTTTATTTTATAACTGTAAACCTGCCTTATTTTCCAAACATCCCAATACATTCTCAGCATTCTCTTACAAATTAGATTAAATACTACTAAAAATAAATTAAAAGTATATAAGTCAATTACAGTCAACATACTGCTTAAAAGATTTTTTCTTTACCTCAATAAATATTAATATTGAGAGTTAAGGAAGTCATGATATTTAAACTAAATCTTCGCCACCTCCAATTCAACTGAGAAGTTTCAAAATGCAGAAAATCAAAATTATCAACACTCATAATACAATCAATGAAATCATCAATAATACAATGAGTTTTTCCTTTTATTTTATCTATAAAATCACAATGATTATTTCATTAACTATGAATAACTGTGTGATAACAAGGAGAAAATTAAGGATATAAAACACAATAAGGAGAAAATTCAAGTTTCAATTTTAGCTTGTTTTAAGTAGGAGGAAAAGGCTATCGGTTGATCCACGAGTTCATTTTATAATTATGAACATTGTGACACCCAATCCTAAGAAGCGTTCGTCCATAGCATAGAGGATCGTCAGCAAGGGCCTGAGGTCAACGTCCTCTCAGGTCTTGCCATCCAAGGTTTTCAGGGTAAAGGCTGGTCTGTACCGATGAGACTGATCAGTAATTGATGGTTCTGAGTTCGCCAATGCAGTCCTGCATCCAACATCAGATCAGTCAAGCCAAAAGTCTGAGTTCGTCGGGCCTCCAACTCAACGAGACCATAGGACATTCCTCACTTGAAGACTATGGAGGATTGCCACTCTTTGGAGCAATTACTTAATTAAAACCGTTTCCCCCATATAAAAAAATACAATCAATATTACTTTTTTATCTGGGTCTGTTATTTTATTTTTAAGACAAATGACAACTCAGGATGTCACGAATGATAGAAGACTCTAACGAGTAGTAAACAGTAATGCTTTTCACCCTCCACCCACTAGGCGCTTTTTGGTTCGTTTTAAGTTCACATAGTCGATTGGAGATGAGCAAAAAAAAATTCTTTCTGTCAGAAAAATGGTTTATGTTATACAAGTCATGAAAGAAAATTAATGTCTGCTCGGATCCAATTACATAGTTAATGTGCCTAATATTTTTTCTCTAATTTGATCATCACCAAACATTTTTCGTCTGCCTACCCTTTCTGTCAGACAGCACTTTGCCATTGTACCATTTTCAGGGCGTCTATCCACAGTACAAAATCATCTATTTAATATTTTTTTCTATATGTAGACACTTCTAGTAAGCCAACATTTCTAACAAGCGAATAAAATCCCACTTCCGAGTGGTGTACACTTATGGGAAGTTCAACTTTACTGTAATACAAGAAAACAGACTTAAACATATTAAACAAAACATGTCAGAAGCATTTTACCTGCAGTCAAAGATGCCTTTTTCTTAAAATAACACATTTTTACTATAATTTGATCATCACCGAACATTTTCGCTTATCTACCCTCATGGATTTAGTCTGTTAGGTCCATTTCATCATCTTCAGTGTCTGTCCACATGAAGAAATCTCAGATATATTTTTTTGTATGCGAGGATAGCTCTAATAAGGGTGTGACTCTAACAAGCGGACAATAAGAGGGAACAGAAAAAATGAAGGAAAAATATGGAACAAATGTTAGAAGCGATTTTCCCACTGTCAAAGGTGCCTTTCTCTTAAAATAACACTGTTACTTAAAATTACAGTCAATATTGATGTTTAATGTTCATTAGAATTACATAGATAATATGCCTAACATTTTTTCTGTAATTTGATCGTCGCAGAACATTTTTCGCCTGTCAACCCTTGTGGGGTTGGTCTGTCAGTTGCATTTCATCATCTTCGGTATGTCTATCAACATGAAGAAATTTTTGTTGTAGATGGCCTGTTCTAATAAGTGTAACTCCAACGATATGAGGGAACACTGAGAAACCCAAAGAAAAATATGGAACAGATGTAAGAAGCGATTTACAAGCTGTCAAAGGACCCTTCATACCTTTGCCTGTCGCAGCCAGTATATCCTTGCGGGTCTGTCAGACGTATTTCACCATCTTCAATGTGTCTATATTTTTTTTTATGTAGACTGTTCTAATAAGTGTAGATTCTAACAAGCAGAAAATATGAGGGAACACTGAGAAAGTGAATTAAAACATATGGAACAAATGTCATAAGTAGTTTATAACAGACAAAGTAGCCTCATCTCATAATTTGTTGTAACATAACCCAACATCTATTTAATTAAAGTCAATATTGTTTCAGACGAGGTCAATTTGCAAAAATGGGTCAAAATTCTTCTAAATCTCTGGTCTATTAGTTATAAAAAAAATACATTACTTTCTTAGCTGGGTATATTGTTTTAATTTTGAAGTTGCTTTAGCTCAGTCGGCGACGTATTTTTCAAAACTAATATTTTTGAAGTGTTCAACTGGACGCGGCCACAAAATATTCTCGTCGTAACAGATCGAAAATTGAGCGTGACACAACAAAAATCGATGGTATCGGCTTTAATTAGGCGAAAATGTTACGAGTGGAAAACAAAAATGGATGGGTTTTTGATAATGAAATTTGCACAAAAAAAAATTGAATGTCGAAATCGAAACTGACCTCACCTTCAATGACAGCAGAAGCTGAGAAGCCGAGAAGAGGCGGAAACGTGGAGGAAACAAGACATTTTAAAACATAATTTCTAGTGTGGAAAAATCAGTTTTTAACCCACGCAACTCATTTTTCGCAATAATAATATTTTTTCTTTTCCCACTTTTTTTGTTGTTGTCCTTCTTTCAGTTTTTGAGCCGAAATTCGATTCTTCGCCCGATTCGCCTTCTCCGGTCGGGATCTCGCACCTCGTCAGCCTATTTTTCTTGAGAAAATGCCGGATTTTCCACGAGAGAAAAGCGAATCAGTCTAAAATTCTCGTCTCACAGTCACCGAAAGGAACTCCGCAGTTAACAGTCCCGTCTCCTCCGTCCTGACTCTCGACTCGGATACGAATTAATCACTGAAAACAAGCAAATTTCTCTCCCTATCTCTCTTTTTTTTTTCCTACCAAAAATGTCACAGTTCGGATCCGGCTTTTTTGCAATTTTCCTTTCTGCGAAATAAACAGATCGAATCGATTTTTTAAAACGGGGCCCAGTTTTGGTTCTTCTTGGAACGGTCACGGTGGAGAAAATGGAAAAAAGCTAAACGTCACCGACGGATGACAGTCGTTTTCGTTTTCACACTTTAGAATAGAATAGAATTAATTTTTATTTGTACATGTTCAATACTACTACTACTATATGTCTTTATTCTTTAATATACAATATATAATATAGTTTTAACTTCACTAAAGTAATAATGATGAAGTGAAAAAAGCAATTTTAAGTTTATAAAGTTCTAAACCTGGAGATTTCTATGGCTTGGATGTACCTACATATACACTGACAGGCAAAAAATTCCACCCAATTGATTTTTTTTATTTTCTCGATAAAAGAAAATTCTGCCATTAATTTGTCTCATTGATTTTATCAATAAATATTTGTTTATGCTATGTTTTAAATTGGGAATATTAATTAGAGGTAAGTACACTTAATCCTTAATCAAAAACAAGGATAAAGTTTTCAATGTTTACTTTTTACGGAATTTAAAATGTTTATTCAGTCTCACTTGAATTATTGAAGCAATAAACTGTTTAGTTTTCATCTTTGTTTTCTTAATATCAATTTTTAATAGTGCCACTTAGTGCTGAGGATGTTGTGCGTGGTGGGGCACTTATCGATGATAGACGTTCCATCAGGATGCGGCTATTGCCATCGGAGTACCCTACGAAACTCTGCGAGACGTACTCAAGAAACTGGGTCCTGGCATAGAAGGCCCGGTTCTGGACGCCCTAGGGTAATAGAACCATAAGATGACCGTTTTTTGACTTTGAGAATTTTGCGAAACCGGCACCTTACTGTCGTTCAAGCGATTTATCACAGCTCCACGATGTTCGAGGTGTCCAAATTTCTGAACGCACTGCTCGAAGATGAGTATAAGTATGGACTGGTGGCTTTTCGCCCCTTAAGAGGAACAGAATTGACCAGAACACAGAGTAGCACGGCTTGCATTTTCTCGAGAACATACCCATTGGTCTTTGGTCGATTGGTCTGCTGTACTTTTTACAGATGAGTGCAGATTTGTTCTATGATCTCCAAATGGACGTGAAAGAGTGTGGAGAAAGCGAAATTAAAATGAAAAGTACGAAGCCTGTAATTTTTCCCCTTTTCAACGTAGTCAGTGATGGTGTGGGCGGGAATTTCAAGTTGGTCGTCGTCCGAGGATAGTCTTTGACGGCCACTCGCTATGCGGATGAAATTTTGGAACCTCATGCGTGCCCTATTCTTGATGAAATCAGCGACAATCCTAATCTAATGCACGATAATGATCGTCCACATGTCACTCGCACAGTGCAAACGTACCTACCTTCAACAGCATAACATCAGGGTCTTAGCCTGACCAGCCCGTTCTCCAGACTTGAACCCCATCGAACATTTATGGGATAACCTCAAAAGAGGCATTTCCAGATTGGTAGAAACCATGCCGAGGCTTCTTCGAGATGTTAAGGCAAGAGGAGGAAATACGTGATATTGAAATGTTAATTAAAAATCTAAAACAACATTAAAACAAATTTTATCTGTCCGTTTTTTCTTTCATTTTTCATTTTCCTTAGCAATTTGCATTTTTTTTTATTGTTTTAGACAAAAGACTCAATTATTAAACGTTAAAAAACGTGAAACTTTTATTAATATATAAAAATATATACAAAACAAATTATAATACAAGTGGGTGGAATTTTTTGCCTGTCAGTGTATATGACTCCATTCTTGTAATCCTGATGCAACTTATTAACCTGTGTATTAAATGTAATAAATTTCCTGATTGCCTGAAAATTGTTATTTTTAGCCAAATTCATAAAGGGGCGACCCAAAATAAGATTGAAAATTTCTGACCAGCTTTGTAAACTTTTCACTTGATTCATTCAATAAAGGTAATTGTTCCATTGCAACTTTCATAGACTTAAGTAAGGCTTTCGACTGTGTATCTCATACATTACTATTAGTAAAATTATCATCATATCATCATGATGCAATAAGTATGATAAGGTCTTATCTGGAAAATAGAAGACAAGTAGTAAAGTATAATGGAAGGTTTTCATCGGAATCTGGAGTTACAGTCGGAGTGCCTCAGGGTTCCATCCTAGGCCCCTTATTGTACATAATTTACATGAATGACCTTTATAATTACTTTCCCACAATTCTGTTTACAGAGTATGCTGATGATTGCAGTTCCCAGTTAAATGGACCAAGTGAGATAAAGCTGATCGAACAAAACATTGAACTGAAATCTAATTTGGAAAATTGGTTCGTTGAGAATGGTATATTGCTAAACAAAGAGAAGACAAGGTTATGATTCTGAAAACTTCTAATTCAAGAAATAGTCTAGACAATCAACCGGTAGAACACTTGGGTGAGTTACAGATTCAAATCTCTCTTGGGATGCACATTGTCAATTTGTTGTATCTAAACTTAACAATTATTTTTACTGAAAAGTCTCAAATGTATTATATCTCAAAAAGTTTTAATTAATGTTTTTTGTTCAATCATATATTGTTTATAACTTATTGGTCTGGGGTCACTCTAGTCATGCCAAACTAATCTTCAAAAAACAATGTAAAGCTATGAGAATTTTAGAGGATTTAAAGTATAGGGAATGTTGCAAAGAAACATTTACTAAAGTACACATTATGAATTTTCTCAGCTTACTCTTACAATGTGTAATGTATTGTTACAAACAAAGGGAGACTTTAAAAAAATTTAGATTTTGTACATAATCACTATACAAGAAACTGTAATAAAATAGTTCCTGAGCGGCTGAACTTAAAAGATGTGAAAACTCTTGTAAATATTGGGCTATAAAATTTTTTTAATAATCTACCAGATGATGTCCAACTGTTACCTGAACAAAATTTAACCTTAAAATAACAAAATTCCTCATTGTTAATGCCTTTTATCACTTTGAGGTTTTTTTTAATTTATTAATAGTGGGATTAAAATGAATTATTTTGTACTATTCTTGACGAATATAATGACAAAAAGTATTTTGTTTACTCAACACAATAAAAATTTTGTATCTTATCGCGGTTTTCAATATTTACATATGAAAACATGAGGAAAGTTTTGGCATTCGAGGAAGTCCGATTTCTTTATTCGCGGAAAAAACAGGAGATAAGAAAATAATTATTTAAAAAATGGATTGGATGCTCAAATTGATTTTCAGAAAAATTTGGCCTGCTTTCAACATACTGCTCCTTCTTTCTTCTTAGTTTGTTTTATTCTCTTGTGGACGTTGTGTCGCAAAATGCTTTCTCTTCCAAAACGGAACAAACCCCCTTGTTGAAAGAATAAAAATTTTGGACATACATTTTTTATGCAGGTAAAAGCTTTTCTTCAAAACAGTTCGGGGCAATTTTAACCTTGAGGGATCGACTTATTAAAAAAATCAATGGATTTCGACCCATCTTTAAATCGAAGTTTTAAGTTTAAAAGGGATGTCAAGGCCGCTTCAAATCCTTATGCGGAAATACTTAAAGAAATTAATTATTCGGCGAAAGAGCGAACAATTAATTGTTATTTATTTCCTTGCACATCAGAAATTACATACAATGAAAACAATTAGCATGTTCAAACTCTGTCATGTCTTCTATTACGTTTATTTTGAGTAAACTGTTTTTTAAATTCTAAATTGTATCTCAATTTCCGGCGGCCCCTATCCATCCCTCCTTTAGCATAGGGAAATAGACTCAACATTTGCGGATTTAACTTTCACGGCAGTTTTCTGCAACCAAATACCCGCGAATGTTAAGGGATTACTGTATATACAATTCACTAATTTCGTGGTCCGCTTGACCAATTAATATATTACAATTAATTAAGTTTTTTAGTTGAGATAAAAAAAGTCAATGGCACGAGCGGGATTCGAACCCACGATCTTCGGCTAGATACGCCGCTGCTCTACCACTTGAGCTATCGTGACCTCGTCCACTCGGACACCAACTTCATATCAAAAGGTGGGGTTGAGATAGGAAGTTGGTGTCCGAGTGGATCGAGGTCACGATAACTTAAGTGGTAGAGCAGCGGCGTTTCTAGCCGAAGATCGTGGGTTCGAATCCCGCTCATGCCATTGACTTTTTTATCTCAACTAAAAACCTTAATTAATTGTATATACAAAGTTTACAAGTCGGCAATCTATATTACAAAACACATTCCTCATGGTTTAAAACCGTCTGAGGGAGTCTAGCGCAAAAATTTAAATAAGTAATATCTTTCTTCTGAGTATTTACAAGTAATTATAATTAGTATTTAGAAAAATAATATATATTTTATTCAAAAATTTCAGTACTGTAATAATAGAACATAATTGAATAATAATAGCAGAAATATAAATGCAAATATATACATCACTTATGATCAATCTTGGGGCCATGTCTTTTTACCATTTTTGTTAATGCCAGGACACAATTAAATCCTGTCAACAGCACTGTTCGCAGATGATATAGCGCTTCTATCTTCCTCCTGGAGAACAAGCGCCATTACAAACAGACTGAACAGCGAAATAAAAAATAATAATAATTCTGTCTAAGGTGGAAACTACTGATTAACGTTCTAAAATGTGAAGCGATCCTATTCACAAAGAGGCGCCCCACAATAAGAGCAACAATCACCATTAATGGAACTCTCATCGCATGGTCGGAAAAGGTAACCTGCTTAAGCTTTATTCTGGACAGAAATCTTCACTTTGGACCTCATATAATGAATAGGATCGCAAAAGTCAAACTGGCCATCAGAAGTCTGTTCCAACTATAGGCTAATCAGGGTTGTCAATGCACAATAAGCGCTCTTATTTATAAGGCGGTTGTCCAACCCGTCCAACGCTTGTCCTCTATTGAGTTTTACAGGCAAAACGAATCTGCTAAAAATACACAGAATGCAGAACAAATTCTTAATACTTAGTCACTTCTCGCAGACGGACCAGGTTAAACCAACTCTACAACGAATCTGACATTGGATTTATGATGCGGTGAAAACGCAAACCATCAATCT